CATCAGACCATGCGAGTGACCAACCCTGCAGCGTGAGAGGCAAGCAAACGCCAAAGAACACGGCAATCAAAACTCGAGTCGAAAAAGCAGCTCGCGAATCGCATAAAATTAGGGGCAGCAGCAGCTGCGCCCTTGTGCTGTGACAGCGCCTGCCGCAACCTTCTTTTCAACGTCCGAGATGACTCAAGTCGACTGAGCTTCAAATTGTGAATGGAGATGGATGCACTGCAGAAAGGCGCATTTCGATCTCTCCATCATGATCATAACCTATGTCCACGCTGGCGTACATGTTGGTCATGACCAGCGCACACAATAGGCAGGCGATGCACAAGGTCGATCTCTGCATCCACTCCGCCATCTCTTCGGTGACAACCACAATCTGGGTCGCAGCATCACTTTGAAAGCCCGCGATGAAGCAGATCGCAGATCCTTCTTTTCTGCCACGTAGTCAAAGCGATCGCCGACATTGACAGCGCATCGACTTGAATTCGTTCACATCGGAGCATGCTTCGCTTCTCTCCTGCGGTGATGTCGCTCGTATGGTCTCCTCTGACGAGCGGGCTGGGCCATGTTACCAGCGAACCTAGGGTCAGCGCTGTAGGCGAAGTCAGGGCCGCCGATCGGCACCCTCGAAAAAGGGAACAAGGTGGCCATAAAAATCGAGGGGACTGCTCGCTTCCCAAGCTACTGTAGCTCAGTCGCGTAGCGCTTTCCCCGGCCACACCTTGAGAAGATCGACAAGACCGCTTCTGCTTCCGTCTCGCGTGGCCAGCTGATCCTTCGTCTCGGCGCTTGAACCCCATAATGATCATCTTTCTTTCGCATCGATGCGCCTCGACGATCAGGTCTGGGCGGCGTCAACGGCGTATCGCCGTCTGCAGCTTCCACCCATTCGGGACCCCTTGTCGGTACATCATGACACTCTGCGAGAACTGGAACGAGGAAGACTGCATCGATAGGCGTCAATTCAGGAGGCCTTGCAATCAGCAACATGGCCAATCTGGTTTGCAAAGAGACACTGAGATCTCGTCGATGTACCAAGGCGTCGATTTCAACGCTAAATGTCACTTTCACACATCCACTCTCCACAAGAGTGGCCGATCACTGCGCTTGAACGACATCTCGTCCTATCCGCGGAATCTGCAGAGCGGGTTGGCAGCCTCGCTGAAGGCTGACCGGCACATGAAAAGCTTCGGGCACTATCGTGGGACGGTTGTCACCCTTTGTTACTTCAAGCGGAGCGGAGTACGAATCGGAGGCGCGTTCGCTCATTCGGCACCATCAGCCCTTCCGTTATTGCGGTTGAATGGCCTTCTACGAAAGACCGTCTCATCTTCAAGGCAACAGGCCGGACCATGCTCGGACCATGCTTGCAGATCATGCTGCCGTTTCGGCGATCGATCCCTTATACTAGCGGCGTCAGGGATCTTCGGCGATCGATCCACCTATGGGCGGGGGGAGCTGAAGCGCCGTACAACCAAGCTCGAGCATCATTGCGAAACTTGAAACTCCGACTACCGAGATGCAGAGCCCAGAAACGAGGGTCAGCTTCGTGCGTGGTTCACGATTGTGCGCCTCACCCTCCCCATCCACTATGTCGCGGAGCGGCTCCCCTCTCTCACCTTCGGAGTCGTCCCGACGTCGCGCTACCACTTGCCCAGAGGCTCGGACTCCGCTCTTGCTTCCTCTTGGCAACCTTGGTACTAGCCTAGGCAAGAGCGAGACAAGTTGCAAAGCGAATTCACATCGGGCCAAGATCGTCCTGGGGCTGACGGCTGTCTAGTAACACCCTCAAGCAAGCCTTTTGCCCTATCTCAAAGACGACGGCGTCTTCTTGTCGATTCGAACTTCGAAAGCGTGCGATCGTGCCCCTCCCCGCACTGTCCTTAACGCGAGCAAATGACGTTCAATAGACCCTGCCACCTTAGGCGAGGTGCAAATATACGAAATCTTCGCGGGTGCGTCTGGCCTCTACCGGCGCTCGCTGTTCTCGCCGTATTCATGCTGTGGACCCTGACACGGCGTCTTCGCCTCCTCCGCCTTTGCCGCGACTGCCACGAGCCACGCGCGGCTGTATGCGAAACCGAACGGCGTAAGCGAGCACTGCCTCCTCTCTCACACCAAACTCTATCAATCGATCGTGGCTGGCTTCACAGCACGTTCGTGGGTCCGGCAATCCTTCAACTTCTGGACCCAGCCTTCGGTCTGACACTTCGTCTTCGGTGTCTTCTTCAGCGCATAGTGCCAATTTGCAATCGCACATTTCAGAATGCAGCCAGCGGTCGTATCTATCAGCGCAAATTCAGGTGCACATGCGAGCATGCACGAAGACTCTCACTCAAGGAAAGCGAGCTGGCATCGGCTACTATCCGAGACACTGGCCGGTATCGTGCATCTGAACGCCAATTTGTCTCTTCGTACCCCCTTCCAATGGCCGGCGTATGGTCTGCCCTGCGGCTCAACGGATTGGAGCGGCGGTGACCTCGTCTTCCGCTCGAGCTCGCCAGCTGGAGCTCGCGGATGTCTCGCCAGCGTTGCGAGATGAATGACCAGTCCGGCTATGCACGACAAATTGCCTCGTGGTGTAGGAACATCGAGGCGAGCTTTCATGGGTATATAGTTCAGAGCCGGAGGTCGGACGCGTCCAATCTGCAACCAAAATCATCATGTGCAGCGATCGTTCCATGACTATCAATCAGCCCGCAAGGTGCGGACTCTTACTGAAGCAGCGTGTCAGCTTCATGACCTTCCCAACTGCGGACAGAACGCCGGACACAGACTGTAGACCCTGAAATCACGGCGACCAAGCGATCATCACAAGGAAAGGGTCTCACGAGACCCGTGTCTCGCCGGCCGCATTTCAAATTCGTATCGACGCCTGCCTCATCGTTCCAGCACCATCAGCCGGCGACGACGAAGTGCGAGGAACTGCGAGTGCGAGACCGGCCTGTGGTGCCTGGCCGAAGCCAGTATATCCGCAGGCCGCATTAGCGTGGCACTGTACGGGCCAAGATGCGCCTCGCTTCAAGGCGTTCAAAAAACATTGCCGAAAGACTCGACGACACCGGCAAACAAATGGCTCTGTTTTCGCGTGCAGACCATTCAGGAACGGCGATGCGGTACTACCTCACAGCCGAAAGAGGAGAGCTGTCATCCGGAATCCGGGTCCAAGACACGAAAGCATGTCATCTCGGCGTGAGCTGGTGACACACTGCGTCCAGCAATGCAACCTGAAGTGCCCCGAGGATGCTCAGACGTGAACGAAGGAGGCTAACTGACACTGTGTCGCAATCGAGGAACGAACCGCCATCTTGGCTACGTCGCAGCTCACAAAGAGCGCTGCGTCTGCAAGACGGTACCCTGATGCGGAGAAGAGGACCTTTATGCCAGCAGAAATAGCATCGGTCTCCAGACAGCAGCCTCGCTGCGTGCCGCCAAGCCAAATGGCCAAGGTCGAGAGCGTGGGAAAGTCTTGCGTCTGGCCACTTGGCTCCTCGCAACCCTGCAAGCGACTCGCAACACCTCTGCTCAACTGAGAGGCTTCTCTTTGACCGGTGCGCTTCTCGCAAAGTGAAGCTAGAGGATCCAGACCCGTGCCTGATCCTCTCGTTCTGGCTACACCGCGAGCCTCGACCAAGATAAGCAAGACCTGGAAGTTCGAATGGCCCACTGAGCCATCGGAAGTCGGCCTTAACACGAGAAAACTTTGCAAAAAAATTAATAAGGCGTAGCACAGCCATCTCGCTTGCCTGGCGAGGCTCTCATTGCATCACTCTGCGTAGGCGTCTTTTCGGCCGACAGATCCTTCACGAGGAGGCCTACAGCCTGGCTTCTCGACAAGCCACGTGCGATGCCTCGCTGCGCTGCGTTGGCGACAACTGCAAGCAGAGCGACGCCCTGTTTTGTAGGCCCGCGAGGCGAGCGAGTGGCTTGCAAGCTGGCGAGACCGCGATATGAGTGTGCATGCATAAGGGGAAGGACCGGTCAGCGTCAAGCGGGCAAGTACGGCACCGATCGACATTGCGGACCTAGACTCGCAGCCGCAAGTCATCACGTACACAAGGTCAAGCTCAGGGAGCATGGAGCTCGAATTGGGCACGACACGCCTGAGCAAGAGAGGCGAAGTCGACGTGAAAGCTTCGACCTCGAACTGAGCTGCAATCGCTGATCCTCGACGCAGCAGCCTTTGTCGATCTTGGCTCAGAACGCACCGAAAATTGCCGCACGAGATGCACTACCGAAGTTTTGCTTGCTGAGAAGAAGGCAAAATTCACTCAGCTGACAGTGAAACAAAATCGATCTTGCTGCCTGCCCCCCCCCCAAGGTGAAATTGGCAAAAGAGCGGCAGCAATTGGCGCAACTCACACATTGTAAGTCGGTGGGCGTAAAAAGGTTTTGCGTGCTGCCTTTCCAAAGGAAAGTGTGGTACGCAAGCCTCACAAATGTGCACTCACTGATCTCGGTAAAGCGTCAAGGGTCCACTCTCCCCCTGCGGCCCGAGATCGCCGTTGCGTGAACAAATGACGGTGCAGAGCATCCGACGCGCTTGATGGTCGACTGACATTGTCGTTTGCACCTTCATTACGGCCAACACAACCCATCAGCATCGCGACCTCCACACAAGCTAGCCATCGACCGGCTTCGCTGGCCTACCACCACATCTTTCGTCGAATCAGCGTTGCAGTGGGCTCGTACCTAGCCGTTGCTGAGGAGGGTGGATCGAGTGCCAGTGGGAGCTTCTCGGTCCTTCATCTTGGACAGCTTTCCGTTCTGGCAGAGCAACCCGGGACGCTGTCGACTGGCTGGCCGATGCCGGCACCCAGACTCTCATCCGCTCGACGCTGAGCTCGAGCAAGCTTCATCCTCACGTTGCTCAAGTAGCAACCGCATACAGCGAGGTCTCTTGGATGAAGGGCTTGACGCTCTTCAGGATCGAAGCAAAGGCATTGCGAGCCTAGGTCGGGGACAACTCGACTTCTGCTGACAGCACAATCGCAGTTATGCCCGCAATCACCTTCGTCACTCCTCCGGGCAGACCCTCTGTGCTGAGGGGCAACACTGTTCAGGAGGCTAAGGCTCAGCAATCCGAGTTCACAAGCACGGACGACAACGAGAAAGTAACGACGAGTGCGCTACGACAATCCGATAGCGACCCTGCAGCTGACATGGAGACGAGAGCAGAGGCAGAACCGCTCAGCTTTCAGAAGCGCATACTGCCGCATCTGACAACTTCGCCCGAAGCAACATCAGGCGCATTCGCTCTCGCAGCGTCACGCAAACCCATCGACGAGACCGTCTCACGTCCTTTACACTCCGACGAGGCGAAGAAGCGGTCGCTGCTGTCAACTGCTATGGCTGGATCGTCTGCTCAACCGCCCCGCAGTCTCTCGACAACCAATCTGGGTATTCTGCGCAGAGCAGAGTCCGAGACTGCCCGGGCGAGTCTGGACGGGGCGCGAAAGGAAGCATATACGGCGACCGAAGCTCCTGTGACAGTGTCTCGACCCCGTCTGCACTTCGTCGAGCCGCAGAAAGATCACATTGCCGCCTATACGTCTCGACAAGAGACGGCATCCGCGCACGCCGAAGCGACAACCTCGACACAACCGCGTGTCCAAGTAGCAGAGCCAACCCCAGCAGCGGCACAGCCGTCAGACACTGAAATTGCCCCGAGGAAGCGTAGTCTGGTGATTCAGGAGCACGCCGATGTCCTTGAACGCGCAGCAGAGCGAGCAGCTCGTCAGACGGGCCATCTCAGCTCGGAAGCCTTGGAGCAGCATTCCCACACCGTCACTACCTCGACCAGATTGCGGCAGCACAGCGGGTCATCAGCGGGAGACGAGACGGCATCCACCCGATCCAGCTGGGCTATGCGCAGCAACTCTCGTGGTTCGAGCATCGGAACCTCGCCGGGTGTCGAGTCAGCCGACAATGCGGACGAGCCGATTGAGCTGGAGCTGACAAAGCCGTCGGAGCAGCCAACAATGGTTCCGATCTTCACCAAGCCCAGTTTCAGCGACCGTGACAACGATAAGCGTCAGACCGTTCCCACACAATCATCACGCAAGCTAACCTTCATCAGCCCAGCTCCTTCCAAGAGGAGAAGATCACCAGCGGAAGGCGCAGTTACACCTGCTCGTCGCGAATCCGATCCTGATACAGCTTCCTCTTCCAAGAGTGTACATGCTGTCAGCGATAGCGACGGTCAAACTGCTGCTGAAACTTCCCGCAGGGTCCTGGCTTTCGCGGCTTGTCCCAAACCAGAACGATCGGCCAAGTTGTCACCAGCCCATGCTACACGAAAGTCGAAAAGCAAGCTCTCCGCCAGCCCGGCCCCGCACAAGCTGGCGTACTCTCAACGACTTCGAGGCATACGAGGTACCGACCCCATTCGCTCACCGGCACCGAATCAAGCTGGTCAGACCGCAGCCCAGATGAGCCGATGGGATCAAATCCACGAGGACGTCTCTTCAGAAGGCTCAGGCTATAGCGAGGACGAAGAAGATGGCGATTCGGACGAAGATGATGACGACGATGACGACTCGGACAATGACGATGACGATGACGACGACGATTTGAGTCAGTCGAACGCATCCGACATTCAAAGTCTGGCAGAGTCGTTGCTGCAGCATAGTGAAGACGGTGCCAGTCTGCGATCAGACGCTGCTCCTCGTCTACCGTCCAACGCTATCGAAGGATCACGCGAAGCGGCCAAGCCGGCGAAGCACCCATCAGCAGAACAGCACATTGCTCGAATGACTCCCAGCGACTCGCAGCCGGGACCAAGCCAACAATCTTCACGCAGGCAGTCTGGCAGCTCCTCACAAGGCCCGCCATTCCCTGCAAGCAAGACCTCGCCCGGACCGACATCGCCGACTCGAGCGTCGCAGTCCTCGCGGTCCAACCAGACTTCTCCGCTTTCACGCAAGCTCAAGCCCAAGGACTCGCTCTCGCATCCAATGTGCTTCCTCCCTGACGCCTTTGAAGAGTCTGCTCCACCTACTCCCACAGAGCCGGATTCGGACGCATATGACCCGCTGCAGCGGGCCAACTTGCTGTCAGGATGGCTCTCGGAAGGTGGCAGTGCGTCAAGCTCACGCCGCGCTAGTTGGCAAATGCAGCACCCGACAGGAGCAAGTCGCCGAGGCAGTGGTGAAGAGGGACTAGCAGTGCCCATTGATACGTTGCCACCCTTCCGTCGTGCCCGCGAACGCGCCGCTTCGCCTGGGCTGACCAGCGAAGGTGAGAACACAAGCAGATCCCTAGGTGGCAATGCCGCTTTCATTCGCGAGTCTGCTGGGCTTGGGAGATCTCCCTCTCACAACGCCGAGACCGTAGCATCTCCACGCAGGCCATCGCACGTCGATGCGCTTGGCATCAGCGTGCCTGTCGCTGGTCGGCCAGCCCAACCCTTCTCGTGGCGTCAAGTTTCGAGCCATCAGGTCCCGCAACGGCCTTCCACGGGCATGACTGGCTATCGCAGAGCGAGTCATTCGGTCGAACCGAGGAAGGCAACTTCAGCGTTTACTAGTCCGGTCGGATCCTACTCGCAGCAGGTGCACATAACTGGCAGGATTACACCTTCACGAGGCGCTGCTGTGTCGAGGCCCTCGGCAGGCAAGCAGAGAGCCGTCTCGTCTTCGAGTCACATCCGCAGTCGACCCTTGGTAGCCCCTAGCACACACGACGACGTGGTCGTAGCAACCTCGCCACCGCGACACGATGCATCTGCTCATCTCAAGCATCACCTCGCCCACTCGCCAACGAGTCCCATTCGTCCTGAGAGTCAACGCCGCGACACGCACGCATCTGGCAGCACGACACCAGGCTGGACGTCGGAGGGTCAACTTCCCAGCCAGAGCACCAGTCGGTACTGGACGCAGCGACTGTCTTCGCTTGCGCAGGCCATGTCGGAGGAGCTGTCGATTGTAGGCAATGCGGTGCTTGGCAAGGAAAAGGTCAGCACAGAGGTGGTCGAAGGCGAGGAGGGGCAGGCGTCACACCGACGTTCGCGCTCGGTCCCGATGGAAGGGGCGGTCGTTGACAGTGCGGCGTCGATCGTACCTGAGGTGTCGCAACAGTCGCTCTCACCGTCCGTGTCGGCAAGACGCAACTCAGCCGGCGTACCCGTCCCCAAACCCAACGCAGCAGGAGCATGGACAGCCAAACGCGACGGTCAAACCCAGCCACCAGTCCGACGCAACAAGCATGCATCGGAGGAAGACGCATCATCAGGAGACGAAGGGAAACCGTTCCGGTTTGCCAAGAAGGAGGTCGGCGAAGACGGCATGACCAGGCTTGTGGTGATTCATACGTCGGAGCGAGCATAGTGTTTGCATTGCATTGAACAATATTTCACAAAGCGATCGCGGTGAGCTGTGTGGGGCCGATGAGATCCGACTTGAGTTGGTGTGAGCCAGTGAGTCGTCGTTTGACAGTGACCTCGAATTTGCGCGACATGGTTTCAGTGGCCGGTGGTGACAAGCCAAACGGCGAGACCTTGCTCTTCCCGCAAAGGACGCAGTGCAGCTTTGGCATTGATCTCGACTCGTTGGGAGCGGCTGACTTGTGCAACAGGATTCAGTGGGCTCTGCCGGTGAGCAAAACGGTGTGGCCTCCGCCTTGCTTGCGCCGTCCAAAGACGCAGTGCAGTGTCGTTGGCCCTGACCGCACGTCGACCGCGGTTGGCATCTCGACCGCTCGTATTATTCGATGAGCCCCTGCGTGCCAAGGCAAACAGTCAGCTTGACAATCTCGAAAGCACTCGCTGTCCTCGCACTGGCATGCGACTCTTTTGGTCGCCTCTGGCTCAGCTTGCGCCGTCAAACGGTCTTCTGATGCTCAGGCACGCAACCGCGCAATCCCTCGTTCGCAACTGTGTCAGATTGATCGGCTGGAGTCTACGAAGCAGACCTGCACATCGTCCCGAACATTCACTCGACCCGCACCATCACACCGTCCACCATGACACTCTTGACCACCCTCTCTTCCTCTCCAACCTCAACATTGAGTTTCTCCCTCAGCCTCGCCCTGTCCGTCTCCTCGACCAGCTCGAACGCGAACTCCTCCTCACTGGTCTCCCTTACTCGTCGACCAAACACACTCGCAAAATGATCCTTGTAACTCCTGGCCACACTCTCCACGCTCTCCTTAACATCGCGCTCACCGTCAAACACCGGATTGTGTCTCGCAAACGGCCCACTGGGATCCAATCTGTCGTGCAAACACGTCATGTTCCTCCCCACAATGCCGCAGGCCACGATATGTCGAAACCCACCCATGGCCCGACCCTCCACATTCAGTGCGAAACCATGACTGCTCACGCGGTGACGCACCTGAATGCCGATACTCGCGATCTTGTGGTACTCATCCGCCCATACGCCGGTGTGGTTCTCCGGTGGGTCCACGGTGAGTATTCCGCGCGCAGCCAAAAGCGAGATGAGCGAATCCTGAATCTTGTCCACATAACACCGGCTGGCCAGGTTCATACTGGACAGATTGAGGATGGGGTAGCCAACCAGTTGACCGGGACCGTGATAGGTGATTTGACCGCCGCGTTTGGTGAGGTGGTAGTCGGCACCGAGAGAGCGCAGAGCGGTGGCGACGAGGTTGTCTTCGGTATCGTGCCGTCTGCCTTCCGTGTAAACGGGTCGGTGCTGCAGGAGCAACAGCGTGTCTTGTGCTGCGAGGATTTCAAGCGTCGACTGTCTGGTGGACGGCGAGATGCTGCTGTGTCCAGAGAGGGTCGATGCGGAGGAGGAGGTCGAGTCCGAGAGAGCGCGCAGGGCGGCTCGTGCGTCCGAGCGTTGCTTGACAAGGTGCTCTTGCAGCGCGAGGCCAAGGTCGTACGGCACAAAGCCAGGGATGTAGATGGCGCGAACGGGAGGAAGGTGCGTGTAATCGCCTTTGGTAGCTGACGCCAGATCGCAGCTGGCTCCAGTCTCACTGTGGGCTCGGGCTGAAGTGGAGAACGCCCGAGCGCGTGCTGCTGCCGAACGAGCGGAGGAGATCCGCATGTAACGTTGCTTGTCCCCATTGGAGACTGGCTTCGTTCTTGTGCCGGGCTGCGATGGTCTAGCTGGCTTCGGAGGTTGCTCCATCCCGTTCCGACGAGGCGTGAGCAAAGGCGCTGTCGCAAAGCGACTTCCTTTTGACCGCGAAAGCGACGACCCAATGAAGGGGTTGTCCTTGCGCTGCTCTTTCGGACCTAACAACTCATCCTGTGCTGTCCTCACAAGGAACGACACGCGTTTCATCGCCTCGTCGTGCGATAGCGGCTCCTCCCTGTCTGCGTTCCTTCGCACCGTCAGCCAGCCCGGCACCGTGCGTGAGGCGTCTGTAGATGTGATCTCGGCGGCGCAGGCCTGATTGAGGGTGCGGATGAGGTACTGTGTCTGACGCAGCGGCGATGCGGGCTGAGCGCTGGTGACAGAGGTCTCGCTGAGAGCGGAAGAGTCGCCGAGGGCTAGGCGAAGGGTCTCGGCCTGCTCATTGTTGCCTTGACGGGCCATGCTTTGCAGTACAGTGTCGAGATTCATCCTGCTCTCCGAGAATCTCTCCGATGCTTCGTTGGAAAAGAGTGCGGCTTGATGTCCCTGTGCGAGAAGAGCATTGACGACCGTCCTGTACGTGCTGGTGGCAGGAGTAATTCTCCACCTCTCGAACAGGTTCAACACGACGATGGCAGCCGGGTAGTCGGCCTCTGCCATGACTGCCAGAAGGGCGCCATTGAGCATGTGGCGATTTCGACAGGCTGCCAGGTTCTCAGTCGAGGAAGGGATCTCGCCTTCGCCTACCTGGACGAGCGAACGGAGCAGGGATCGTGTCGACGGCAGGCCTTCCACGCCGCCCTGTGCTCTAGCAGAAGAGCCTCGGAGTCCTGTGGTCGATGCCGTTTCGGTGTTGGCGATGGACCTGCGAAAGCTGAACAGAGCTTGGAGAAGGTCCGCATCGTTTGCGACATTGGCTCGAATGATGCTGCTGGCTTGTTCGAGAAGCGCGGAGCCGCCGGCCGTCCTGCCGACTTTCGCTTCGAAACCAAGGATAAAGGCGAGCGTCGAGCTGGTGATGGGGACTCCATCGCCGCGCATGAGGCGTATCACTTCTCCAATCTTGGCCGACATTCTTCGGATGAATGCCTCGGAGGACCTGGGAGCTTCTGCTTGCCTGCGGATCCCGGCCATGTATGCGAGATAAGGTTCGGGCACGGTAGGCAGTCGCGGCGTTGAAGAGAGTTGCAGATCCTTTTCTGAGGGCTGCAGCGCGAGTCGATATCGATCCAGCCATCTACGAGCGCCTTCGTGGTCGGCTGCGTCAACACGAGACCGGATCAAGGATGTCCAAATCACAGCGTTGTTGCCCCAACCTGCCAAGTCTACCGGGTCGTCTGCATTGAGCATCGGCATGTCCTCGTGCGTCTCGCCGACTCTCTGTGCACTCGCCCATGTTCTGAGCAGCTGTTCACCCAGCTCAGGTTTACCAATGCCGCCATACACGCGGATGAAGCTGGCCAATGCGCTGTGGGTTATCTGCCTCAGGCACGCGTCCGGGTTGTGTGCTTCCGGCGGTACGAGATTGCAGAGGGCGTTGTCGGCAGCTCGGAGCATTTGTTGAGCGTCGAGGTGACCGTCGAAGGTGGAGAGCATTGCCGAAGTCATTTTTGATGTGGGACGAAGGTTGCGCTCGAGGCCAGCATCGTAGATGGTGGCCATGGCGTACATGCACTGAGCTGGGATGGACAGCGTCTTTGCTGATACGGAAGGATCCAGCATAGAGGGTCTCCAGAGATATCCGGTAGTGGACTCGACAAATTTGGGAGCTGGCCGTGTTGTGGGATGCTGTTTGCTCTGGACGCGCAAAGCGATGACAAAGCTCTCGAGTTGCTGGGAGGTGAAAGGTTTCCGGGCTGGGTTGGCGAGGTCATCAACGAAGGCAGTCATGGCGGAGAGGATGCGATTGAGACGGATAAGTCGGATGATCAGCATGGCTCGGTTGTCGTAGAGCTTGCTTCCGGTCGCTTCAGAGATGGGTGGGGTCCTCTCGACGATGTCCGATTGAGGTGCCTCCACTTGCGCCGATGGCATTTGTGGTCGTGTGGGGGCATCATCGGTTTTCCAGCCTTTCGCCAATGGCCTCGCGGTGGGCGACAAGAGGAAGTGAGGGGGGTTTGCCGAGGTCAAGGCGTCATTGACAAGTCCTTGGAAGGGAAAGGAGGGTGTCCTCTCAGTTGGCTCCGATTGGGTCGCGAGGGTTCGTGATCCGATGTGGCGAGCCTGGTGCAGCATGGATGCGCACAGGCCGATGCTGCTACTCGGGCCTGCAGCAGAGGCTCTTGCTAGAGCTAAGCGGGCCTTCATCGTCAAAAGGGCGCCGCTCCGCAACGATGGTGGAGGATGTCTGCAAGGTTGTCAACGGAGAAGAAAGGGTTTGACAGGTCGGTAGCCGCTCAAAAGGCCGTGGCTGAGTTGCAACACACTCGGCCGATTGGAAGAAATACCTCACAAGAAAGGGGAAGAAAATGATTTTTAGCGGCATTTTTGGAAGAAATTGCACTTTCACGTCAATTTGGGCGCACTGAGCACAAAGTGTGTGCATCAGTCCTGCTTTCCTCCGACCCACCATCACGAACAAGCATCATCACAACTATGGATTCGAATAGCTTGTTGAACAGAATCGATCCTCAAGGAGGAGCAGCCAGAGGCGGGGGTCGTGGTCGAGGAGGTCGAGGTGGGAACCGAGGCGCACCCGGAGGCGGCAGAGGACGAGGTGGTGGACGTGGACGAGGCCGTGGCGGCGCTCGCGGTGGAGCAACACAGCAGCCAGGCTCAAACGTTGTCAGCAGCGTCGACGCAACTCCCGACGAGACACCCGCGCCTTCTGGAACCAGCACACCTACGTGGACGCCCAAGGCAATCGCTCCTGGCACAGACGCTGCCGTCTACCTGACCGATAACAAGTTCGCCGACCTCAAGGGTCAGATCGACGACCGACTTCTCTCGGCGATTCCTTTCCCAAGCATGTCGGCCGTCCAAGCTGCGACTCTCTCTACGGCGCTCGCTGGCAAGGACGTTCTCGCACAGGCAAAGACCGGAACGGGCAAGACGCTTGCCTTCCTCATCCCTTCCATCCAGAAGCTGTGTGCTCTGCCTCGCCCGCCACCTCAAACCTCGATCTCTGTGCTCGTCCTCTCGCCCACCCGCGAGCTGGCGCTGCAGATCGAGAAGGAAGCCCAGATGCTTCTCGCCAATCTCCAAGGCACCTTCTCCGTACAGCACGTCGTGGGCGGAACCAACATCGGAGCCGAGCGCAAGCGTCTCTCGCGCGATCGCAAGGACCTTCTCGTCGCCACTCCTGGTCGTCTTCTTGACCACCTTTCCTCCGACTCTCCCGGTCTCGACCTTCGCAAGGCATGTCAGAACCTCAAGGTGCTCGTCCTCGACGAGGCCGATCGCATGCTCGACATGGGTTTCCGCAACGAGCTCGAAAAGATTCTCAAGATGCTCCCCGATCCGGTCGCTTCCCAACGTCAATCGCTCTTCTTCTCGGCAACGATCCCATCCTTCGTTCACGAAGTAGCCAAACTTCGACCTGACCACGCCTTCATCTCGACGCTCACCGAGCAGGACACCAACACGCACGAGCACGTGCCCCAAGAATCGTACGTCTGCACCCTGCGCGACTGTCTGCCGCGAGCCTTGCAGGTGGTCTTGTCGGAAGCCATCCGGTATCCTGCCAACCACAAGATCTTGGTCTTCCTGCCGACGGCGCGATCGACGTCGTTGGCAGCAGCGGTGTTTACGCAATTGCGAGCACAGCGCGGGTCGGCGTATGCAAAGATGGGTCCGATCTTTGAGATTCACTCGCGCAAATCGCAGGCGATGCGCACGAGAACCATGGAGACGTTCCAGACGAGCGCTTCGGGGATTTTGTTCTCGTCGGACGTCACGGCTCGTGGTATCGACATTCCGGGCATCTCGCTCGTGCTCCAACTCGGGGTGCCAAGCAGTCTGGAGCAGTACATTCATCGATTGGGTCGAACCGCTCGAGCGGGCAAGGAGGGCCGCGGTGTGCTCATCTTGGCCGAATTCGAAGCGTTCTTCCTCAACCAAGCCGATGTGAGGAAGTTGCCGATTACAAAACTCGACATTGCCCAGGTGGAGGCTTCGGCGGGAGTGCCGTTCAACCAGGTGCTTTCGAATGTCGACGGTGCTATGCAGAGCATTGATCCGACCACAAGGAGTCAGGCGTACCAGGCACATCTCGGTTTCTACAAGTCCTATCTCAAACAGCTGAGGTGGACACCGGAACAGCTGATCGCGTCGACGAATGAGTACGCACGCGACATCCTGCAGTGGGGTGCGGGAGAGAGTGGCGCCTGGGTCGGCCCACCGTTGCTCCAAAAGACGGTTTCGATGATGGGCCTGAAGGGCAAGTCGGGGTTGAACATTGTCAGGGAGCTGCCTGGCAAGTCGAACGGTGGCGGCGGTGGGGGTAGGGGAGGCGGTGACAACGGGCTCAAGAGACAGGGTCAGGGTCAGGGCGGACGTCATGTCAACAAGCGATAGATGCGATACTTTGCGCGATAGAGGCTGGAATTGATGCTCGAGCTACAACTGCTCACCATTGCCCACTGTGACGTTGCAGCCTGGACTTGTGATCAAGCGATGAGCGTGTAACGGGAATTTTGCAGATTGAGTGGGGTTGTGAGACGGATGGCGACCCGGTGATGAAGAGCAACCCCCACGCTCGGTCTCATCAACCACTGGACAGCTGCGTGGGAAAAGGGCGAGCGTGCGGATGGCGTCTTCGCAGGATGAAGTCGGTCTCGACCGGATCATGTGAGGGTGAGTGGGCGACTGAAAAGGGAGATGAATGTGATTCGACTGTTGGTCAGGTTGACGCAAAGACAGGCAACGGCTGCAATGGTGAGTAGCTTAAGGGAGCCTCGCAGCGTCCGCAGGAGTACTTATATCGTAAACACCCCTCAGCCCCTTTCGCAGCCTTGCCCTCTCGTCATTCGATCAGCATCAAGCTAGTCCCAACATCTGCCGTCTACATCCTTCAATCACTGTTCCGATAGCGGCAAGATGCGTTTCACCACTCCACTCCTCACCTCCCTCCTTCTGGGCCTCACCCTGACTCACTCAGCCTTGGCCTCGCCCGCGGCCTCCTCCAAGCCGAACGAGGACCTCAAGTTCATCAAGCGTTCTCACCACTCGCACCACTCCTCCCCACCCTCCAGCCGTGGTGGTGGTATGTTCGGCAGCTCCTCCGGCTCGATGCTGCGCACCGTTGCTGGGGGCACGGCTCTTGCCGGTGGAGCAGTCTTTGCCGGTACCGCGGGCGGCATTGCTGCGCACCACCTGTTCGATGACCACGAAAGGGACGAGTCGCCTCGACGAGAGGAACGTCAGGAGGACGACAGGGTGCAGCAGAAGGTGCCGATGGCCCAGCAGCTGGGCGTGGAAGGTGTGAATGCGAATGGTAGGGTGGAAAAGGGACAGGTTTATCCTGTGGCCGTGTTGATGTCCGATGGCAGTTTCCGGGCTGTTCCGAACGATAACGGTGGGGGCCAAACGGTGCCGCCTCCGTTCATTCAGACGGCTCCGGTGTCGGGTCAGACTGGAGGTGATCAGACTCAGACTGGCACTGGTGGTGCCGCCGGTAGCGGCGGATCTGGTGCCCCGTTCATCTTCCCTGATGGCAACTGAGCAGCCCTCGGCGCTATCACGAGTGATACCTCGTATTCATCCGAATCACGATCTTCGATTTGACCTCTCATTCTATTCGAGTTGCGCAATCGCCATCGCTGTTATGATCGATCCTTTTCAAAGTGTGATGTCTGCTGATCTACAATCTGAGTCGTATCCCTCTCCTCGACATTTCCCTTGCCAGCCCACAGCACACACCCGTATACACCAGCAGAATCCCCACCGCCACCGCGTCGCTCGTATACATTGTCCTCACCGTCACGTTCACCAGCCCCGTTAGGAGGTTCGCGACCAAAAACACCGTCAACGAGTGTCGATTCACATCCTCCAACAGTCCCGGTGTCACCCCGTCTTGCCCCTCAGCAGGTTGCAGCACCCACAAGTACACCAGCACGTATGCGAGCAAAAACGACGTGTTGAACGCGACGACCCACAGTACGTAGGGCAAATTTGCGAGTCGTCGACTGGTTCGCAATCCCACCGCACCCGTCATGGCGTAAGCGGCCCACCAAAGGACGGCGAGACTGCCCAGAACCATGGCCAACTTGTCCGTCCGCGGTCTTGTTCTTCTCCGCCTCAGCTTGCGATACGCGAAATACGGATCGAGCGGTAGAACGTAATGCCCCAGATCGAGACCGATATAGAAGATCGCCAGATACCCGACCATACTCGTGAGACCTTCCTTGTTTTGGCTTGCCAACGTGGTTCGTGGGATTGTGTCGGACAACGCCCACTCCTGCCATTGCGTCAACTTCAGCAGGGTTTGGTGGGACAGCGTGAGCGCAAGACCGAGCAGGCTATACCGAATGACCCGCGCAAAAGGTCTCGACAACGTCGCTGCAAACGGCAAAACGCTGAGCGTGATGAAAAAATTCCAATGCACGCCGTACTCGCTGAGATGCTCCGGATACTCCACGCCCTTGACCATGACCACCCGCACGGAACCCAGCACCAGCAGCGGGAGAGCCTTGCGAAAGTCCGACAGAAGCTGCTGTTTCAGCGGCCGAAACCGATTGCGCGGACTCTTGAGGAAGGGAAGAGCCGAAATGATGCCAAGCGAAAAAACGAATGAGCCAACCCCCATGTCCATCCAGCTGGTGCCGAAGGATTCGCATTTCGAAAGAAAACGCGGGAAGACCGGAAAGTCGACGGCGAGGATCGAGATGATTGTGACCAGCATCATGTGTGCGCGGTAGACGGTCAGGAAGGGTTGGGGCCGGACGAAGAGGTTGCGATCCATTGTCGTGGACGATGGTGTTGAGGATGAGGTGCGAGTCGGACCTCGTCGAGCGGAAGAATCGTCGATCGAAGATGTCGAGTGGTCCAGCGATGACTGCTGCCTGGCTTTGCCGAGCGGGTCCACGACGCTTCTCGCTAGAGGCGACAGGGTCGACGATGCTGACGCCAGAGACTGCGCATCGGATCCATCGCGTGAATGAGGCTGCTGGATGGCTGTCGTTCTGAGTGCGGTCAGTTCCGCCCGTTTGGGCGAGGAAGAAGCTGAGGTGGACGCTCCCGCAGGCGACAGCAGCGAAGCGTCTGTGTTTCGAGAAGAGGTCGCTGAGGTGGACGAGCCAGGATTTGGACTTCGAGATGCCGTGTCGATCGCTGTGTCCAGCGACAGCTCCGTGTCCAGGCGCAAGGGCGAGCCGGGTCCATCGTAGAAGGTAGGCGGAGCAGCAGCTGCATGTGCGGCGTCGGCTGCTGAGTCGACTGACACACGGAATGGCAGATCTGCCTCTGCAGCAATCGTGTCAGTAGAGTCAGACGGAACCGATGCTTTGTGGTCCTCATCGGCGCTGTCATCGTCGGACTCCTTCTTGGACCAGTGTCGTTTCTGCCTCTTGTCCTTGTTGGGCCGCAGGTGGCCCGGTAATGGTGGTCCGCTGCGGATTAAAAAGGCCAGCACAGCAAGCAGCACACAGTTTGTCGCGATGAGATGAGTAGCTAGCACAGTGTGTGCGCTGACAGCTGGAACGATGAGGATGAGAAACTCGAGCTGCCAGTCGGACAAACTTGCTGTCGCGGTCGATATTGATGCTAGTGTTGCCAGCTCTCGCGGTGGACGTCGATGTTGTGCGCGCACGAAACGAATACGTTTTGCCCTGAGCACGGCCCATACCGCGTAGGTGAGAAGCATGACAAGGCCGAGAGCATTGATGGAGTGAATCGAGCTGCCGGTCTGGTCGGCGATCCAGGCCTCCTTGAGTTGTTTGTACGAAGCGCTGTCCGCGGAGACAGCCGTGCCAACAGCTGGATGGTATGAAATTGGGAGCGCGATGTTTCCGAGTGGTGGTGGATCATGTTGGCTGCTATGTTCGTATTGCTGGTGGTGAGTGCGATGGCGATGGCCAGCATCCACCGCAGCGAGAGGGTCATGAGCACCTCTGCCGCCGACCGGACGATCCATCGTGAAGATGCAAGTCAAGCCTGGAGCTGCCAAGGGCGTCAAAGCATGATGAATCGGATCGTTCTGGCTTTGAAAGTGCCTTTTACGAAGACGAAAGCTGCTGGTGATGTTGATGTAGTCGTGGCCGTCGGTAGTAATTGGACGAGAAGAACGTCAAGACGCCGTTCGTCGTCGTCGGCCTTTGACCGGCGCCGCCTGAACCCTATTTTTTGAGCACGGTCCCTCCACATGGAGTTGGCATGCATGAATCAGGGGCCATGTAGCTCGCCTGGTAGAGCAAACAAGACTCTTGCCTCTACACCATCCTCCTCCTCCAGCCTCCCATCCTTCATCCTCGTTGCCAAGTCCGAAGGAATCGGCCTTTGCTGAGCTGCTATTGCAGCTCCATCGACATTGTGCAAGATGTCGACGACACCCGATCCATACCTTCTAGCATCGACCATCCTCACCCCAGACGAGCTCCCCAAACTCGCTCTCGTAACATACGACCCCTCTACCACCCAGGCCTCCACCGCCAGTAGCAGCAGTACACCTCTCACGCACACACAACGCATCTTCGTCATCGTCTCCAACATCTCGTTCAACGTGGAGCAATGTGCAGTCCTCATCATCAAGCCGCGTCGCAAAGATCCTTCCACCGCCATCCTCCTGGACGTAATCCCCATCCTGCCGGATCTCAAAATCGAGATTGAGCCGCAGCAAGGTCTCACCGCCTCTGCTGCCACTCCACGTAATCGTCCCCCCTCAGCTACGACGCTAGGTCTGTCGAGTCTGCCACAGACGCTGCCGACCATCCACACGCTGCTCGAGAGCGTCGTACCCGATCTGTTCGATACCAAAACCGAGAGCTCGAATGCCGCACTCAAGTTCACCCTTTCGCACTCCACCCAGTCTGCGAGTGGGATCACAAGCGACGCTGCGGGGCTCAAAGACTTCCTCAGCGTGCTCAAAGACCTACTCAAAGTGGCGGAAGACGAAGCCTTCTCAATAGACAGGTCGCATCAATGGATGAAGGCTTACACGGAAGACCTCTCTCGGCCACATCATGGTCCGGTGAAAGAAACGCCCATCTTCTCGCGATTCTCCCACAGCGGATTTCTTCCGAGCACGGCTGCGCGGCAAGAGCCGCCCCGACCAGCCTCCCCGACCTCCAACGACCTGCGCATCTCGGTCGGCAGTTTTAATGTCAACAGCCACCTCCCCGCGGACGACATCCCGACGATCATCGGACTCAAAAAGTGGATCCGCGCAGAAGAGGATCCTGACTTGATCATCGTCGGCTTTCAGGAAGTGGACAATTCGTCCGGTGCATATTTGTACCACTCTCCAGCCCGAGAAGAGGCATGGACACGAGCGATCATCCATGCTCTCGGAAGACGTGCCGAGCGGTATCGCAAGATCGCCGCAAAGCAGCTGGTGGGGCTGATGATCCTGGCGTTTGCACGGGCGGAGGTGAAGGCGGAGCTCGAGGAGGTCGTGACGGCGAGTGTTGGTGTAGGGCTGGGAGGGTTCGTTGCGAACAAGGGCGCGGTGGCAGTGAGGATGAAGGTAGGGAACAGGACGCTGTGCTTTGTCAATTCCCATCTCAGCGCGTTTGAAGGGCTGCAGGCGATGGAAAGGAGGTGTTGGGATTGGAACGAGATCTACAAGCGTTTGCGGTTTCGGGTGGAGCAGCCGAGGATGATGGACTTTTGGGAGACGCCTGGGCGGCATGCATTTGATGGCGAAGGGGTAGAACGAGAGGAGAAGCGGTTTAAGACGAGTCAGAAGGTCAAGGAGGACACTGTCGCTGTCGATCCACCAAATGGTAGCAACGAGAGCAGCGTTGATGGGAGCAACGACGAACCACCCACTCTTCACGCCGCCGCCGAGACCCTCACTCCACCACCCAGGTTAGCAACCGAGCTGACGGAAGCCTCTTCGAACTCCATCACCGCCTCCTTTCGTCCCCCCTCCACCTCCCCGCCACCCACCACCACCGCCCACACCACCATCCCCTACGTCGAACACGCCATCCTGTCGCACGACCTCGTCATCCATTTCGGCGACCTCAACTTCCGTCTCGACATCTCGCACTCGGAAGCCCATCGATTGATCCGTCAACGCGACTACCCCACGCTTTACCGATACGACCAGCTGGAATCGCTTCGCACATCCGGTTCGCTCTTCGACGACTTCCACGAAGGACCGCTGGACTTTGCACCCACGTACAAGTTCGACAAGGGTACAGATCGATATGACACGAGCGAGAAGGAGAGGGTTCCCGCGTGGACGGATCGGATCCTGTGGGCCGTGACGAGTGAGTGGGAGGACCAAGGGGAGAGTGCGACGTGGGAAGGCGAGGATGGGGAAGAGGAGAAGGAGAGGGAGAAGCAGAGGAGACAAGGAGTGGTGTTACAGTCGTATGAGGCAGTGACGGATCTCAAGTTCAGCGATCACAGGCCTGTCAGGGCGACGTTTCTTGTGCGCATTCGATGAAATGTAGCATCAAACGACGTTGCAGATGTGTGCCGAAGGTCATGGTTCTCGCGGCAGCATCAAGTGACGATACAAGCCGCAAGATTATAGACCTAGACTCCTGAGAACGCCCAACCAGCCCCTCCCACCCCACCGCACCCATTCACCGGCATTGCCGGCTATCCCGCCCAGTGTGGCTGCCAACCCCGTCTCCCTCCCCTCCACAGCCCGTCTGAACAGCCGCTGCGTGTCCTGAAAGTGCGCAATGCTCGGCGAGGCAGCGTGAAGTGTTGCTGCGGTATATGCGAGCGTCAGCCTCGTCCGCAACGAATACCAGTCGGGACCATCCGGGTCGATGTACCCCGTGCGCGCTTGGACAGTCGGATGCGTCAGCACCGTCGAGATGAAGCCCGAGGTGAGATTTAGCAGCGGAAGAGGCGTGGGTAGGTTGGGTAGCACCGTTTGGTGCGGAAACACCGAGTGGAGGGTCGATGATGTTGGCGACAAGGTGGACAAGGATGTGATACCCTATGCGAGATCAAATGGAGGAGTGTCAGCGTGTGAGTCTGGAAGAAGTGTGGTGGGGGAAAGCGTACCTGTGTCAGATGCCCCCGAACGGACCAGCTCAGTCGCAACCTTTCTTCAATCACAGCTGCTACCTTCTCTATCGCCGCCCGCTCCTCTGCCTTGGAGAGATTCTTGCGCGTGTTCACGGGCTTACCCTGCGTCTTGCCCGCTTCTTCCCCGGTCCGCAGCGACGCCAGCACGGTTTCGGGCGAGACACCGTGTATCACAGATAGGTCGCATAGGCTGTTCCACGCTTCAAACAGCTTCGCGTCAAAGGAGGACTCCGGACCAGGGAAGAGCGTCGAGACGACGCGCATGCGTTTGGACAGCTCGTCGGTGTCGAGGGGGTCGGCAGAGGTGCGCAGGTAGGCCTGCCGGGTGAAGCCATATTGTGGGATGTGTGGGATCGAGTCAAGGAGCAGAAGTGTGCTTGCATCTGGTGCGCTGTGCGTGGTGTGGTGTGGACTGCTGCTGCTACTGCTACCAATGGGTGTCTGAGACGAGCTAGCTGATGGAGATTCTGAGGTGCGCGAGCTCGATGCGATCGATCGTGAAGATTGCCGGGATCGTAGTCGAGGCTGTATCGCTGAACGGGCGGGGATGGCGGCGCGCGATGGTCCAGCCACGCGGGCGACGGTGTGCATCGCTCTCAATGCAGATCTCACCGACATCGTTGCTCGTATCAGCCCAACGGTGAGGACGGTGACGATGAGCAGGAAGCTAGAAGCACCCGACGTTTCTTCTCGAATCAAAACCGGCTGCATCAAGTGGAGGCAAAATCAGGTTTTGCGCTCCCACCATCTCAACTCGACGGGCTTTCTGCGAAGCACCTCGCCTCAAACGTCGACCACCCCAACCTGACACACACACACACACACAATAAGCGTTTCGCAATCATCATTGAGTGTGCGTCTAAACACCATACAGCACGCTCTTGTAATCGCGCAGAATGACACCCACACTCTCGGGCCCAGACAGTCCGACCTCGCTCGCCACGGCCGAGATGAACCTCGGCGGGGTCACATCGTACAGCAGGTTGACCACCGCCAGATTCGGCGAAGTCTCCCACTCCTTGACATCGATCAGCCCTCCCTTCCTCTCCTTTTCACTGTCCTCCTCCGCATCGAAAGCCTCCTCCGACGATGGCAGGAGCAAGTCTCTCGGGTTGCCCGCCTCGTTTTGGACGAACGAATCGAGCTGCACGCGCTCCGAAAACTTGTACGTCTCGCAGCAGACGATGACGGGGATGCCCTTTTCCTTTGCCATCATTGCACAGGTGGCTGTGCCGGCGCGAGAGTAGAGTGCACCGTTGGCAAGAAGCGCCGATGTGCCTAGAAGCAAAATGTCCGCCCGCGGCATGAGCGACGAGAGGCTCGAGATCAGGCCATACGTGCACGGAATCCCGGCCGCAAGCAGCACCGACAACAACGCTTTGCCCTCGAGCAGAGGTCGAGTGTCAACAACGATCACCTCGAAGCGGACCCCACGCTGCCATGCAGCAAGAAGCGTGCCTTCAACAACCGACGAGCGCGCAAAGGTCATGACCACATCGCCGTCCTTGATCTTGTTACCCGCCTGGGTGCGGATGATCTTGGATGCGTAGACGATTCGATCGCGTACAAAGTGGTCGATGCGTTCGAGCAGGTGTTCTTTCGCCTCGTCTTCTGTGAGGTCCGCACTGACGACCGAGATTTCGTACTTGAGGTATCGTACCGCGACACCCTGCGAGGTGCCAAGTGCACGCGCATCGACGAGGTGCCCGACCTGAACAGAGACCGTCTTGAGGAGATCACGATTGAGCATCTCGCCTCGGGGAGTGGTGTAGTCGCGAATGACGTCGGCCATGGCGCGCAGCAGAGCGATGGCGCGAGTGTCGGCGCCCATGAGCTTGTACTGTGCCAGCTGGGACGAGAGCCGCAAGATGGAAGGGTGGATGTTGGAGCGGAACGAGGCCGAGACGAGGGCTGCAATGTGCGCATTGTGCGGCTTGCCGGAGGAGACATTGCCAAAGAGGGCGACGCTGGGATGCTGAGGGATCGCTTTTGCGGCGACTTCAGCATCGTGTGCGCCTTTCCTTGCTCCGCCGGTCGAGGCCACGGCAGCCCCTGTCGCACCAGCAGCAGCACTCGCTGACGCTATTGCGGCTCCGCTTGCACCGCTACTCCCACCTGCTATCCTTGCGTTGCCTCCGGCGTTGTTTGCAGATGAGGATCCGGGTCGCCTTCCTCCTTGAGCATTATCGCGACTCGACTGCTGGCTGCGGTCTGCCGCACCGCCTCGCTGAGCAGCACCGGCTGCTGGCGGTCCCTTGTGAGGCGTAGAAGCCGCTTCCGGACCCCTCTCAGCTACCTTGGCTGCTCTGCGCGCGGCCTTGAGCTCCTTGGCCGACTTCTTGTCGTTGGCGCTTTCCTTTGCGAGTTGCTTAGCTGCCTCGGCTGGCTTTGAGGTCGTCGCTGTGCTGGGACCTGCAGCTGCGCTAGAGCTTGTTGCTTGAGTAGCGCCCGCTGGTGTTTCTGCTGGTGCTTTCGAGTCCGACATGATCAGCGTTCGACGGTGCGTAGCTTGCGTTCCGACGATGATGATGGTGTGGAAGCAGTTAACTAGGAAGAAAGGGTGTCCGCAGCCAACTTTTTTCCAATCGGACCCGCGCAGCTCGCGAAATTTCCTAAAGCTGTTAGACTAGTAAGAGACTGTGACTCATTTCGACGATACGACGGCCTAACAACGCGTTTCCGAGATTTAGCACTACGCCGCCGTCGTCGTCTCTCTTCAAGGCCGACGTTGGAGCTGACATCGCCCCTGAGGGCCCTAGGCGACATGCATCGTGCAAGCTCGATTGTTTGTGAAGAGCGTCGCTTGCTAGCAGGAGCAATTCCGTCCCCGCGACACATAATTCCGAACTCGCATGGACAGCGCTGTGCCTGACAGGTTCTTGCAGTCGTCATCACCCTTTGTCTGCCCAGTCAAGCTGCAAGGTCCTAGGGGCGCGCTACAGAAGATGTCGATGTGCTTTTGACTTAACAATGATGGCCCTGCAAGGTCGGATACCATGATACTCAGTAAGAGAATCAGGTTCAGCCTCGTTCGGCCGTACAGATATCCAACGAACGCTCATCTTGGTTGTGTTGCGAGAGAAAGATTGTTGCTGGTCGGACGGGGTCTTTGCGAGCATTAATCTGTGGATCATTTTTGTGGACCAGGCACACCGGGCGTACCAAGCAGCACGGCTCGACTCGACATGCTCTCAGAAAAGAGGGTGGCTGCGGCTGCTGCTGCTGCGAAGCGTGGCAACTTGTCTCGCTTAGGACAAATTTAAGTTGGCGGTGAACTACACGTGAAGACCTCGCTTAAACTTTGTGTCCCTGCACGGTCGCGTTGCTGCATTTGGACTGCGGCGTGCGTGGGACCGGACTGCACTCGTTGCGACTCGAGCACCGTCCCATGGCCAGCGCAGGTCATGCGATGGTCGACGGCGCGGGTCAGGAACGATGCTAGGCGCCCTGAGCTTGGGCCACGATGGTGTCAGGGGCCGTTGCGAGCGGTACTCGGTCCAGGAACGCTCCGGTGGGCTTGAGTGAGGGGTCTAGTGCCGTGGTGACAGCGGAGAGTTGATACCACTGGGTGCGCATGCAGAAGCCTTGGCAAGCCCTTCCCGAAGAGGCGAATAAGTTCGGATGCAGCGCATCAAGTTGAGTCCATAGCAGAGTGGCGCTCCGTCGGATCGACACACGAGGGCGCCCGGATCGCACCCTGTCACGCTGCGGATCCCGAAGTCACAGTGCGACGGCGGATCGGACGACGTCGAAGAGCGTCTCTTGAACAATGTCCAGTCATGCCTCGGTGTCCAAAAGCTTGTCTGGAAGAGCCGACGGCTGCGAGTCGAGTTGCAGGGTGGCAACAATGAATGCAACAGGCATGGCAAGCGAGTGAGAATGGCTTACGATTTGTGGCGGCAGGCATGCGTGCAGATTGGATCGGAATTGCCGCTCCTCACTGTCCAACACACGCCAAATCCCACGCTCGACCTAAGCGACATGTACGAAGTCACTGAACTGCATCTCGCGTGAAGAGGAAGCCTCTACATCGCTCTTCGGCGAGCAAAGCCGATGTTACGACAATGGAAGAGGCAAGCTTAGTGAGGCGAATCGATGGAAGTCCCGACAGATTGTCTCGCTGATCTGCATCGACAAGAATCTACAAGGGTTATCGTTGTGGCTGGTGACGGCGGCGTCGGATGATTCAATTCGGCGTGGGAACTTGCAAATCAGTCTTGGCACGCGTTGATGCTTTTGGCCTGTCACGCCCAATCGCCCGCGGACCAAGCCTGCAAGGTCGACGAGCTGCATGCTACGCTGCATTGTAGTTGACTTGTCAAAGCCTGTGCGTGTGCATATTTCATTGTGCGGTACCGCAGCTCGCTTAGGCACCACGCGGGGCAGCCGTTCTCAAGGAACGCTCCCGCTCAACCCACCGACCCCTTGCGTCTTTCTGTTGATCGAACAACGCCATGCGACTCCCGCCCTCCTTGCTTTGCTTTGATACCCTTCCACGATCGAGCACTACATCGAAAGCCGATCACAAGCAGTGAATAAGGTTGGCCGGCTTATATTGAGTCTGATCAGGCTACCCCTGTGACGATTTGGGCTAGGACAAGCTTGCTTGGCAGTGACGAGCAACGGCTCAAGACAATGGACCCCTTGCAGCTCAGCTGAGCTCCGCACCACTTTGACATCCAAATACGTTCGGGAAAAGGAGTCAGCTTGAGATCCGACGGAAGCTCCAAGCTGACTTGCAAATGGATCTGCCGCTAGCTTTTGTCTGTTTGTGATCCCGCTGCTTTGGCTGGTGTTGGTTAGATCTAACTTACCGCATTTTCGAGGTCAAGAGCATCGCAAATTTGCCCTTTTTTGCTACTCCGACGCGCTGAACCGCTTCAATCGCTTTCCCCCGAATTCGGAGAGTGTGGCAGCACCAACGGTTCGCTTCCGGCTGGCTGGCGGGCTGACTGGCAGCCAGCAGCGCGTGTGATACCTCGCTTAGCAGACACGACGCCTCTTTTTTTTTTTTTCCGTGGCTGGCTTTTCCCACGAGTCTGGGCTCGAGTTTGAGTGAGTGACAGCAATTGTGCCTTGTCTCTGCTGCTGTTCTGCCGCTCCCGTGCTCTTGTCTGCATCAATGCACACAATCAAGCGTATGCATGCACTGCTGAGTGGCTGTCGGCAAGATGAGTGGACTGGATTGCACTCGACTTGCACTCGCTCTCGACCTTTGGCTCTCCGCCTGAACCTCAGCAGCGGCTATCCAGTCGTTCTTCGCTTTCCTTTCGCGGTAGACTGCGTGACAGGCCAAAAGGGAATCACCTTTTCTATGGAGCCGAGGTTCAGCTGGTCTCCTACCTTTGCACCGGCTTGAGCTTATTGTTCCCCATACGCAGCGCAGCAGAGACTACAAAAGCGAGTTGGGGTGCAGCCGCTTCCTTCCCTTTGTCGACATCGTCCCTCCCCACCTCCCTCCCTCCCTCCGTCATCCATCCTTCTCATCACGGATCGCTCATCCTCGTCGCGCTTCTCCTCCTTCATCAACAAGCCTCGTTCATCTCGGCTTGAGATCCGGTCGCTGTCCGCATTGCAACTTGGTCTCGTCTGCTCCAGCTTAGATTCAGGAAACACACTTTCGGTCATCCATACTCTTGCCAGCCTTGCTCTTGTCTTCTGCAACAAACCGTGTCTAGCTCTATCTAGCATTTGCCCTCCACGAGAGCTTCTGTGAATCATCTAAACGGCCACCCAGGCTGAAACGACAACAATGGCCGCCCTTCACGAGCTGGTGACTCGCGGGCTCTACAAGGAGCCCATCCTGCCCGCCAGCGTCAACACCGCCAACCTCACCGCCGTCGCCGAATACTATGTCGTTCACCGCATCCCCCAACGCTTCAACCCCGGTATCGTCGTCGCTTCCATTGCTGTCGCCGCTCTTGGCTCCTACTCTACCCTGCTCCTTCTTGGAAAGCGTACATCGAACAAGGGCAAGAAGAACATCTTCCTCCTCTCCTTTGCTGCTACCACCATGGCCGCCGTCGGTATCTGGGGAATGCACTTCATTGGCATGCACATGAGTCTCCATCCCATGGAAGGCGTCAACTGGTACATCAAGGTCGACCCCGGCTTCACCGTGCTCAGTCTCTTTGTCCCCATCATTGCTCTTCACGCCGCCTTCTTCATTGTCGACGCCGCCATCGCCTTCAGCTTCATTCGCACCACCATCAGTGGCATCCTCACTGGTCTCATCGTCAGTCTCATGCACTACTCGGCCTCGCTCAAGACCAACTATGCCGTCAGCTACAGCCCGGCTCTCGTCGCCATCTCGATCGTGGTCGCCTGCGTCGCTTCCACGGTCGCGCTCACCGGCTTCTTCAAGTTCCGTGCGCAATGGGAAGATTCGTGGTGGAAGCGTATGCTCTGCGCCTTCGGCCTCGCCGCGGCTGTCTCGGGCATGCACTACATCGGTGTATGGGGTACCAGCTACAAGGTCAAGGCTTCCACCGTCACCGGTGCCATGGAGATCAGCCTGCTCTCGGGTCGTCAGCGCAACAACATCCTCGTCATTGCCATTGGCTGCATGTGCTTTGTCATCATCTGCCTCTCCATCTTCATCGGCGTCTCGGACATGCTCGTCGTGCGTGATGCGCGAAGAAAGTCCAAGAAGGTCGTCCTCTGCTCGGCTACATTCGATAAGCAAGGTCGCCTCCTCGTCAAGCCCGACGGCACCATGCCTCTCATGATCATCGAGACCGACGTCAACACTCGTGACATTCTGGATGCGCTTGACAATCGTCAGCCCACCTTCCAGTGGCTCTACTCACTCTCGTGGGATTGGGCTATCATCGCCCCATGGCTTCGTGCCATCACCTCGCGCTTCGCTCAGCAGACACAAAATGTTGAACGCAACGAGGCTCCCTGGAAGAGCCGCGGCAAGAAGATGATGGCCCAGGGACGACGATCCGTCGACCTCAACGACGACCGACGCAAAGGTCCTCAGGGTCTGGCCGACTTCCGCGACCGTTTCGTCGACGCTGCCTTCCATCTCGCTAACGAGCTTGACATCCCCTTCGAGGAGATCGGAGTTCTCTACGATCACGTTCTTCCCACCGGCACGCGAAGGAATGGCATCAACGGCAACAACGTCATCACCGACAAGTTCACCCCTTCGCGTCAATTTGCCGACGACGAAAGCTCGATCAACGGACCCGTGCCCAGCATCTTCGGCGAAGGAGGCGATCAGGAGGAAGGTGCGATGCTCTTCCTGGTCCGCGAACTTCCCAACTCGGCCGCCTCGACCGAACGTTTCCGACAGATGGGCTACCGCATGACCGAGACGCGCTTCCTCGCCGGTGTCCTCGCCGACCGCGTCGCCGTCCAGAAGGAGGAGATGGAACCCCTGCTCGACTCGCTCAAGGTCTACGCCAAGCGTGGCACGCGACCCGTCGTCCAGCCTAGTGGAGTCTACTGCGGTCTCTTCGGCGTTCGTGCCTCCACCAGTAAGGAGGGCGGCCTCGACGTGCTCGTCTACAACTTTGCGCGTCACCAGATCCCCGCCTACCGTCTTCCCGATGTGCAATGCATTACGCCGGAGATGAAGACGTTCCTTGGCTCGCTCGATCAAGCGACGATGGAAGAAGCGATGAAAGTCTGCGAGCGCGAATCGATCCGATCGGGCGAGCGCCGCAAGTACCTTCAGTCGATCTCTTCGGTCAACGTGGCCAACAGCCACGAATACGAGGCGGAGCAGGAAGCGGTTGAGCTCATGATTCAATTTCAGACTGCGCTGTTCATCGCTCTGGATGCGCTGCACAACTCGGTGCGCTTCTACCCGCGCATCTGCCAAACCGCCCGGATCAGCGCCGAGGTGCTCGAGGTGCCTTCGAGCCTGGACGACTCGACTGCCCCCGCGGAGATGATTCTCGTCCAGGCGGTATTGCCCGAGGCGCGGCTGGCTCCAGCTGGCTACGAGGCGCAGCATGCAGTACTCGACGTCGTGCCCAGCGACAAGCCGAGCTCAGCCACACCTTTCGTGTTTGTTCCCTACACGCTCTTCTCCAAGTCGCAGATGATGCTCCTCCGCGGTCGACAAGCCGATGACTTTGAGCACGAAGTGGTTCTCGAGATGCGTCGTCGCTATCCGTCATCCCTGCAGACGGAAGCGGAAGAGCTGGGTGCCTACGAAACGCCCCTCCGTTCCACGGGCAACCCTTCCTCAGGACGATTCACCAAGACCTACACCTCGGAAGACGAGGACAAGCTGGAAACCTCATCCAAGTACAGCGACGATCATCCGGCGTCGCCCATCAGCAACAAGGTTAACCTGTTGCCGAGTGGCAAGCAGTGGGGTGGACGGGAAGGGGAGTATTCGTCGCCGACGGCGCTGTCGCCGGCTCGTCGTCCGTCGGTGACGTCGTCGAAATCGCGCGAGGATCACGAGATGAAGCAGCTCGATTCGCGCAAGCCCGTGTCGGGTCGAGGGGCGGACGATTCGATCACGGAAGAGGCTCGCTCGGTCACCTCGGACATTGTGGAGAAGGAGACGCAGTCGCCGGTTCGACCGCGCTTGTTGCAGTCTGCGAGCGCCAGACCGTCCACCGCCCCGGCGAACGTGTTGAGGAGGGACATGAGCTTCCTCCGCCCCTCGTCGTCGGGTAATGGGGCGACGGGAAGGACGACTGCGAGTCAGAGACAGCAGAGGCGCGGAAGGACGGCGGTCCCTGGTGGTGCAAACGAAGAGGGCGCCTTCAGCAGGTTGCAGAGCGACGGTTGGCACGCGAGGCAGATTCAGAGCCTCGAGAGGAGCCCCGCCGGAACCGCGCTTCTGGGTGTGGATTTCTAGAAGTCTAGCATGCTAGGGGTTTGTGTGCAATGGTCATTCTTTTTTCATGGATGCGCAGTTGTGTGACAGGAGACGCGTGATGAGCTCGAGAGGGTTTTGCTTGACATCAAAGATCAAGGTGAGATGACAATTCGGAAGGGCAACTGCTCGAGGTTCGCACGAGTTGTTCCGACCGCACTGGAGCGAGCAATGAGACACGGGCAATGTGATGATTGAGATTTACTTCGAGCAGCAGACATGACTACCGACCAATCTCGGCCACGACCGCCTCGACGAGCATCGGAATGAGCCTGCGCAGCACAGTCCCACTTCCCCCTGCCTCTGCTGGCGTCAGCGAGACGAGCAATGCCCGACGCAAATCCCACACGCCTCTCATCCCAGCTTTCCCCTTCGCTGCATCACCCGTCTGCAGCGCTGTCGCAACCCTCTGCATCAGCAGATCCATGTTCGGGATCGGCTGAAACTGCAATGCTGTCGACTCGACCGGTGTCACCGTCACGGTGCTCTTCTCTGCCGCAGTAGGAATTTTGCCCGCGATCAAGTCGTTGAGCAAATCCGATCCGCCGAACAACCCTTCCTCCTCCTTTGCCTCCGTCGTCGCCATTTCGCTGCGAAACAACGCCCGACTCGCATCCGAAACAACCAACCTCGCCCTCGTGGCCAACTGCACATCCACCGCATATCGATCCGCAAAGCGCAATCGCACCCACGTGGCACTCTTGATCTCCACCTCGGGCACCGTGGGGTCCGACAAAGACGCGGATGCAAAGGGGGCGATCTCGCGCACCAGCGGCAGTGTCTCCTGCAGCAACTTGAAGAATCCTTTCCACACGAGACGTTCTGCGTTGGGGTAGGTAGGTGCGCTGATCGCCGCAGAGCGGGCGGAGACATTGACGGTGCGTCGCAATTCGAATGCCATCACGTTGTGCGGGTTCGCCGCTGCGTGGGCGTCATCGAACGCTTCCTCCGTCAAGCCATCGCTTTTGGCCATCGAGCCGAACTCGAGCGTGTACCCGCCAATCTGGGTGACGGGGATGTTGGTGAACGGCTGCATCTCCACCTTTGCATCCTGCCACCGCACCCGAACCACCAGCTTCCGCTCCTCCCCATAACGGTCGATGGTGCCGTAGGACGCGACAAGTGTATCAAACTCGAAGCGCTGCAGCTCGACCAGCTCGTCGGGCTTCTTACAGCTCCGTCCCTCCCGCACCGCACGAAGCTGCCACGCCCGACTCGCGTTGAGCACCTCGCGCGTCAGCTGCACCATCCGCATCACGCGCTCCCACTGCGCGTAGAAGATCGGGATGCAGTTGTCCAGGTCGCGCGTCGAGAGCGTCAGCAGCGAAGTCTCGTTGTCGAAATCGATCCAGGTGAGGGGAGATGTGGTGTGCGCATCGGCGGTGGGTGCGGACGAGACGATCTCGTGTAAGGGACGGAAGCGGCGCGACTTCATACGAAGCTTGATGTGCATCTGCACGCACGAGCGGTCGCTGTCGTTCCAGTGGCAGACGCGAAGGGAGACGTTGGGCTTGGTGAGGTGCGCTTTGGCCGGGCCGAGCAGGTCTGTGGCACGGAGGCAGAGTGATGGGACGAGCGCAGCGACACCGTCCACTCCGTCCTCTGTGGACTTTTCGGCGGGGTCGGTCGCAATGCTGTCCAGAGCTGCTTCGCCACCCTCCTGCTCTTCAAACAGACCGTCGTCCTGTGCCTCGGCGGCCTGCGGGGCAGATCGAACCGGCGACAGTCGCTTTTGTCGTTTGGCAGGTGGGGACGAGCGCGAGGTGTTGCTTCCAACATGCAGATATGGAATGCCTCGCATCCGCAGCTGTTGCTCGACGCGGAAGTACGAGACGAGGGCGATGCAGTAAGAATGGACGTTGGCTAGCTCTTCCATGGTGAGATCCTTCTTGCCAAAGCTGGCATCGACTTCTGCGGTCTGACTGCCGACCGGTGGAGCTTTGCGCTTCGACCCAACTTCAGCGCCCAAATCGAAGGCATCGTCCGAGCCCTCGCTTCCAGCTTTGGAAGCGGCGTCGATCTTGGCACGATCGAGCCACTCGATCGACTGCAGAGTCAGCGATGGCGCTCCCAAAGCGTCCATCATCTGCACCACATAGACCAAAGCGATGCTGACGCCCGATAGCTCTGAAGGCTGCAGCGCCAAAAAATAGCCCGGAAAGCTGTTGCGCAAAGGAATGAAGAGTTGCGGTGCCGCTTCCTGCGGCATCGACGCCGTCGCACCCAGCTTGGCCAAGTCCTGCGGCCGCAAATTGAGCTTGCGGACGGCGCGAAGGCCGACGTAGGTAGCCATCCTCTCCCACTCCTCGACGCGAGCGAAGACATCGAGATTGTAGAGCACATCGAACAGGGCGTCGATCGAGACATTGATGCGATCGGACGACTCGGCAAGACGAGCGTAAGTGGAACGAGTTGCCAAAGCAGAGGCTGTGAAGCTCGCAGCCTGCTGTTGAGATGCGCCTGAGTCTGAACCGGTCGCTGCTTCTGAGTCGAGTAGCACACGGCCCGTGACAGGGTCGACGCTGAGTCGCAGAGGAGGCAATGCAGCAGCGGTTGTCGATGTGGAACGGGCGACACGCTGACGATTCTTTGCGTGTAGGACAATCTGAAGGAAGCTGAGGCTACTAGCCTCTGTTGCCGTTGAGAACTCGTCGCCTTTTCTCTGGGCGTGCTCGACGCAGAGTGCGCAATCCTCGGGACGCAGCAGGCGAGAGACTGGGTGGTCGCTGACGAGGATGCGACGCTGCAGGTTGCGCAGTAAGGCCAAAGTGTGTCGCTTGATGACCAAGCTGAGCAGCGCTTCGATGTCGAGACTGTCCGGGGAGACGACAAGATCGGAAGCCTCTGAGTCGGCAAGGATGCTCGAGTGAGCATTCCAGGTGGCCTGCAGGCCTCTTCGCTTGACCGTCGCGAGGCTTGACTTTGCGTCCGGCGCTGGATCGCTAGCATCGCTGTCATGGTCGAACAAGGCAGCGAGCGTCGTGGACGCACCAGCCTGATCAGGCAGGTCGACAAGGGTGATCTGGATGCTTCCGCCCACGGCAGGTCCTTCAACCTTCTGAGTTGCATCAGCCGCATTTTGAGCTTGCGTCCAATAGTGAACAGTGAGTCGTCTGGGACGCTCTCCCGTCTCGATGCGCAAATTCGAACCCCAATTGAGCCGACAGAGCTCGTAGGCTTGGTGCTGCAAGATGTGCATCTGGTAATGCAACGAGCGCTCTTGCAAGAAGGCAAAGAGCCTGAGAAGAGGTGCATCTCGTTCGGCCGCAACCTTGATTGCTGCTGTGTCATCCTGTTCCGCGGTTGTCGGCAAGGCTGCCTCCGTTGTTTCTTCCGCGCTGACTGCTTTTGTATCTGAATCCTCTACAGTTGTCGCTCCTTCCACTGTTCCTGTTGTCGATTTTGCATCGTCTGCATCCTCAGACTGCGATCTTGGGGCTAGCTCCTGGTCTCCCCAGAGACGAAGACGCTCTCGGTAGGCCTTTTTGGGCTTGCGTGGGTATACGCGATTGCTCGATTCAGCACCTGAGCCTGTCGGCGTGACGTCGAAGCTGAGGTCGAGGAGCCACCATCTGTCATCGTCTGGGGACGTTGCAAGCGTGTCAGCAGTGGACAGGCCAGATTGAATGTGTGCATCGACTTCGGTGTCCTGTCCGCCGCTACTGGCCGTGAGCTGAGCTTCGAACAACCCTTGGACGCGGAAGTGAACCTTGCCATCTCGTATTGAGTAATTGGAGAGCGGCGCAGGAACGAGCTCGCGACAAGCCATACGGGTTCGAAGGGCATCCTCGAGGCGCGAAACGATGGTCAGCGCTTGGTCATCGGTGAATGGCTTGGGCGCCACAGCCATATCCTTGATGCTCGTAGGAAGCCTGCGATAGGTTCCGGTTTGAAGCACGTCAATGGCGGTGGGAAGGTCGGCATTGCGCATGCGAGCATTGGGCAGGATTTTACGAATGTCGGTAAGACCGGCAAAGACGTCTTCGTGCTGCCATTGCTGTTCGGACAGGAGGGCGATGATGTTTCTCGACTTTTGAAGATCGGCGACATCTTTTGACCAGCGCGAAAGCACAAGGAGCTTGATGAACTGCTTGCGTACGTCGAGGGCAGTGTTAAAGATTTTTGCGCGCTTTGATGAAGAGGGCAAGGATGGAAGCGTTTCGGCAAGGTTCTGGAGCGATTCATAGCCGTAGTTGGCGAGTCTTTCGACAAGAGCAGCAAGAGAGACGAGATCGGCCTCTTCGAGTGGTAGTTCCTGCTCCAGCTGTGCCAGAGGAATCTGCTCGATGAGATCGATCTGCTTCTGCTTGCCTTTTGTGTCGACAATCATGCCGCTGGTGTTCGCTGGGGCGACAGGATCTGGCGGCATTGGATGATGTGTGGAGGTGCCATTGGCAGGAGCGGACTGATTTGGTGTGGCTGCTGGTGGAACACCAATCATGAGCTTGTGAGGTGATGTTGGCATCTGCTTGACGTGTGAAGGGGAAAGAGAACTGGAGGGCGAGGCAGCATGGTAGCGACCATTACCATTGGACGCCATGATGGGTTTGATCGGCGATGCTGACGGAGACCGAAAGGAAGGAGAAGGAGTGTGACGGTGCTTGTTTACATGATGATGCGGAGGTGAAGTGGCGGTGCCATGTGGAGCGGATGGCATGCGCTACTCAAGGGGTTGAGGGCGACGGTCTGGCAATGTCGAGGATGAGAAGGTGATGCAAGTGTCCGGGTTGGGGCAGGGCAGAGAAGAGGATTTGCGAGCTGAGTTGCGCTCCGCGAAGGTGCAGACTGTTTGTGAAGTCGAAAGCTTGCGACGCTTGAGCGGTCCAGCCCAAGTGGAAGAGGCTCGTGAGACGTGTGCTGCGAGGAAAGGAGCGAGGATGTAACAACTGCGGCGATGCTTGAGGCTATCGTCGATGCGAACAGAGTTTTGGAGAAAGCACAGCAAGCAAATGCGTGCGGAAGCGATCGTAAACGAGTCAAGTGAGCCCGCTGCGGAAGGACGCCGAGTCGACCAAAGGAAAGAAAAGGTGATGGAGGAATAGCAAAGGTGATGGTGATAGGCCAAACGGGATCCGAATGGAATTGGCCAAAGCAGACCGACGTCAAAGTCTTCCCAGATTCATCACCAAAAGCAACACACTGAGCACCAGCAGCAAGGCAGCAGTCACCGCCGCCGCTTCCGCGAGCAGAACGCAAAGAATCAATTTAATTTAATTTTTATCCTTAAAAATAAGTAGCTCAGACCCGCCCTTTCCGCCTCGGTGAAGCGAATTCTAGCTCCTCCTTTGCAGGTGAGCCGTACCGCAAAGGCGTTTTATGCTTTTTATTTTAATCAAGATAAATTGGCTCCACTGCTGCTTGCTGCTTGCTGCTTGTCGGATGCAGCCTGCAAGGTGTGAGGAGACGCTGCGATGTGATTGCTCGCCAAGACGGTGATCCACAGCATAGAAGAAGCATCGTTGTTTGAGTCATCGACAGGACAGTGAAGCGAGCGAAACGGCCCGCAAGGTGCGTTTATCACTTTGATACCTAGACACTCAACCTCGCTGAAGACGTGCTTGTTGCTCGCAACCGAGCCTGACAAAGTCGATGATGATCTGATCGCTTCTTTCCGAATGCTGTCTCAGCAAACAGGCCAAGCTCAAGACATGGTCGGATCGCTCCCGAAAGCCTCGTGAGAAGTGATTGTTCTCGAGAAGCGGAAAGGCCGACGCTCGGTGCTTCCGGATCGGGCGGGACCCGATTGGCCTCTCCACACGCCCACTTCTCTTCCTACACAGCGCCCTGGACGTCAATTTCATTTCGGACTGAGACCGACACCTGTTCAACTTGCGCTCTCAGCAACCTTGTCCTCCATCAGCTCCAAACACAGCAGTGGCGTCGTCGAAGAAGCTCAGCTTGGGCGGACTGCGTAGTCAGCGATGGACTACTTCAAATCCCTCAGCTCAGCCGCTTCCTCGGTGCTTTCCTCGGCACGCTCCGGTCCCATCGCCAACATCACCATCGGTCAGGAACTGCCAGAGTACCGTCAACAGACACTATGGTCCCTCTATTCGGCCACCAAGCGTGATGACAGCACACCATGTACTGTGCTCGCTTTCGACCTATCTCACCCACACAATGCGAGCCGAGCAAACCTGTTGCCTCTCGCCAAGAATGCCGCAAGAAAGCTTCGAACAACACGCCATCCCAACGTGGTCAAGCTCATCGACAGCGTAGAGACAAATCAGTCCGTCTACATTGCCGTCGAGAAGGTCACCCCGCTCTACAAGGTCCTTGCACAATCTGAAGACAAACGAGCCACCCCTCAGCGTCAAGATTGGATCGTCTGGGGCCTCTCTTCCATCGTCAGTGCCCTCAAGTTCCTCAATGTCGACGCTGCTTCCACACACGGCAACCTGCGTCCCGAGTCTATCTTCATCAGCGCTTCTGGCGAATGGAAGCTCGGCGGCTTCGAGATCTTGACACCTCATGCCGAAGCTCCACATGGTCTGCTCTTCAGTCAAGGCTCCTTGATACCCGATGGAAACCGATACGCGCCTCCAGAGGTCAAGCGCAACGGTTGGAACGTCCTTGCCAGCATGGACTCGACCTTGTTCGACAGCTATGCGCTCGCTCTCGTGACCATGGAAGCGTTCAACGGCCCCCTGCCGCCACAGACTGGAACCAGCGCGCCTCCTCGTGGTCATGTGCCCCAAGAGCTCTACGCAGTTCTGCAACGCATGCTGGTCCCAAACGCAAAGACGCGTACTACTGTCGCAAAGGTATGGGAGGCAGGCGAGGCGGAAGGCGGCTTTTTCAAGGAGAACACGCTCGTCAAGGTCTCGAGAGGTCTCGACGGGTTCCTGCTTTCAACCGAAAACGAGAAAGCGTCCATCATTCAGCTATTGCAGGACAAGCCCGACTCTTTCACTCCCGACTTTCTCATGTACAAGGTCCTCCCAGCGTTGACCGCTGCTCTGGCCGCAGTACCACCCCCAGGCACCATCCCGTCGGCGAGTGTGCAGCCCTCTGTCCTGCTGCCTCTCGTACTGCGTCTCGGTAAGCCTCTGCCACAAGACGAGTGGACTTCCACAGTCGTTCCACCGCTGCTCAAAGCTTTCGCATCACCGGACCGGTCAACGAGAATGGCACTGCTCGAGAATCTCTCCCTCTATGCCGAGCGCATGGACAATCGGCTCGTCTCGGACAAGCTCTGGCCCAACCTCATCACGGGCTTCAACGACTCGGTACCCGTCATCCGCGAAGCGACGCTCAAAGCTATCCTTCCACTCGCACCAAAGCTCTCGGACCGCATTCTCAACAACGACCTGCTCCGCGTGCTCGCTCGCACCCAGGTCGATCCTGAAGCTGGCATCCGCACCAACACCACCATTCTCCTCGGCCGACTCGTGCCGCATCTGTCGCTCTCGACGCGCAAAAAGGTGCTCATCCCGGCATTCTCAAGGAGTCTCAAGGACCAGTTCGTACATGCCCGTGTTGCAGGGCTCATGGCGTTGATGGCAACCGGCGACTCGTTCGACCATGAGGACTGTGCAAGGCACGTTCTGCCAGCTGTGGCACCTTGCATGGTGGACAAGGAGAAGCTCGTCCGCGATCAGGCAGATAAGGGTATGAAGATGTTTCTTGAAAAGGTCGAATCTGGACGAGTTGGGATGCCGGACACGGTCCTGTCGTACGACCAGCTCAACGGCGCGACGTCGTTCAGCGGAGGGTTCGGTGCGGGTGACGCGACCAACGGCTCTGGGTACGCAACGGCGATGGCGGCGTCGGCGGGCAGTGCAGCTACAGCACTGGCGGGTTGGGCCATGTCCTCCGCCCTTTCCTCTCTGTCCAACTCCACCTCGGCACCGTCAGTACCCGAGGGCAAACCACTTTCAAGCGCTGCAGAGCTGCAGTCCTCGATGGACGGACGTAGCACTTCGTCAACAGCATCAGCGCCAGTTCCACCATCATCCGGTCTGGCCAGTCTGCGTCTCGGTTCAGGTACCGCCAGCGACAGCATCGCGCCCAGTGCAACACCATCAGCAAGCACAGCAGCGTCGATGCTCGATTACGACCTGGACGACGACGCACCGTCGACCTCCACCGCGTCCGCCTTTGCGATCCAGCAACCAGAGGCCGACCTCATGGATGTCAACGATGACAGTGCCGACTGGTCGAGCTTTGAAGTTGGGCAGCCGAAGAAGAAGAACGCGGTCGGACGGACGAAGATGGCGAAGGCCAAGCTGGGACCAAGGAGGACCGCTGCGAACAACGCTGCTGCGGCGGCGGCGGCGGCGGCGAAAGTGGCACCACCACCAGCAACGCCACCCCTGGCAGATCCAAAACAGGCGATCAGCAGGAGCAGTCTCGCTGTCGCCGCTCCCGCCGAAGAGGCCTGGGGCGAAGACGGCTGGGATGCCACCAACAGCGCCGAACCAACACCAGCAGCGGTCACCCTCTCGGCATCCAACTCCACCACTTCGCTGCAGAACGATCTGGCGACATCGCAGGAGCTCACCGCACAGGCATTCCAAGCGCCCCCACCAAGCGATGATGCGTGGGCGGCCTTCGACGATGATGATGACAACTCCCAAAGTGGGAGCGCTAGCCCCGCCGCGGTCGTGGCAGCAGCACCCCTGTCGAAGGACCAAAAGAAGGCTGAGCTGGAGCGCAAGCGCAACGAGCGGCGGTTGATGCTCGAGCAGTTGAAGCGCGAGAAGGAGGAGGCGCGCTTGCGTGCGCTCTGAACACACGCCCAAGTCAATGCTAATTGTGAGGTGTATGCAAGAGTGTGATTTGCGATGCTGAGGGTGTTATGCGGTCTAAGTCTGAGCAGCTTGAGCCTTTGCGAACCGTTCCTGCGCCGCCTCTTTTCCACTCGGTCCACCATGTCCGATGCCATATACTCCCTCGTTCGCCCCTGGTGCCTCGATCGACGCCATCCCTTCCCCACTCAGATGACCCCCCACCTCACTCTCCAAAACCTTCTGTTCCCTCGCCCGTCGTCGAAACGCTGCCCATCTCTCCCTTCCCTCTCTGCTCCGCGCCGCGTCTCTGGCCTCGTTCAAACTCCTTGCTGCATCCAGATGACTCTTGTCTGCCCTCTCGACGGCTTTTTGGCTCTGCAGACTTAGTCGGCTGTACTGCAGACCGGCGAGGATCCAGGTGAGCACGAAGAGGGTGGAGATGAAGATGCCGTTGGAGGTGTAGTGACCTTTGGCGTTCCAACCTGCGCTACCGGCGGTGTGGGGACCGGTGAATTGGTTGGAGTAGAAACCTTGGTGTTGCCACCCGAACCGGTCGTGACCTGGGCTTGTGTAGGAGGGGTTATAGCGTCGCGTGTAGCGTCGATCTTGCCATCCTCCCCATGGATCTGAAGCGGAGGAAGGGGAAGTGCCCCAACCAAGACCCGCCCGATCATAGTTCTGTTTGGCCCGCGGGTTTTTCAGGAGATTGTACGCCGAGACGATGCATTTGAATTCTTCTTCCACTTGCGTCTTGGATTTGCTGGAGGAGGCGGTGTGTCGATCGGGATGACACACGCGGACGAGGTCGTAGTATCGCGCCTTGACTTCTGAGGGTGTGACGGTGCGAGAGGGGAAATGGAAGATGTCGTACGGTGTCGGATTGGCGTGCGTGGGGTAGGACAGGTCTGGTTTGCTGGAGGTGGACGCCATTCGGACTGAGGGTCGGCGCAGGGATGAATCTGACCGGGTGAATGTGATGAACAGGTGCCGTGAGGGAAGGAGGAATGCCGGTGGCAGACTGAGAGTGTCTCGTGATGAGGTGAGGGGAAGCCGGCTCGTCGAGGCGCGTGACAAGCTCGATGTTGAAGCGCAAGCTACACGATGAGCCACCGAAGCGGCCGCCCGTGAACCCGACGCTATGCCCGTCGAGACGATCGACATGCTTTTCCAACTTTCCCTATGTATCTCGCATCTATGCCGTCTTGCTTCATCCGCTGTCTGTGAGAATCGATGCTGCTGGTGAGCTCGGCAGCCTACGAAAGGTGTCCCTCACGAGCTCGTACTCGGTGCCGATTGCATGGCTCGACGTCCAATCCTCGATTCCGTTAAAGTAGAGTCCGAAGCTAGCGACCAGGACCGAGGGGAGATGCTGAAGGACGACTTGTGTGTGGTGATGATCATCAGAAGCGTAGCTCGAACGCTTCTTCCCCACGAAAGTGTTCAGCTGCAAGCTTATCCAAGGTGCATGTCCAATTTCCCGGCGACTTTTTCGGAATGGTCACCATGCAGCGAGCCAGCCGGCCCCACGCGAGACCAGGCCAGAGTGTGCTAATTTCGGCGCCTTTTCGACTCTCGCACGACAAGTTTGCCCTTTCTCCTCTCCAAGATGAGCCTGATCAGACACACACGACGTCAAAGCGATGAGATATCAACAGCATAACAGATTGCTCCTGACCGTTTTGAGGCGTACAATATACACAAAGGAAGACCGCCGTGGTGACAGCAGGAGCTTTTGAGGGAAGAAATCGGGAGGAGAGAAAAAAAGGACTCGCTATACAGACGCTCACACCTTCTGCCCGAGCGCCTGGAACTGCTGTGCGCGACCCCTTCCACGACCTCGACCACGCGCCGACGATCCGCCTCTCCTCTCCCTCCTTCCACCAGCCTGTCCACCTTCGCGCTCGCCCCTCTCGCCCGCGCCGCTCCTCTGCTCCTTGCCCTCGCCCAGCTTGGCGTCCAGCAGACGCTCGTTCTGCTCGAGCATCGAGTTGGCCTTCTCGGCCAACGTCGCGGCGAGCTGCTGCACCTTGGTCAACTCGAGCCTGTGGAACGCCACCACATTCGCCGACGGGTCGAGCGAAGCGGCCAGCTCGTCGTTGTAGATCATCTTGCTCACCATCGCCTTGACCGTCTTCTCGTCCACATCGAACGTCGCCGCCAGATGCGCGAGCGACACCGACTCGTAGTACGCCGAGTACGAGAAGAGGTACGTGCGAAGACCCACTTCTTGGATCCGCTTGGACAGCATCGCCTTGACCTCGTCCGATCCAGGCATGAGCTTCCAGATCTTGATCTCCGAGATGAGCTCGATGCACGCAGCGCAGTCGCCGTTCTGCAAGGCTTTGCACGCCTGCATGATGTGATCGCGCGTGTTCTCAGGCGGACCCGAGAAGACTTGGCGGTCCGTGTAGTCGAGCATGCGACGGAAGGGGCGCGAGATGACCCGCTTGCGCAGCTCAGGGTCGTTGCCTGCAAGAGCCATGTTGGGCACCTCGAGCAGCATCGACGAGATGAGGTAGATGCACTCGAGCAGCTCGAGGTTGATGTGCATGTGGAAGGGAAGCTGACGTTGACGCTCGAGCTTCTCCTGTTCGGGCGTGATGGTGCTGAATTGGTTCTGCTTCTGGACGCCCTGGGCGAGCAGCTCCTTGACACGGCCAGTGGCGAAGATCTCCTGCAGCGCAACCTGCGACTCCTTGATGAGGCCGTTGCGGAAGGCGCAGATACCAATCTGGACCACGACGCGGTTGTAGAGGATCTGGGTGGCCACGTCGGCCAGCTGGATAGCATCTTGCAAGTGCGACATGAGGAACATGTCGCGGGCAACGTGGTAGTCGGCGTGGAGGGCGTGGAAGTAGATGTGGCAGAGGACAGCGCGTGTTCGTGGACGCTCAGCCTGGACACCGCGAGCCTGGTAGAGGTACGTGCAGAGAGCGCGGACAAGCACGGCAGGGCCATCCTGCTCGGCCACTCGGGCCGCCGATGGGAAGAGCTTCGACTCGGTGTTCTTGGCCGCATCGCCCAGGGTCGACTCGAGCGCCTTGATGATGACATCCTGCTTGGCGTAGACGTGGTCAAGGCGGCGCATGGTGCAACGCGACAGGGCCTCGCTGTTGTTCAGGCTCTCAAAGTAGCCCTGAGCGAGCACGATGGTCTCGTAGAGCTTCTTCTCGTCCGAAAGTCGGTCGACGTACTCGGTGGTGTGCGGGTCGATGTTTTGCAAGCTCTTAGTGAACTCGTCGTCCAGACGGTCGACAAAGCTGATGATGCTGCCTCGCACGGCCACGGTGTCCTTCTCGCCATTCTGGTTGGGGACACGCTCGACCTCGTCGTCGTAATCCTCGGTCTCTTCGCGTACAATGTACGAGCGGTTCTTGCCGAGCAAGGCGATGATCTCGTTGATCTCCTTGCGTGCCGAGTCCCACATCTCGACGGGCATGTAGGCAGTGGCCGATGCGTTGTAGTCGAAGCGGGCGGCGGCGAGGGCCAGGATGACACGGATCTTCTTGTAAGGGGTGTCGGCAACGCCAGAGAGGTCGTGAAGCTTGCGGATCTGCTCGTTCTTGTCGGTGCTCTTCTTACCACGAGCCTCCATGATGGCGGCGAGGCTCTTGAAGAGACCCTCAGAGGTGAATGTCTCGGTGCGACCGCCTCGGCCAACAGTCTGGAAATCATCGTTGGCGTCAGCATCGAGAGCAGCAGCGAGACGGTCCTTCTTGCCCTTGGAGATGGCGGTCTCGCCTTCGACAGGAGCGGCAGCGGCGGCAGTAGCAGCCTCGGCAGCGGCCTCGAAGCCCTCGGGGTCGGAGCGGTACTTTGCGATGGTCTCGTCGTTCTCCTTGATGACCTTCTTGAGCTTCTGCTTCATACCGTTCATGGCCTTAGCGACGGGCGCCTTCATCTTCTTCTTTGCGTCCTTCTCCTTGGCGGCGGACTCGTTGAGGAACTGGTCGAGCTGGGAGATGGCCTTGTAGAAGAAGGCAGGGATGGACTCGTTCAAAGTACGCTGACGCTCGATGGAGCGCATGAGGTTGTCAAAGTCCTTGTTGATCGAGGTCCAGTCGCTCGACTTTTTGGCTGATTCGATGTGGTCGACAATGGTCTGCATGTCGTCGATACGCTTGTCCTTGGCGGACTTGACAACCTTCTTGACCTCCTCCTCCGAGTCGCTGTCGTCGCTGTCGGCGGCACCCTTCATGAAACGAGAGGTGGGCGCCTTCTTGCCATCGCCGCGAGGCTCGTCGTCATCGTCGTCATCCGAGTCGAGCGACTCGTCGTCCGAGTCATCGTCCGAGTCATCGTCCGAGTCGGAGTCGTCATCGTCGCTACCCTTGAGGAAGCGCGAACGACCTGCGGCGGGCTGGGTGGTCTTTGGCTGCTCGTCTCCGGACTCGAGCTCAGAAAGCTCCTCCTCAGACGAGGAGATGTCGGATTCAGAGTCGGAATCGCCGACCTTACGGAAGAAGCCAGACATGTTGTTTGAGTTGAAATGCTAAAGCAGAGAAGCGTGGTGATTGCTGTCTCTGCAGGTGTCGGTGCTGATGCTGTTACTGCTTTGCGGGCAGTTGATGGTGCAAGGGCGGGAAAGGAACCTGCGAGGAAAAGGAAGGTGTGGATACCGCTTTTCCGTCAACAAATGTAGATGAGGTCCAGGAAGTGATGGGCTCTGAGATTAACAGACGCCAGGACTTTCAAGGAGAAGTGTGATGGAGGATGACGGTCGAAAGCCAGGCTTGATAGTGAAGCCAGCTCTTGAGAGTGCAGTGTGACAATTTTTCGCTGAGCAGAAGGCAGTCAGTCCCAAGCTCGACCCTGGCCTCTTAGACTGAGTCTTTTTCTTCTCGCTTTCTTCTGATTCTTCTGGCGCTGTTCAGTCAGTCGTGTGCTCTGCTCTCCTTGCCAGACTTGTCCTTTTCTTGCTCGAACTGCAAGACGCGCTTTGCAGCTCTTTCATTTCATCTGGACCCACCAGAATACAATCTTGTTGAATTCAGAGCTCGTGTTGGCTTCACCTTTTTGAATTACGAGCCTTGAGCTTGCGCTCATTGGCGCCGCAGCTGGCTCTCGCGTTGCATTCCCACACCTTCCCACCGCACAAAGGGACCTTCGTCTCAGCCTCGACGACACCTGCGGCTTCATACTCCTGCCCTGAAGCCAGATCATTCCCACGCAGAGCATTCAGATGACTCGACAGCGTCAAAGGCTGAGATGAACCTGTCATTCTGATGGCAAGAGCAGCGGTGGGCGGGATGTCGAATTTCGAGTCCAAGTTTGTTAGAGCTCGGTTTGATGGAGTGTGCAACACGCGCAAAAAGGATGCGTTTTCTTTCGCCCGGCAAGGAGAGAGTGCATGTTTGCGGAACCGATCGGTTTCGAGGCAGCGAGCAGATGAGGATGAGAAGAAGTCGAAAATCGCAACTTGGGGCTCAAGCGTGTGCTCGCTCTGTCCGTCGCAGCAACTGGGCCGAGAGAGAGCAATTCGCGATTTCGAGCTTGAGCAACATCCTCGTCGTCGTCGTCGCTATCAACGTTGCTCCACCACGCTTCTCTCTTTTCTCACCACATCACCCTCATCACCCTCGATCATAGCAGTCATGGCCGCCCGTTTCACCCCTCGCATCTTCCAGCAGGCCACCCGTGGCTACGCCTCGCAGGCTGCCGTCCGCGCTCCCCGCCAGCTCGACGGCCTCGCCGGCAAGTATGCTTCTTCCGCATACGTCGCCGCTCTCTCCAAGGACACCAAGACGCTCGAGAAGGTCGAGGCCGACCTCAAGGCCGTTCAGGCCGCCCTCGCCGGCTCTGAGGGTGCCAAGCTCCAGACTTTCATCTCCAACCCCACCCTCAGCGGTTCCGACCGAACCAAGGGCCTCGAGCAGCTCCTCGGCTCGGGCAAGAGCAAGGCTGACCCCATCACCCAGTAAGTTATCAATCGACAGCAGCAGCGCATCGTTCGACGTCGGAGATAGTAGCAGATGCGCAGTACAAGGACAGCATGGTAGAGCAAAGGAAGTGACGAGGAGATGACGGGACAATGCACAGGACATCAGCAGGCAGAGCAAGAGTCAGGAACGGCGCTCGTATCAGTATCGCGAGAGCAATGTTGGCGGCGTAGTGCTCATCAGAGCCAAGACCCGCAATGGCATCGAATGGAGAATGTTGCTGATTAAGAACGCCAGATGGGTTCAGCGCAAGGAAAGGATGGTGAAACTCGGAAGACCAGCGCCGAGCCTGGTGTTGACCAGGAGCGCAGGCGTGGTCGTGCAGGATCTGGAAATGAAGGGATCGCTCCCGCTGCCAATAAGGCAAAGCGTCAACCAAGATCTTTTGACTGACCCTCCATCTTCTCTCCAACAGCAACCTCTTCACCGTCCTTGCCGAGAACGGCCGTCTCGCTGAGACCGAAAAGGTCATCGAGGGCTTCCACGACCTCATGACCGCCTACCGCGGCGAAGTGCAGGTCACCGTCACCTCGGCGACTGCTCTGGACAAGTCGACCATCTCGCGCATCGAGTCGGCGCTCAAGGGCTCGCAGATCGCTTCCAAGGGCAACGGCAAGTCGCTCAAGATTGTCCAGAAGGTCAACCCCGCCATCCAGGGCGGCCTCGTGGTCGACTTTGGCGGCAACACCGTCGACCTCTCGGTCGCATCCAAGGTCAACAAGCTCAACGCTCTGCTCGAACAGGGCGTGTAAGCGGTCCCCAACTAGATCCAGTGTAGTCCCGCATTTGTTAAAGAGAAGCGGAATGCATCATGTTTGAAAGACGACCGGAGAGTGGCAGACGAGCCAGAAGATTCGATAGCAAGGGAGAAACCCTTGTGGAAGATCATGGATCGCCTCGTTCGAGAGTGTGTATGTCGCCCAATCCCTTATTTGAGCCTGACGGCGGGTAGCTGTGATGCTCTGGCTCACGATCCTCGTCACTCGTTCCGACAGGGCGCTAGGCCCATGTGGAAAGCGCAGACGCCGGTTCATTCTGATCGCACTCGTCGTGTAAAGCACACTGATGGCAAGTCACATCGCATTGGTGGACTGTACAAGAAGCAGATTACAATTTCGCCTTGAACACAGGTACCTTGTCGCCCTTGCCTTCGTTCCTAACCCCATTGATCAGACTACCCAGCCCGCCGCTGCCCCACAGCTGCACCGTATCACCGTCCTTCAACCAGACCTTGGGGTTTCTCTTGAACCCTTCGCCGGGGGGCGTGCCCATGCTGACCAAACTGCCCTGTTCCAACGTCGTACCTTTGCTCAGCTCCGCCAGCGTCTCTGCTGTCTTCCACAGCATCTCGCTGGTGTTGCCATCCTGCATGACTCTGTTGTTCAGCTTGGTGGTCAGATGGACGCTGTCCGGGTTCTGGATGCCTCTTGCGTTGCTAGCGGAGACGAGGCAGGGTCCAATGGGGAGCCAGCCATCGAACGATTTGCCCAGCCCCCATTGGGGTACGGCAAACATCCGGACTCTCGCCGAGACATCGTTCGATAGCGTATACCCAAGGATGGCTTTCATGCACTCCTCAGGGGTGGCATCCTTGATCGTCTGACCGAGCACAACGACGAGCTCCACCTCGTAGTCCGACTCTCCCTCGGCACATTTCGGGAGCACAATGTCCCTTCCTGGCCCCGAGAGGGTGGAGAGAGGCTTGTAGAACAGGATGGGGATAGTGGGTCGCTTTTTGATTGCGTCGAAGGCGTTTTGGCCTGGTTGCACAAAGTTGGCGCCCAGCGCACGGATTGTTGGCACCTCAGAAGGCAGCAATGGTGGGAGGAGGGTGGAGACCGTCTTGATGACGCCGGACAGAGGTGCAGGTCCAGAAAGCGGGTGGGCGTAGAGGACATTGGCTTTGATGAGGGGCGAGGCGTTGGCATAGGCGACACCGACGTCGAGCGTGTCGTCGAGGGGCTGGCCGAAGTAGGTTTGACCGTCTTCGCGCGCGACGAAGCGGATCAGCCTCCACCAGGAGGTTGCGGTTGAGGAGGTCATGTTGTGTGGTGATGCGTGTGGTACGTTTGTCGCTTCTCGAGGCTCGAGATGGTAAGTTCAACCATCAATGAAGTACAGCGAGAGGGGAGGTATGAAGAGGATGAGCTCGAGAAGGAGTTTCCCCACAGAGATGAAGGCCGGAGACGCCGGAGCAAGAGCGCTTGGCTGCAGCCCTGAAAGCCGCTGCTGTTCCTCGCTGTGACAGCTGCGCGTGCAGCTTCGTAATTTCGCCTCCACCACGCTTGATTTTTGGCCAGCTTGTTACGTCGTCTGCACAAGGTGTCGTCGCCGCCGGACCATCATCTGGTCCTTACTGTCGGGCGAGTTGTGACCAGTGACATATCACCAAGCTCACGGCCATGGTCCAGGCAGCCTCTGCCTTCCTCTGCAGTGTCTCAAGAGTCCTGAGATAGTAAGTCCGCGTTGAACTTGCTTGGCCGCCCAAGTCCACGGATGACAAACTCGTCAAAAAATGCCTCCACAACGGCAATTATTTGGTCTAAACGCCGTCATACCTCGACACGGACCACCTGTCACAAAGGCGCTGCTCGGAAGGACTGCGCGAGGCTACAACAGCCCGAACTCTGGTTCCTCTTCCTTCCTGTCCATCAACGCTCTTCCATATGAACACGTTGCTAACCCGCCTCGCTCCCACTCTACGAAGCCAAGTCAAAGCCCGAGCTTTCACAACCTCTCGAATTATCGCAAACATGAAGCCCGTCCAACTCTACACCGCTGGCACGCCCAACGGCCAAAAGGTCTCGATCATGCTCGAAGAAATCAAGGCGGTCAACCCGTCGTTCGAGTACGAGACGCACGCCATCGACATGGGCAAGAACCAGCAGAAGGAGGACTGGTTCCTCAAGATGAACCCCAACGGTCGCATCCCTACCATCTTGGATCCCAACAACACCGCGACCCACGCCGAGGGCTTCCCCGTCATGGAGAGCCTCGCTATCATGCTCTACCTCGAGAAGAAGTACGACGACGAGCACGTGTTTTCGTGGCCCAGCTCGGATCCTAAGGCCGACAACTTCCGCAACCAGGTTCTGCAGTGGTGCAGGTAAGTGCATTGTTCTCGGTCACACCATCTCGAGCCTCACACTGACAATGATGATCCTCATTTTGCATCGACGGCGTTTAGTTGGCAAATGGCCGGTCAAGGACCGATGCAGGGTCAGGCCAATCACTTCCGCATGCAAGCCACGGGTGACTCGAAGAACGTCGTCCCCTACGGCATCAAGCGCTACCACGACGAGACCGTCCGACTCTACCAGGTCCTCGAAGCGGGTCTCGAAGGACGCGACTACCTCGTCGGCGACGGAAAGGGCAAGTACTCCCTCGCTGACATGCTCACCTTCCCCTGGGCCCTCTGGTACCGCTTTGCCGGTATCAAGCACGAGGAGGTCGGCCCCAACGTCAAAGCCTGGATCGACAGGATCAAGGCTCGACCCGCAGTGCAGAAGGGCCTGCGCGTGCCAACCGAGAGCGAACTGCTCAAGAACTTGGACGATCCCAACTGGATGCCCCCCATGCCCGAGATCTGAGCTCGTCGGTTCGAAGAGTGTCGCCATGTACGAACAAGAAATGATATCGTCTGTCAGGTGTAGACCACGCTTGATCCGTTCGGGGTGCGAGCAATGCATCTGCGAGCCAGTGTATGCCGCCGTCGCTTGTGTGCGAAGTCAAGCTGCTTGCATGAGATCTTTGACCGTAGGATGAATCGAGACATGGAAGGTCGTTGGTCATCCGCATGATCAAAGGCGAAAAAAGTCACTGCGGAAATTGAGGCTTGAAAATTCGGTCATTTCACACCTCTCACTCGCATCGCTCGTAACGACATCGTGACTATCTTCGTTGCAGAACTATCGTTACAGGGCCCCTTTGACGGCCGACATCGTTCACAAATCTTCGTTCGCCCCTGTGCTGCCGGTCCGGCTTCTCGCCGCCGCCACCTCTCTCCCCGCTGCGCTCTTCCACGAGCTCGGTGGGCCTGTGACACTCCCCCTTGCACTGCTCCCGTTTCGATGCGACGAAGCCAATCGCGTCGACAGGGGCGTCCTGATTCCCGAGACGTCTCCGTAGTGCGTCATGGAGCTCTGCGTCACTCGTGGTGCTGCGACGGTCGACGGCGTGGTGGATCTCGGGATCGTCGAACCGGAACGGATCTTGGCGAGCGAGCCATAGGAGGACGAGTGGGTCATGCCTGAGCCTATGCTGGTGCGACGCTTGGCTGCGCCTGCCGACGGTGTGGAGAGCGCGGCTTGGGCTGCAGCGTATCGTGCTACGTGCGGCAAAGTGCTGGCTGGATCGTGGTCCATGAACTCGTGCGGTGGGAGCGGAGAGGAGCCGCCTCCGCGACTAGTGACGCGCGCGTGCAGCGTGTTGGGCGTTTGAGATCGTGGCAGGCCGAGACTGGGCATGGGTGGTGTGCCTCGATCGTCGAAGCGTGAACTTGGTCTTCGCACGCGTGACGGTACAGGGATGGAGGAGCCAATGGTTCGATTGCCGTCCATACTGGCTCGAGGTGTGCGCGGAGTCGACGCGGGGATGTGGAACGATTGATGACCGTTGGCGCCAGGTGAGCCGAACGTTGCCATGCGCGAGCTGGGTCGTGGAATGGCGCTCTCGTCGCCTGGCCCCACGACGCGTGACAGATCCTTGGCCGAGTTGATTCGTGCCTCAAGCGCTTTCATCTTTGCGATCATTTCGGCCATCGTCCGTTTCGATCCAGCAGCGCCATTGGCAGGGATGACGGAGCGAGGTGTTGATGGAATACCGGCTGTTCGTGTTGCTGCGCGGACAGAGGCGCGGAGCTGTGCCCGAGCCGAGGGTGACGATGTGAGACCATGGCTGCTGGAATGGCCTTGGTGCGAGGGAGTGCCTAGGAGCGTTTCTCTGCGAGACAGTGTCGAAGATCGTGTCGGTGCAGTGGATGTGGTGTTGGCTGGGCTGTCGTCTTGCACGGCTGCAAGCTGAGAGGGCTCGCCGGGTCGGACGTCACGGCTCATTCTGCGATTGTGGCCCATGGCTCCAAGCCTGCGTGAGATGGGCACCCGATTGATGCTGGGCGAGCTGAGGGTCTGCCGTGAAGATGGACGCTCTGCTGCGAGTGCTGATGAGGTATGCTTTCTGGGCGAGCTATCGAAGCTCTGCTCGGACCGCGAGACGGGCTTCTCGTCGAATGTGGAGCTGGCGAATGTATCTGCACGAGAGACGGCTCTGCTTCGAGTGACCACATCGCGAAGCACGGTCATCTCTTCGGTCATTTCGCGGAGCTCGTCCTTGAGACGCTGGTTTTCCTCTTCCAGACGAGTCTTCTCGATAAGCTCTTCTTCAAGCAATGCCGTCTTTTCGATGGTCTTGTTGTATCTGCCCTCCATGTCGGCTAGAGAGGAAGCGACCATGCGTTCGGCATTCTCGAGCTCGTCGTTGGTGAGCTCGGTATCTCGAAGCTTGGTCTTGTAGATGTCTACCGACTCTCTGAGAAGGGCAAGCTCCTTTTGAAGGTTGGTGAGCGTCGAGTTGTGTTCGGAGAGGGCGCGCGAGTACTTGGACTTCCAGTCTTCGAGGTCGCCCGTCAGCTGATCATTGCGACGCTTGAGATCCGAAACGGACTTGGTCGAGTCGGCAATCTCCTTCTCCATTTCTGTCTCGAGCTCTTTGCTGCCTTCCATGACATCCTGGAGCATGGACTCGGTTTCGCGGAGAACATCTTGCAATTCGGCGGCTTTTGACTTCCAATGCTTGATCTCGTGCTGCGGAGAGTCGAAGCGGAGGTCGGCACCATCTTCGCTCATCTTGAAGGCTGATGGAGCGCCGGCTCCAGCCTCTGCGGCAGTTGAGCTGATCAGATGGGGTGGAGATGTTGAGCAATGGAAGCCGTGAGGATAGAACACATTGAGTGAAATTGGCTCAGCCAGGTCAAGGCGCTTGGGTGGAGGATTTGGCAGGCAGCCCACTCGAAGCTTTGACATTCAAAAATCCAAGTCAAGCTAACAGAGACCAACACTTTCATTTCATATCATCGATCAATCGACGTTACAAGCCGATGTCCTGGATCTTTTCACGTTATCGCTGGGGCTTCGTTCTAGACGAGGGAGGCCCATGTGTTCAGCAATTCGTTGTGTCCATGCTCTCATGAGATCATCCACTCAGCTTTGCCTGCGAGCACAGCATGAGTTCCGGTGCAGAGAAGAGCAATCAACACACAGCTGTCATGCTCACAAGCCAATCGCACCGCTGTGTTAACTTATGTGATCACGAACCGTATCATCTGCGACAAGCTTGCCCCGAGTCCAGGTCGTGTGCAAAGGAGAGACCAACACAAAGACGCGCAGCAAAGGTGAATGACACGCGTGCAGACAGCGGAGGCTGTGGGGGCGTAAACAAGGTCGAGTGCGCCCAAAGACAACAACACTTCCCCTCAAGGCGCGCGCGCGCGTCCGTTTTATGATGTGAGATTGTCATGCTAACAGCTCAAGTCAAATTGCTGGTGTTGCTTTGCTGAGGCGCGTCTGTGTGCTGAGCCTTGTTTTGAGGCAGGCAAAGAGCAACACTTTTTTATGGCAGCCTCAGCCTCAGGCACGCAAACGACAGGCCAACTGCCTTTCCCTCCATGGCTGCAGGGCAGATCACGCTCTCTCGCCTGTTCGACCTTTATTCTGCAGCAGCAGCAGCAGCAGCAGCAGCAGCATCAACTCAGTTGAATCACATTTCACAACGCGACCATTCAGCAAGCCCGCCTTTCATATGATCACTGCTCACTTGCTCCTGAACACCACCATCATCACCACCACCTCCGCCCCTCAACAAACTGATTCCAAAGCGCATTCGGCTGAACTTGGCACAATCACACCTACTAGTCCGCACCGCTGCAAGCGCGGATCGCCTACGAGCAACCCGATCGAGCTGTGTTCTGCGGCCTCTCCTCCTCACGGTCACCACTGTCCTTCTGCGGCATCGTCACCGGCACATTCGCTTTCTCTTTCTTGGCAACGGATTCTCTCGGACTAAACACTCAGCCTTGAAAGAACTCACGCTCAGTCACCTAAGCCAGGCTAGGCTCAACTCACATCCACCATGAGCATGGACATTATGGGCGGCGCCGCCCCAACAGAGGACGACTTCACTAAATTGTCAATAGAGGAACGACTCTCCTCCAAATTATGGAAAGCACGCGTCTCCGCTTATGAGGACCTCACCAAAGCTTTCCCAAAAACCTCATCTGAAAACGACCCCATCTTTCGCCAGTATACCCGCAATCCGGACATCTTGAAAGCCATCGTAGTCGACAGCAATGCGGTTGCGCAGGAGAAGGGTGTGGACGCTGTCCGCGCTTTTGTCGAGTTCGGCGGACAGGCTGCCGGCAAGACAAGGGAAGTCGTCGTTCCCGCTCTCGTCGAAAAGTGCCTTGGCTCCACCCGAGCCGGCACAAAGAAGAATGCGCTCGAGCTCATCTCGTTCTATGCAGAGATGGAGGACGTAGTCGGTTGCGAAAGCCTCCTTTCGGACCTGCTTGACGGCCTCAAAGCTAAGCAACCCAAAGTCGTGGCTGGCTGCATCACCGCCATCAAGGACCTCGTCTGCGATTTCGGTCACAAGCAAGTCTCACCAAAACCCATCCTCAAGCGTCTTCCAGACATGTTCGCACACTCGGATAAGAACGTCCGAGCGGAGGCATCGCTCCTCGCACACGAGCTTCACAAATACATTGGCGCAGCACTCGAACCCACCATCGACTCGCTCAAGGACATCCAGGCCAAAGAGCTCCGCCAGCAATTTGCAGACATTGACGCAGCATCACCGTCCAAGCCCACACCGACACGCTTCCTGCTCAGCCAGCGCGAAAAGATGCAAGCCGCAGCAGCTGCGCCCGTGTCGCAATTGGGACCTGCTGATACACCCGGCGCGTCAGTCTCACATGCCGCTGCCCAAGAAGAGGACGATGACGTGGATCCGTACGACCTCGCTGAACCAGTCAATGTCTTTGGCAGTCGCGAGTTCCCCGCCGACTTTGAAGAGATGGTCAACTCGAAAAAATGGCAGGAACGCAAAGAGACGCTCGAGACCATTCTCAAAATTCTCAACTCGTCGCCCAAAGTTCAGCCAGACAGCCGCTTCGACGGCCTCGTTGACCATCTCGCGCTCAAGATCCAGAAAGACGCCAACATCAATGTCGTTCTCGTCTCGTGCCAGTGTCTCGAGGCAATGGCTAAAGGGCTTAGAGACAACTTCTCCCGCTACAAGGACAAGGTCGTGCCGCCCATCATCGAGAAGCTCAAAGAAAAGAAGCAGTCCACCGTCGAAGTGCTTGCCAAGGCGTTGGATGCTATCTTCCAGACCGTCTCCTTCTCCGAGATCCTCGAGCACATCTTTACCGGCGTCAAGCACAAGAACCCTGCTGTCAAGACCGAATCGATCCGCTTCCTCGTCCGTTGTCTTCGCACTACCAAGGTGGCGCCCGCCAAAGGCGATATCAAGCCGATCGGCGACGCCCTCGTCACTGCAATGGCAGACGGATCTCCCGACGTACGTGACGCAGGAGCTGCCGGTCTTGGTACTCTGATGAAGCTCATCGGCGAGCGACCCATGAACATCTTCCTCGACGGTCTTGATGACATCAAGAAGGGCAAGGTTCAGGACGAGTACAAAACAGCCGAGGTCAAGGTCAAGATGGGCTCTGCGGCAGGCGCAGCACCATCTGCGTCTAGCGCACCAGCGAGGAGACCGCCCGCCGCCGCATCTGCCGTGGCCAACCGCGCAGCGCCGCCCGCCGCCGTACGGGCCAAGCCACCATCGGCTGCACCTGCGCCAGCCGCGGGCAAGGAGAACCAAGCGCCAAGACCGGTCGCTCGTCCACCGATGGGCGCGGCAGCCCGACCTATTGGCGCCCGACCCGCCGCCCCTGCGAGTGCGCCAATCAGGAGACCGGCAGCAGCGACCTCATCCGCTCCCGCTGCTCGCCCCGCGGCAGCAGCTGCTGGTGGTGGCGGCAAAGGAGCAGCATCCGCTACCGAGCCAGTCAAGTATCGATTCCATCCCGACGATGCCGAAGCACGAGCCGCCGACCTGATCCCAGCTGGAATTGCAACACAGCTGGCTAGCGGCGCATGGAAGGAGCGTCTTGCTGGCATGGCCGACTTCAACGATTGGCTCAAGGTAGAGGCCGAGACCGTCGAATCTGAAATCATTGTTCGCGCCCTGGGCAAGAAGCCCGGGTGGAAGGAGAGCAATTTCCAGGTCATGGCAGAAGTCTACAAGGCGCTTCAATTGCTCGCCAACGACTGCCCTACCTTTGGTCGCCCATCTGTAGCGCTGTCTGTCCAGCCACTTTGCGACAAGCTCGGCGACATCAAGCTCAAGACACCTGCTGGCGAGACGCTCGTGACGTTCGCAGAGAAAACCTCCTTCGGCTTCCTGCTCGCGCAAGCACTAGGCCCGCTCGGCGCCCTCAAGGCACCAAAGGCGATCGCGGACTCAATCTTGTGGGTCGATCAAACGCTGCTCGAATTCGGCACGGCAGGAGTCGACGTACGCTCCTTGATCGACTACCTCGTCAACTGCCTCAAGTCGGCCAACGCGGCTGTGCGAACCAACGCCACCAAAGCGATCGGCACCCTGGCGCGCTTCCTCGGCACCGCACTCAACTCCTTCGTTGCAGACCTCAACCCGCAACTTCGCACTACTATTGAAGCAGAGATCGAGAAGGCCGCCTCCAACCCACCGCCTGCGCCAACTCGCTTCAGCGAAGAGACGAAAGCACCGGCCGGCAAGGCTGGAGCGGGTGGTGCGGGAGCAGCAGGAGCGGCCTCGGGATCCGCAGCACAAGTCAATGGCGTTGACGAGGACATGCTGGATGAGCTGGTCCCGCGAGTCGATCTGGACCGACTTGTGCCCGCCACCGCCATCGCACGAATGGGCGATGCAAACTGGAAGGAGCGCAAGGAGGGTCTCGAGGAGGTCCTCGCCGTCGTCACCGCGAATACCCGCTTGAAAGGCACCATGGCCGAGCTCGCCAATGCGCTCAAGATGCGATGCTCCGACAGCAACATTATGTGCAAGTCCATGGCGCTCGATGCCATTGCCAAGATCGCGACGGGTATGAACAAGCACTTTGAGCCGCAGGCTCGCCTTCTCGCTGGACCCATCACGCAGGTGCTCGCCGACGCAAAAGCTCCCGTGCGAGCCTCCGCAACCACGGCGCTGACCGCCATCGCTGAGCAGGTCGGCGCTGGCCCGCTGCTTCCGGGTATCGCCACGGTCGTCGAAAGCAAGACAGCCAACCCCATGCTCAAGCAGGAGATCTTCGCCTGGATGGCCAACTGGTTCGAATCGCATCCGCCGGAGAAGGGCATGGAGCTGGCGCCGCTTGCCTTGCCATGTGTGCAGTGCCTCGACGACAAGCTCGCCGCGGTTCGCAAAGCTTCTCTAGCATGCTTGCCCTTCATCATCATGCGAGCTGGCTACAAGCATGTCATCGAGCAGGCCAACCAGCTCAAGACTGCCTCCAAGAACACCGCTATTCCTCTGATTGATGCTGCCAAGGTGCAAGCGCAGGCAGCGGCCCGAGCTGCAGGTGCCGCTCCAGCAGCTTCCCCAGCAGCACCCACTTCGGCGCCTGCTCCTGCTGCTCGCGCTCTTGCGGCAAGTGCACGAGGCGCTGCTGCCTCGCCTGCCAGAGCTGCACCTGCTGCCGTCCCAGCATCGCCTCGCGCCTCGACGATTGCTCGTCCAGGCGGCATCAAGCCACCCACCGCGGTGGGACGTTCACTCAAGGCGCCGTCCTCGAGCATTGCACGCCAGCCTCGCCTAGCTTCGGACGGCAGCGACGGCACCACTGCATCGCGAAGCGCCTCGGCTTCTGCGAACGGTGCAGCAAGCCAAGCTGGTAGTGCTGCGGACCGTTCTGCGCCCCTGATTTCGGCGGATATCAAGGCGAAAGCGATGCGTGAAAAGCGCGAAGGCAAGGCCGCCAACTGGATTGCCGCCGACGGTGCACCGCGTCCCGAGCTCGTCGAAGTTCTTCGTCAGCAGTGCGACGGTCAGCTCAGCCGCGGCGTCACTGACTCGATGTTCAGCAAGAGCCATTCGTCAGAGAAGGACTTCTACGCCGCATTGACGCTGCTGTCCGACTTCATCTCGAGTCCCACATTCGCAGAAGAGCAGTACGGACTGTCGCCAGAAGAGACTGTCGAACGCACGATTGCCAATTCGGATCTCATCTTCAAGTACGTCTCAATCCGACTCACGGACAACAACACGAGCTTGTCGCTCAAGTGTCTCGACATTCTCGAACATCTCGTTGCGCTGCTCAGCACGCAGCAATTCCACATGAGCGACTACGAAGCCGCCTGCATTCTGCCCTGCCTCACTGCCAAGTTTGGTGATGCCAAGGTCGCCTTCCGAGATCGCATCCGCGAGATCTTCCGCAAGATGACCTTCATCTTCCCGCCGAGCAAGCTGCTCACCAGCTACCTCGAGAACGGCCTGCCGTCGAAGAATGCGCGCGTCCGCACCGAGTGCTTGAGCGAAGGCGGCTATCTGTTTTCCAAGAATGGCCTTCAGGTGTGTTCGCCCTCGCGGACCTTGCCTGTCATTGCCAAGCAGATCAGCGATCGAGACGCCAACGTCCGTACAGCTGCGCTTTCGACCATCGGCGAGGCGTACAAGATCATCGGTGACGAGGTCTACAAGCTGGTTGGCGCTTTGCCAGGCAAAGAGATGTCGATGCTCGAAGAGAGGCTCAAGCGAACGACGGCGCCGTCAGCTTCCGGCGCAGCGACGGCAAAGCCCGCGGTTGCGCCTGCTGCTGGCCGTGCCGTACCACGCGCATCCGTTGTGCCCTCTTCTGCGGCACCTCCGTCTTCTCCAGCGCGAAGCTCTGCAGGAGCCCCTTCCTCTCGACTCGCACGACCTGGCTCGACATTGCCACAGGCAGCAGCTCCATCTGCTGGCGTCAGAAGCCGTCTGCCGGCTCCAGGCGCCGGTCGCCGCGAATCTGCGATTGGTCTGCCCCGTCCCGCAGCGTCGTCGAGCGGTCTTGGCTCGCCTCGAGCATCTGGTGTGCAGGCCCCTCGTGACATCACCCGTCCAGCCCCTATCGCGGTCCCGGCTCGCGACGAGCTACTAGCCGACGAGCTCCCCGACGACGAGGACGAAGAGCTTTCCGTCGATCAGGCGATCAACCTGGTCGTAAGCAACAACGTCGAGCAGAGCGTTCTCGCGCTCAAACACGTCGAAGCGTTCATTCGAGAGGAGGAGCCTCAGCTGATTTCGCACGTCGACCAGCTGGCCATCGTGCTGAGCAAGCAGATGCAGCGCGCCTTCACTCCCGAGTCTGGCGTGTCGGGCAACGAGCGTCTCAAGAAGCACCTGCTGGTCGTGAGCACGTCCCTGTTCGACAAGACTCGGGTCTGGGAAGATGGACGCACGCTCGGATCGTACCTGTCTCGCTCGGCCCTGATCCCGCTTTTGACGGTCCTGCTGCAGCTGCTGATCCAGTCGACCTCGCGCACCGACGATCCGACGGCGCAGAACGAGTCCAAATTCCTCAACGTGATCGTGCTCCGCTGCTTCTCGGCATGCAACCTCAACCTCCTCTACGGTGCATGCCTCCAGATGCTGACGGAAGCCACCGAGGACTTGCGCGAGCTGGAAGGCGAACTGCTCGAGACACGATCCAAGTTCTCCGAGCTGCTGGTCAAGTGCTTGTGGAAGATCGCCAAGCGTCTCGAGGACAGTCTATCCCAGGGCCAGGTGGAGCCGCAGCAGCTCTTCGCAGATGTCGAAAGCTTCCTCCAGGCGATCGCGCCGTCGGAATGGCGTCAGCGAGCCCAAGACGGCGTTCCGCTCGCCGATTTGCCCTTGCGCACGGTCAAGATCATCCTCTCGCACACGTCGAACCACTTTGGCGAGGAGGCGCTGAGCATGCTCGACATGATCCCGCAGCCCGAGAACAGCTACGTGTACAAGTACCTCATTCGGATGCTCAACACGGCTGCCGAGGGAAGCGCAGCGGACACGGCGGCAGTGGCGGATGTGGACGGCGATGCGGTAGCCAAGCCGAGGTCCGGTAGCAACGGTGCAGCGCACGAGCGAACCAACAGCCAGAACGGCAACGGCAACGGCAGCGTCGCCGATGAGGCGAGCAGCACGCACCACGCCGAGCTGCGAGACATCTTCCAACGCATCTCGAACAAGTCCGAGTCACGACAGGGCATTCGAGAGCTGTACGAGTTCCAGAAGCGAAACCCGCACCTGGAGAAGCATGTGGAGAACTCGCTGCAAAAGACGGGCCCGATTTTCCAGAGGTTTATCAAGCGGGCGCTGGCGAACCACGCTGCGGAGGATCCGGATGTCATCAACGGTGATGGTGCCGATGCTGGGGTGGCGGGTGGGGAGGAGATCAAGCGTGTCAGTACGCCGTCTGGGGGTAGTGCGAGTGGAAGAGGCACACCTGGCACGCCCAGGTCGAGTAAGGGTCCTGCAGGGACCGGGGCAGACGGGTCCATGGGCAGCCCGACCAGCTCATCAGCTACCCAGTCGCCAAGGGGATCATCGATTCGCAGCTCGGCTGCGGACGATCGTCTTGCCCAGCTGAGGGCCAAGTTCTCGCAATAGTCGCTCAAGCATAGTTAAAGTGTAATTTGTATCGTTATCACACCTTTGCTGCTTGTGCTGCAGAAACGTTTGTATATGAGGCACAGACAGCACAGTCGCACACCCACCAGCGTCTCCTTTGCGATGGACGACCTTGCCATTACCATCCCACTTCCGTCGATCCTCACCCGAACAGCACCGGAGACACCACATGCGCCCACACATACAGCGCCAACACCAGCAGCAGCAACAACACCAACACGATGGCCAGCAACCCGAACCTGTACCTGTACAGCTCGGCCAACTGTTCCAGGTACTTGAGCATGACTTTGCCGTCCAACTTGCTCTCGCCCTCCTGTCTCAATCCGAAACTGAAGGGGACCTCTGCGATGGCGTCTGCGGAGACGCCGCTCTTGACGAGCAGGTCGAGAGCGATCTTGAAGCCTTGCGCGTTGATGTTCTGATCGGCGTTGGCGAAGGCGCGTTTTGAGATGCCGAAGAACCCGGACATGGGGTCGGAGGCGGTGGTGAGGGGACGGGCGAGCATGCGTGCTCCCGAGGAGATGATCTGTCTGTGCAGCGGCCAGTCTTTGTCCATGCTAACTCCTGCGCCGTACCTCGTACCTAGCACGAATTGCTTCCTGTCGGTGATGGCGAGTAGCAGGTCGGGCACTGCCTCGGGTGGATGTTGCAGATCCGCATCCATGCAGATCATCCGTTCGCCTTTGGCCTCTCGAAACCCACGAACGACGGCGGAGGACAGACCGCGTTCCGAGGTGCGAACGACAATCCGCACATTGTAGCCCTCCGATTGGAGGGTGGAGACGGTCTCGACGGATCCATCGCGAGAGTTGTCGTCGACAATGATGACTTCGGCATCCCTAAACTCGCTCGCCTGGGGATGCGAGGCGAACGCCTGAAAGAGTCTCGTGACCAGAGGCCGGATGTTGAGGTTCTCCCTGAAGGCTGGGACGATCACGGAACACGACGCCGTTGACGATGAAGAGGAAGAGGTGGGCTTGCGGGACTTGGCGGCGTCCATGTCGAGTGCTATTGACATCGTCAAGAAATGTGGTGTGGTATGGTGATGGTCGAAAGTGACACGCTGCACCACTTTTAGAGTTCTTCTCTTCTCCGACGTGCGGCGCGGGGGCTGCAAAGAGGTGCATACGGCGCGTCTTGGGCTGGTCTGTGATCATTCTGAAGTATGTTAAACCGCGTCTGCCATGTAAAGGGTTGATTCCTCGACGCCCGTGCGCGAAAGTGGAGGTTTGGCAGCCTAAAAAAAGTCATCCTTCTCATGACACACACACACGACACTTCACACGGCAGAACGTCACTCTGGCGCTGAGTGAGGCGCCGATGATGATGCCGCCGACTTGAGTTGCCGAAGCTAACAAGGCGGGGTTACTGCTTCTATCGCCGCACGCCCGCCCTTCGCCGTGAGATATAAGCCCTTCTTTTCGCACCTCCTGCATCTGCCTGCCATCATCACCATCACACCACGACAGAACCACAGCAGAACAATCGCCCAACATGCCCGCCTCCGCAGGTTCGTATGCCCTCTTCCAGTTCGGTCGCCAGCTTGCTCCCCTTCGCGCCAGGGCGATGTCGACCAGCACCCTGGCGGGGACAAGAACGGCGGGCGCTCGTCAGATCAGGCAGCAAGGCTTACACTTCTCCTGTTCACCTCCGCGTGTTCTTCCACCACCAATCTGCTCTTCGCGATCCTTTTCCACCTCGATCTTTCGTACGATGCCGCGCACTGCAGAGACCGCCAGCTACCGTCTGAACCAGTAAGCGTTCCACACCCCCAACCTCCCCTCCCTCTTTGGCCCTTTCTTCCTGTCGACTGACGCTCTCCTCCTGTTTTGTGTGTGTGCAGTGTGATGCTTCGCGTCAAAGACCCCAAGATCTCCCTAGCCTTCTACCAAGACATCCTGGGCATGGACCTGATCGATACGCACGAGGCCTCCGACTTCACGCTCTACTTCCTTGCCTATCAGCACCAGAAGGGCGTCCCGCGTGGTGAACGCGAAGCGGTGCTCGAGCTCACCCACAACCACGGCACGGAGAACGACTCGAGCTTCTCCTACCACAACGGAAACCAGGAACCCAAGGGTTTCGGTCACCTCTGCGTCAGCGTCGACGACATCGAAAAGGCCTGTGCCAGGTTTGAAGACAAGGGCGTCAAGTTCCAGAAGAAGCTGACGGATGGAAAGATGAAGAACATCGCGTTCATTTTGGACCCTGTAAGTTCCCGCCCCGCCCCTTCGGTATAAGGTAGACGTAGAGACTGATGAGTTTTGATGATGTGATGGGTGACAACACAGGACAACTACTGGATCGAGATCATCTCGTTTGCCAAGCCTCAGTAAGCGTCCTCACACCCCGCAAGTGTTCTCGGATGAAATCAAGCCTTTTCGCCCCTCAAGTCGCTCTTTCGCGTGGCCGTCGAGACGAGCGTGCTCGACCGACTGTGTGGCTTGCTGCCTTCCCCCTTTTGAGGCGTGTGCCAGCCTGGGCCTGTGTCGGAGTGCGGTCTGATGAGGGCCTCGTTGTGAGCACGCGCCGAAGAGGGCCAGGCGCGGCTCACAGCAAGAGGCAACGCTGTCTCTCTGCGCGAAGAGGGCTGTGAGAGCGACGCTCGCGCTCGGAAAGGACCGTCGCTGATCTCCTCCCTGTCACACTTCCATTGCTCTCAGACGCACAGGGGCAAGAATCTGAAACCGCATCCACACGATCACACTCGAACAATCACCAATCTGCATCCGTTTGCTATCCGTTCGCCTTCCTTCACAAGGTCTATATCGACGCCAAGCCCTGAATGAATCGCCGAACAACATTCTGTCCTTTGACCAAGTTCCTCTGTCTCAGCCTCTCGTTGGGCAAATGGGCATTATCGCTACTCTGTCCCATGGGCAGGTGCACCGCGCCCGCACCCAGCTCCTTCTCCAGAATCGCAATGGCGGGAATACTTCCACCCTCTCGAATCGAGATCGGCTCTGCGGACCATTCCTCCTTGACCGCCTCGCGGAGGAGCTGGAAGTACTCGCTCGAGTCGGAGCCGAGCCACCAGTCGGCGCGGTGGTCGACGGTCAGGCTCACCTTGTTCTTGATGCTCGGCCGCGCCAGGGTTGGGTAGAGCGAGTCAAAGGTCGTGTTGATGTGCTCCAGGAGCGAGGCTTCGATGGTGGGCAGGTCTTGGTCCGGTACGAGACGGAGGGAGACTTGTGCGGAAACGCTGGATGGGATGACGGTCGAGTTGCCGGGCCCGGAGACGCGGATGTTGTGCACCGAAAGGGAAGGATTGCGCCACTTGGCCATGAGAGAGTCCACCGTCTCGCCGGCGTTGGATGTAGACGATTGGAGGGATTGCTTGAGGCGCACGATATCTTTGTACGCCTGGATCTCGAGGTCTGTTGTCGGGCGGACGGAGGAGTAGAAGCCCGGGAGAGCCACCTCCTCGCCGTCTGCGGTCAGCCGAGCTAGCAGCTTGACCATGTCAACCATGGGCTCGCGGATCGCACCGCCTTCAACTCCAGAGTGGACATCGCGATCGCCGCTCGAGACGCTGACGGTGGCTCGGACAACTCCTCGGAGGCCAATGGTGAGACAGGGTGTCTCTTCGTCCAGCCAGTACGAGTTGGAGAGGAGCACCACGTCGATTTCGCCAATCTCGCTCTTGTACCTTCTGACTGCCTCGACGAAGCCGACCGAGCCGTTCTCCTCTTCTCCTTCGATAAGAAACACAACATCGGAGTGGAGTCGACGTGTTGAAAGCAGATGATGAACTGCACAAGCAGCTGCTAAGATCGGGCCCTTGTTGTCCGACACACCGCGACCGTAGAGGTATCCATCTCGTCCATCCAGCATGAATGGATCCGACGTCCAACTTCCCTCAGCTGCGATGCAGTCGTAGTGGCCATAGAACAGGCACCTTCTCTTGCGCTTTGGTCGTGATTGGCGACCATCCTCGTCCTCGTCTTCTCCCTCGACAAGGTCCTGCAGATGGTCAAACATGACAGATCCGCTCAGACCCTCTCCTTCGCCCTCGTCCTCGTCAAGAGCATCCCTGTCGACAGTCATGTAGGATTCGGACGAGTCTGTGGTTGCCGAGGTCGAGGTAGATGCGGACGTTGAGGTGCTTCTGGAACGGTCGAGATTGTTCGCCGCTGTGCGGCGTCGCCTGGATTGCTTGGCGTTAGCCTTGAACGTGGCGAGCACCAAAGGATTGGTTCCTCTTGGATTGGGGAGGATGCGAGCTTCGGCGCCGAGCTCCTGGAAACAGGTCTTGAGGAAGTGAGCCGCTTGTCGGCAGTCTTCCCTGTGCTCCTCGCTCGAGCTGATGCTGGGATAGGAGATGAACTTGCGCAAAAGCGACCGGAGGAGCGGCCACTGTGCTGAAGCAGCCTCTTCTGTGTTGCCGTTTGTCGTGATTGTGAGAGGGTATGAAGGCTCTGTTCCGGCTGCATTTGCACGTATGGTGGTGGCGGCGATTGGCGTCGAGCTGAGCGAAGGGGAAGTATTTTCGAAAGAGCGCCGCTGTGCTTCTCGTCTGAGTGCTGTACAAGTATCTTCCTTGCTTGAGGAGAACGATGCTGGTTGCTGACCGGGAGAGGCATCCCAAATTTTGATGAGGTTGTCGCTTGACCCTGTGATTAGCTGAGAGATTTTGCTGTGCGTGTCGTTCGTAGTGTCTGCCCCGTCATCGTCTGTAACCATGCTTCTTGAGTCGTAGCTCTTAAGCTTTGCCAGCGAAAGAACGATGCCTTCATGAGCTTGTACCCTGCTGACGCATCGGAACGATCGATCCCAAGTATGCACCTTTCCATCTGCGCCGGCCGTGAAGAGCAGACCCGATTCTGGACAAGTCTCGACACAGATGACATCGTCGGTGTGCGCTCGGATGGTGCGGACCAAGGTGCACGTCTCGAGGTCCCACACTTCGACCTCTCCGCCCTGCAGTCCTGAAAAGAGGGTGGTCTTCCACGAAGCAAGCGCAAGGACGGCGTTGCCATCCGCGTTGGGGCTTTCGAGGGTTGCGAGGAGAGAGAGGCCTGAACGAGTTGCGTGCCAGAGCTTGATGGTCTCGTCGCCCGAGCCCGATGCGAGAACCGTAGGATGCTGAGTGTCTCCTTCCAGAGTGAGCAAAGCGAGGCAGTAGACGTAGCCAAAGTGGGCAGAGACAACTGATGAAGTCGAGGGAACGAGCAGCGTGCGAACAGAATCGGAGTGCGCATCGTCAGTCGAGTCGGCTGCGTCCATCGCAGGAGAAGAGGAGACAGCTGCACTGTCGAGGCGCTGTGATGCGGCGTGAAGCACCTTTTCCGTCGATCCTGCAGTAGAGAGAGCGCCGTTCGAGAAGGTGCCTTGGTCGGAGCCTGCCAACGGCGAGTTCTTCGAATGCGTAGCGAGTTTGGCGCTGCTGAGTGCTGAGACAGCAGCTGGCCTTGTGCTGGTGCGTGTCGGGGTCGAAGTGCCTGCCGTTCCCATGCCTGACCTGCTGAGCGCGACGGGAACTGAGTCAAAGAACTTGTGCGGTCGAGCCGTCACGTCCGGGGTCGAGATGATCGGACTATCCGTGCCGCCACGTTCGGTGACTCCGATGGCAGAAGAGTCGCCATCGGGCTGCTTCCTACTTGACTCGCCGACAGTTCCGAGTGTTCCTCTCGCGCTTCCGCCTCGTTTATCGAATCCAGCGAGGCAGATCCACTGTATCGATGTTGATTGACAACCGATGTAGAGCGTCTCAAGAATGGAACACCATTTGAGCGCAAAGATGTCACCAACGCTGTCTTCGGCTGGCAGCACCACGAACAGCGGAGCGTTGGTGACTGTGTCCCATATCCGCACCGTGTTGTCGCCAGAGGAACTGAAGAGCCAGTTCTTCTCAGGAGCTAGCTCTAGCGCAAGAACACTGCCGGTGTGGCCTTGCAGTTGAGCAGTAGACTGGAAGGTGCCAAGATCCCAGACATTGATATAGCCCTCCTGTGAGCCTGAGTAGAGCACATTGCGCTTCTCGTCCACTGCCAAAGATAGAACCGAAGAGTAATGATTGATCGTGTGGCTCAGCAGCGTATCGCGAGAAGCACCGCCGGATGCTCTTGTTTGCAGAGAGGACGGTCCGGCAAGCTTAGTCTGAGATAGACCGTGGCTGATGTCGCTGAGCTGACGAGACGATGCCGAGGCCTGGTGGAAAAAGTGTTCATAGTGAACGTTGGGAGAGCACATGCTGATTGTCCATGACCGAGACTGCCCAAGTGATGTGGACGGGGCGGGACGGTCTTGTGGGTCGGGTCGGGTGGAAGAACAGGAACCGTGGTCGCCTGAGGTGAGGGGCACGCTCGTCTTCTCGTTCTCCTTCAGGGTCTTTCGCTGCTGTGTGTGCATGTGACTGCAGCTTGGTCAAGGCGTCGGTGATATGGTGTCATTTTCCACGAGAACAGGCTCATTCTCTGTCACACGATAACGGCGTGGCCAGCCGATTCAGTCTAATCTCGGACCTGGACCCCGATGTGTAACTGATTCGGATCGCGGGACTGCAATTTGGAAGACTTGGATTTGAACCAGAAAAAGTCGAAAGTGACTTGCAGGAAGGGTCACTACTGACCTTGCTTTGCTGCGTGTCGCATCTTCCTTCGATTCTGACCACGACCTCCTTTCTTCCATCCCACCTGCTCCCTCTCGCAAGGCTCAAACCGGTCGCACTGGCGCGTTGAGCTCTCGAAGCTTGACAAGGCATCCGTGCTGCCCGCCATGCCCAGCGCCAAGGCGTCATCGTCCTCCTCGGCGGCAGGGTCTAAGCTCACCAAGCTCGAGACGGCGCTCTATCGAGCTGCTCAATCAGCACCCGGCGGCATCATCACTCAAGACCAGATCTCGGAACAATTCAAACATGAGCAGATCGATGACCGGCTTCAAGCCATCAACGGTCTTCTGCGGAAGAATCTCTTCACCGCACAATCTCTCCAGGGTACCATCCAATTCGCCGCTACCGCCAGGGCTGAGGCCAGCATCATGGGCAAGCTCGACGAGAACGAAACCATGGTCTACTCGCACATCAAGGACGCGCGCAACGACGGTATCTGGACAAAGCAGCTCAAGAACAGGACCAACTTGCACCAGACCATCATCAATCGATGCCTCAAGTCGCTAGAGCAGAAGCAGCTCGTCAAGGCAGTCAAGTCTGTCAAGTATCCAACCAGGAAGATCTACATGCTGTTCGGTCTCACTCCGTCGATCGAGCTCTCGGGTGGTCCGTGGTACACCGACAACGAGCTCGATACCGGCTTCATCAATGAGCTGTCCATGGCCATCCTAAACTTCATTCGGTCCAAGTCCTTTCCCAAGAACGGCCAGTCAAGGGCGCTGTTCCCGACCAGCCACACGTCGCAACTCCCATCAGCCAAAGCTATCCACTCATACCTTCGCAACGCCGAGCTCACTGAAACCCAGCTCGAAGTCGAACACGTCGTTTCCCTGCTCGACATTCTCGTGTACGACGAGCAGATCGAGAAGATCCCAGTGCTTTCGCTCAACGGTGGAGGTGGAGGCATCAACGAATTTGACGAAGAAGATCAAAACTACTCGGACTCGGAGCGCTCAACGGACGGCAGTGGATCGGACAGCGAGTCAGCAAGTGGGTCAGACAGCGAGTCGTCGGCGCAGGAAACAGGGTCAGACAAGGGCCACGGAAAGAAGAAGATCAAAAAGGAACGCAAAGTTGATGATGATGAAGACGACGACAGCGACGACGAGAATGCTGGTCCGGTCAAGAGTGGCAAGCGCAAGTCGGGCTCAAAGTCAGAGTCGCGGAAGAAGAGCAAGAAGAGCAAAACATCTTCGCGGCGGACCAAATCCAAAGACAAGCGCAGCAGTCGTTCAAGGTCACGCTCTAGGTCCCGCTCTCGCTCCCGCGCCGCCTCCTCAGACGTCGAAAATGGATCCGAATCCGATGCATCGTCCTCATCTTCAGATCACGGACGCAGACGGTCCAGCAGCAAGAAGAGTCGCTCCAACGGCAAATCTTCCTCAGGCATGGGTGACGGTGACTTTGTCCCATTCGTATACAGAGCCATCCGACCACACTCGGTCAAGGTCAGGTGGACGGAAACGCCCTGTGGACACTGTCCCGTCTTTGACTTCTGTGACGATACCGGCCCTGTCAACGCCGAGACTTGCGAGTACTTTGGAGGCAAGGAGGACGAGCTCGGCAGGAAGGTCAAGAATGGCTGGATCGACACGATCGCATTCGACGACGACGAGGAGGAGCCAGAGGAGGCCGACGAAGGGGACGATGTCAAGATGGTGGATGATGCATGATTTCCGAGCAAGACTCTTTTGCAAATAAGCTTCTTTGTCACATTGGCTGCGTATGCAAATTGATTGTGGGGTTGACCGGCTCAATGATCGCCGGAAGTGGATATTGTGAGACCCGTTAAGCTCCCACCCTTGGAAGACTCCAAGGCGAATCAAAAGCAACCTTTGACTCAACATGCCGAAGCACGAGCCTTGACTCATGCCTTTTGAGCGACAGCTTGAGCCAGCGTTTGACTCCTGCATCTTTCATGCATGACGGCGTAAGATGCATTGGCGTGGGACTCTCCGTGCCGCTTTCCGTTGTCAAGGAACGACGATTGGGAGTCTGTGTCACCACGCTTCGTCTCCTTCAAAAAACCCCCACCCCATGAAAGGAGTGGGCGGACAATGCTCTTGAAGTGCAGCCGCCGGGCTCAACTCGGTGCATGTAGTAGCTTGCCCATTCGTTCTGCTCTTACGCCCACGCCATTCAGAATAAGTCATTGAACGCCCCAGACTGAGAAGATCTCGCGGTGGTCTTCAGTCTCTGAAAACGTCTATGACCGCATCGCGCTGGCATCATTCTCATACACTGAGCTGACTATGTTGCACTTCAAGCTGATGGCGGACGCGGCTGTCGACAGCGGTACAATTACTTCACCGACCAGTCACAATGCCAGATCGACCATGCATGATGCAGAGACTCCCGCCAACGAAGCAGGGATGAGACTTGCGTCGGTGGATTGGTTGACAAGCTTCGCCTCGGTTCACGCGTGCCTTGAACTGTAAGCTCATCTGAACACCTGACAATGCACCAAGAAGTTCATGTGACCCACAAAGGTAATTTGACTGCATCATGGTCAACACTTCCAACCCCTGTCTCGAGTCGTGCAGTGTGAAGCATGCCGGATAGGCCTTTCACTGCTACAGGGGTGCTGAAGCATCAACGGATGCTCTGGACCGTACCAGGGTGTTGGCTCGGCAGCCTATAAGAGACCCTCATCGCTTCTTACCCTTTCCTCTCGGCTCCTCACTTCCCTCCTCTCTCATCCACTCACCGTAGTCTTGCCGGTCAAGCACCTTCTGAATCCTCGCCCCTGTCCACTTCTGCTTTCTGCCTTTCCCAAATCACCTCGCTCCCCGAATTTTCTTACACCACGCGCCATTTCTGTCAACATGGCTCTCAAACTCAACATCGGCCTTCTCGCCGTCTCCCTCTCTCTCGCGCTCGTCCACCTTGATGGTGCCAGCGCCGGAATGGCTACCCGCTACTGGGATTGCTGCAAGCCCAGCGCCTCATGGAGTCGGTAGCAAACTCATGCGTCGTTGACGATCTGTGACATTCACGGAGCATCTGATATGCTTTATTGAACGAAAGGCTGACCTCTGAACGAAATATTGTCCTTTCCTCTACTCACAGACAACAAAGCTCCCGTCTACGCTCCAGTTGACACCTGCAAGGCGGACGGTGTGACCCTCATCGACCCTTCGCAGGCCGACCAAGGTCAGAGCGGCTGCAACGGCGGCAACCAGTACATGTGCAGCTGCATGCAGCCCTTCAACGATGAGTCGGACTCTACCCTTGGTCTGGGCTTTGCTGCCTTCAGCGCTGGTAGCGAGTCGGAGACCGACTGTGCGTGCTACTACGCCGAGTTTGCTCACGACGGTCAGGGCAAGCCGATCAAGCGCAACAAGCTTCTGTTCCAGGTGACCAACACGGGTGGCGACGTTCAGAGCGAGAACATCGACTTCCAGATTCCCGGTGGTGGACTGGGCGCCTTCGCCCAGGGCTGTCCTGCTCAGTGGAGCACTCCTGCCTCGCAGTGGGGTCAGACCTACGGCGGTGTCTCATCCGCCTCGCAGTGCAGCAACTTGCCCCATGCCCTGCAGGAAGGCTGCCAGTGGCGATTCTCGCAGTGGGGCGACAACCCGGTGCTCAAGGGCGCACCCAAGCGCGTTCGTTGCCCCAAGAGTCTCATCGACCGATCAGGCTGCCAGCGCAAGGACGACAACACGGTCAGCCCTTACTCCGGCCAGGTGGACAGCGGCAACACGGCTGCGCCTGCTCAGTACAAGCGCAACCGAAGTGTCTGCCTGGGTGGCAAGAAGGAAAGCTACGGCGCTCCCGGTACTGGAGGTTCTCATGTTCAGCCGATTGGCTACGGTTCTGGAAACGGTGGTGCTGCTGAGGGCTCCAACAACGGCGCTGGACAGGGTGCTGGCGATAAGCCGGCTCCTGGAGCCAATAATGGCGCCGTTTCTCCTAGCTCGAACGGTGGGGGCTCTGCTCCGCAGGGCTACAGCCCAACCAAGCCCTCGGTCCCCAAGGGCCACAAGAAACACCGCGTCTGCCAGTGGGAGTGATCGCGTTTCCTGCTGTTGCTGCCCGTAACTGAGCTCACTCCCGTAGCTGTCCAAGTCCGCCAGCCATCGCTTCGCTTCGCTTCTCTTCCGTAGACACTCTTCTCCTTCTGCGAGGGAGATTCTTCAATTCACTTCCTCCTTTCCGTCGGCGTAACAGCCATCCATTTTCTCCTCGCGTGTCCGTGATTACGAGGTTGAAGATCTAAGCGAGTCTGTCAAAGTCTGAGCTTAGCTGCAGTGCCAAGGGTGAGTAGTGACTCGAAGATCGTGGCTGCAGATGGCGACTCTGCATTCGGAAAATTTCAAGAAGATCACCGGCTCGGGTGGGAGCATCAGCCTGAGCTAGAAGAAAGAGCTTCGACCTCATGAGAAGGTGATGCGGGTAGAAAATCTCCACTTGCTAAAGTCACACATCAAGGTTGCTTAACATAGCTCATCCTGCCAAAGGGTTAAACGAAGGTCGGCTTACCTCATTTCATCCCACCTTCCTGGTCCTTGTACTCGTCTTCGGCCTGTCAGTGTCACTGCAGACCCTTGGATCTCGCGCAGCAACCTTAGTCTGGCAGTCGAAGGGGCACCCTCGGACTCTTCTTGCTCTGTCCTCCCGTTCCGAGTCTATTTCCAGTATGCCGCCGACTCCACCACCTCGTCCGGAGGGCTTCTCTTCGTCCTCAACCACGACTCCATCCAAGACTGGTCAGACAGCCTCTACCATCTCGGCCTCCAATTCATTGCTCGATCTACTCGCCGGCGCTCCTGGGCGCGTCACTTCGCCGCCTTCCTCATCGGCTGCCGCCTCGTCTTCACTTGCTTCTCTTCTCTCTCAGCCATCGGAGTCGCAACAATCCCCGTCGCCCGCGTCGTCCGCACCTCTCCCTACGCCTTTGAGCGCGCCTTCGACAAACGGAGTGCACAAAGCCCCAGGGATCGCACCAAGCGCCATGTCTGACTCTTCGCAGCAGCAGCAACAGCCGGGGCGAGACGTGAGCCACCTCATGCAAAAGTTCTTGGCACCTTCCTCTCCGCTGCTAGTGGTATCACCGAATGGCAAGACCGCTGAAAATGCGGATCCAATGGAACAGACGTCCAGTCCCAGTCAGCCTTCACAAGCCCCTCAGAACAAAGTGCTCCAACTGCCACCTTCCCCTCCTAGCTCCGAAAGCAGTGCGACCGCCACAAAGCTTCGTCCAGCGCCTACAGATCAGAAATCCTCAACTGATGGAACAAAGCCTTCAGCGCCCGGTCAGGAGACACCTTCTGCCAATGGTCCCTCTTCCAAGTCGTTGCCGCCTCCACCTGCTTCGAGTGCGCCCGCAGCCCCCTCGCCCTCGGTCAAGACACCATTTGACTTTGTCAGTCCCTTCGACATGCTTTCCAAGCGCGATGACCCTGTCACAACAGCCCCAGCAGCTCCCTCTCAGTCATATCCCGCCGCTCAAGCCAAACAGGAATTTATCCAGTCTTCCAATGGATACGAAGCCGCGAGCGCAGGTATCGAAAGCTTGCTTCAGAAGCTCTCGTCATCAGCGCAAGCAAACAAAGCTTCTCAAAGGCCCTCCTCAGCCGGTCAGACAACTTCGCTTCTGGCCCTTGCTGGACCAACTCCACCACCGAAGAAAACGGAACCAGAGAGCCAGCCATCAGAGACATCTTCAGCTGTGTCTGCAAACACTCCCGCTTCATCGGGCTCGTCTCCAACTCGACCAACATTCCGAAGGCTGCCAACCGTTCCCGCCGTACTCAATGCACCGGACAAGCAGCATCACGCCTCACGCCACGTCGCATTGCTCAGACAAGAAGATGCTTTCGATGATCCCAAGTCTTCGGGACTCTCTGTCCTATCGCCTTCTCGCTCCTCCAGCGCTCCCAGCATTGCTACCCTCGATCTTGCCGCCAAGCAGCCAGGTGGCCTTTCCAGCTTGAGACACACCAAGGTCGAGACTTCGGGTGTCGCTCTCATCTCTTCACCCTTCCATTTCCCTTGCAACGTCTCCGCTGCCGGCCTCCTTCCAGCCTCGCGCGTCGCCAACTTTGGCCACGATGTTGCCTGCTACAGCATGTCGAAAGGCAAGATCAGGCTTATCCACGTCGGAACAGGAGCGAGGCTGTTGGTGCAAACGCCCAAGAAAGCTTCCATCAGGTCCATTGTCGCCTTCGAGTCGGATGAGAACGGCGGAACTTTCCTGCTCGCCGCCCTGGTTGAGCGATCGAAGGATGCCCAGGACGAAGGCGTCGTCCTCTGGCAGGTCCCTTCTGCCTTTGTGCTGCAAGGCAAGGAGGATTCAGAACCTACTCTGCTCGCTCGCGTCACCGCCGACCCTTACAAGAGCACCTTTGTCTATCGCTTCACAGCTATTGCCTGGAACCCGACGCAGCCCAAGCTCGCCATCTCTACCAGCGATAGCAACGTCGTTGTCTTCGACGTAGGACGACAGCTGCTCGCATCATCCAAGAGCTTCCGGTCATTTGACGAATCCGAAGTCGACCCGCAAAGCAAAGACGTGGCTCGCAACGAGCCTCTGGCCGGCTTCGCTTTCTCCCCGGACGGGACCATGCTTGCCACGATCTCGGCACCGCTCGAAGGCGACGTCTCGTGGATCCTGGGCTTCAAGAGCCTGGACGGGAAAGCGTCTGCCGTGGACGACATGTCCTTCCTCATCAAGTCACCTTTGCAAGAGCCAATGATCATCAGCCATCTCTCCTTCATTGCTGGATCCAACACGGACGGCGCTGAGAACGACGATGCCTCCCAAGCCACAGCAATTCGAGGTGTCCTCATCGGCTTCAGATGCAACACCATCTTGGGTCTATACGATCTCGCCTCGCGCTCTTTCAAGCATGTCTGGAAGTTCCAAAGCCCACCACAGGCATCCGCGGGCGTGGAGGAGCACTTCAACCTCGTCCACCTGGACAAACAGAGCAACACCCTGTTGGTTTGCAACAGCTTCCGCTCATCCATCTTTGCCGTGCCGCTCGATCTGCAGCCGCTCCCCTCCCTTTCGGGCGGCACCAAGCTGGCGGATCGTGCATCGCTACCAACCCGCCTCGAGCAGGGTCTGCTGCCATGGAGCATCCAACTCTCCTACCCGATCGAAGAGTATGCTCTGCAGGACCCATGCACTTCGGTGACCATCAGCTCCAATGTCGATGACGCGGACGAACCGGCCAGGCTCTTCGTGGCCTTCCCGGAGGGCATCAGCGTGGTTCAACTGCTGAAGCCTGAGTGTCCTGCCGAGGAGTCTGAGAACAACCTTGCAGCACCGGCTGACGAGAAGCCCGAGGCCGAGCCTGTCCCGGTTGCAGCGGCACCAGAGGAGCCGTCTCAAGCATCCGCGATCGATGCACAGCCAGCACTCAGCAAGTCGAGCAAAAAGAAGAGCAAGAAGAAGAAGGCTGCCGCTGCTGCTGCCTCTGCAGAGGAAGCGGTTCCCAGCAGGCCTGAGGAGTCATTTGACATCAGCCAAGCGCCCAGCGCCGAGCCTCCTATTGTCGCCGCTTCGGACGAGGAGCCGAGCGAACAGCATCCTTCAGCTTCGACACCCAGGGGAAGCGCATCCGTTAAAGAAGCTCCAGCGCAGCAGCCTCCAGCCGAGATCAGCTTTTCTGCCGATGATGTCAATGCCGCCCTCTCGGACACGATCACTTCGGCAGTGCACGACGCCGTTTCTGCCAACATCAGCAACGGCTTCCAGCAATCCATCGAGACCGCCATACCTCAAGAGGTAGAGCGACTCATCACCTCGACCGAACTCAAGGCCGAGCTCACCCGCAACATCGCCCAGACCATCCTGCCCGCAGTACAGCGAACCGCCATGGAGGTGGTCAGCCGCGTTCTCGCGCCTCACTTCGAGGAGGTCATGATGCAGGTCTCTGACCGCGTCGAGCGCACTATCGTCTCGGAAATCACCAACGTCAGAAAGACGCTGATTGCCGAGCAGGCCACATCCTTGAACGACACGGACAAGGTGGTCAAGGCGATCCAAGAACAAGTCAACGACGTGCTTGTGCGGGTCAAGGACCTCAAGGTTCAGCAAACAGACAAGATTGTCGAGCTTAAGACCGAAGAGGCTCCTCGCGAAACAACAAAGCTGAACGGTGCGAGCCGACTCGTCTCCACCTCTGCAGACGAGCTCTCCGAGGTCGAAGCTGCTCCCGCCGTCAAAGCTCGTGACTTCTCCGAGACCGCACCCGCTCCCACCACCCCTCCTCAGCAGAACGCTCGCAACACGTCACTCGAAGGCATGCAACTCGCGCCGGCTGCCCTGCCGACGAAGTGCCGCCTTCCTGAGCGCGTTGCCATCATCGGTGCCGGTCCCGTTGGTTGTCTCGCCGGTCTCGCTTTCGCTCAGCGTGGCTGCAAGGTCGACATCTTCGAATCTCGCCCTGATCCGCGCACGGACGAAGCGGTCGCACGTGCATCGCAGCGCAGCATCAACCTCGCACTCTCCACTCGTGGCATCACCGGTCTTCGCAGCGTCAGCCTGGTTGGCCTAGGCAAGTACGCCTCGAGCGGCAAGGACCTTGCTGATCTCGTTCTGCAGGACTCCGTGCCTATGAGGGCAAGAATGATCCACGTCGTGACGAAGCAGGCGACCAACGGCAGGGACGCACAGGTCAAAGAGATCAGCCAGTTGTACAGCACCAAGGGCGAGAGCATCAACTCGGTGGATCGCGGTAGGCTCAACAACATCCTGCTCGACCACGCCCTGATGCATCCCAACGTCGACGTGCACTTCGAGCACAAGCTGCAGACCGTTGACTTTGACCACGATACGAGATCAGCGGGACAGCAGGCGTCGGTGCCTGTCGCCAACGGTGTCACTGTGAAGAAGTCGATTCGCGGTGCCAATGGCAACAGGCCCGGCGGGGAGTCGTCTGCTGATGAGTCGTATCGTCGCGGCGGGAAGGGCAAGGCTCTTTCCAGTAAGAACCGACGCAATGGCCAGCAACAGCAGCAGGCCAAGTCATCTGCCGCCGATCGTCTGCGCCTCGAGTTCAACGTGCACAGCAACAACCAGCGTATTCCCAAGACGACGTCCACGCACCTTGCGTCCTTCGTCGTGGGCTGCGACGGCGCTCACTCCTCCATCCGCTCCGCCATGGGCAGCCTCATCCGCATGCACTACACGCACAACTACATCGACACGGGCTACGTCGAGCTTTCGATCCCGGCACGCACCTCGCTCTCCTCGGGCTCGCGCATCCGCGGCTCCGGCGGGTCAGACGGCAAACCCGGTGGTCACGACGCCTTCCACCTCGACCCGAACCACCTGCATATCTGGCCGCGCCACTCGTTCATGCTCATCGCGCTGCCCAACCTCGACGGAAGCTTCACGTGCACGCTGTTTGCGCCGTTCAAGATGTTTGCCTCTGAGCTGTCCAACAAAGACGGCATACTGAGTGTGTTCAGGGAGCACTTCCCGGATGCACTGCCTCTGATCGGCGAGGAGAAGCTGGTGGAGAGTCTGACGAGTCGTCGCGCGAGTGCGCTGGGGAGCGTCCAGTGCGATCCGTACCACTACAAGGACCGAGCGGTGCTGATCGGCGATGCGGCGCATGCGATGCTGCCCTTCTACGGCCAAGGGCTCAACTGTGGGTTTGAAGACGTCCGTGTGATGTTCGACATCATCGACGACAGTGAGGTGCTGCAGGATGCGCTGGAGAGGTATACCAAGGAACGCCACCCGGATTTGGTGGCCATCTTGCAGTTGGCCGAACAGAACTATCGCGAGATGGCGCATAGCGTCGTGTCGTGGCCGTACCTGTTGCGGAAGAAGCTCGATGGGCTGCTGATGAGCGTGCTGCCGGCGAGCGTGTGGAGCAGCTTGTACGCCATGACGACGTTCAGCAATCTGCCGTACTCGACGGTGATCAAGGCCGAACAGCGACAGCAGCGGGTCATCAGCAATGTCCTGCTCACGTCGGTTGTTGGCGTGCTGACGGGTGCTGTGGTGGGCGCGTACAGGACAAGGGGCGTCTGGCAGCCGGTTACGAAGGGATGGATCGAGGGGCTGCAGAAGAAGGTCGCGTAAAGCAGCTGACGTTGGTTCATGTCGTCTGGAACACCAGTCACGTAGCAAAGCGAGTAGCCTTGCAATCTCACTGATGATTCCAGACCAAAGTGCGTGTTTCTGAGCACATTTCTGGTGAGGACATGATGCACTGACAGCGAAGGCAGCGAGTGCAAGGCCAGGAAATGACAACGCTCAGCTCATCCGCACAGTGCTTCACCGCTCACCCCGCACTGAACGCTTCACAACCCTCGCCCTATCTCACCATCTCACTCGTACAGACCTTTCTACTCACCTAGCCTGATCACAACCCACCAAATGACTGAGCAAAATACTGAATTGTCCACAACATGCCTACTTCTTGATAACCTGGAACCCGACCTCGCCATCGGCGGTGCTCATGGCATACACCACCGCCATGCCCTCCACGAACGCCATGATCGGCTGCAGAATCAACAGCGCCACGGCGTGCACAGGAATCTGCCAAACCTGGTGCCACTTGTACCCGTAATCCAGCTCGGAGAAGAACAAGCCCGAGTAGTAGAGCCAGTAGAAGTTTCCGAAGCAGAAACAGCTGATGACGTACAACCATCTCGGGGTTGGACCTGACCACTCCAACAGCAACGAGAAGGGGATGTTGATGAGCGTGGCGACGAGGCAGAAGATGCCGGCTGTCCAGAGTTTGATCGCGATCTGGGGGAGGAAGAACAACCCATCGATCCCGCGGATACCCATGTACCAACGACGACGTTGCTTGATGAAATCGGCCCACCCTTCGGGACTCTGTTCGCGGACGACACCGTGAATCCTACCCAACGTAAACCCTTTGCCCCAGGCAGCTTGGGAAAATTCAAAGTCTTCCGCCAAGGAGCCAAAGTCCCACGTCACCTTGTTCTCCACATCGCCATTGATCATCAAGAACGAACCGTGAACACCAAACACCGGCCGCTTGATGATGTTGCCCTGCAAACTAAACCTCGCCAACTCGTCACCAACCCTAATGCAATCGGCAACAGCGAAGAACCAGTTTTTCCAATACGTCTCGCGCTTACCATTATAAATAATGATCCCCTGACCAATGTGCGCTGTGTTGTAACGAATAAAGTCGAAACAGCCACGAAGGGACTCGGCATCCATCGTACTCTCCTCGTCCATATGCAACACCCAATCGTACGGAGTGAGGTTCATCGACGAACGGAAGTAGTCGAGTGCCTTGGCCTTGTGTTTCGCCTTGCCTAGCGGAGACTGATACGCCTTGGGGGTCATAACATTGTCCAGATCGGGATAGTAGTAGGGTTCGTCGGTGAGCACAATCGCGCGTACCGCCGGATGATACTTTTCCAACTTCTTGAGATGCAGGTGCGCCCTCCGGGTCGTTTCAGGGTTGGATCCGCGTGTGACGGAAACGATAAACAGTCGGTGGATGTGCTCCCGCACCACCGGCTTCTTCTTGAGCTCCTCGGTCGTCCTCGTAATGTCCGGAGTGGCAAAACCCAACGTGGTGATGAGACAGTACGGCAGCGCTAGCGCCCAGAGGAGTCGCCAGACGGTCGAAAAATCGGCAAACCCATCCAGGATGTAGCTCGACCAAGGGTTGAACCACATCCAAATGAAACCGAGTCCCAGGATGATGCCAACCTGAACGGGAGCGAGGAAGGAAAGCATGCGCAACATCCACCTCGTCCTCACCGCCTGGGTGTCATCGCTGATATCGGCATCGAAGAGCGACGAGTGCAAATCATTCATCTGCAAACCGACCTCCATGGGGTGCGCGGGTGGTTGGGGTGCCTCGACCATCGTCCTCCAGTGGAACATGAGCCACACCGTGTGCTTGGTCTTGGCCCACGTGTCGCGACACCAGCCAGGAACGGCACGGAGGAACGCAGGAGGTCCAAACACCACCCCCTTAACCGTGTTGATCGTAGCCTGCTTGAGCGTGGCATACGTATCCTCGCGAATAATCGTCTTGGCGAACCAGTCCGAGAAGATCATGGCCCACTTGTCCAAGGTGTGCGCGATCAACCAGGCAACGATGTAGGCGGTGAAGAACGTGATGAGCCAGGTACTCCACATGTTGCTCCAGAAGCTGTATCCTCGATCACGGAAGTGGATCACCAAGTACGGCATGATACCGTAGATGATGGACATCTGGCATACGTAGAAACCCAGCGCGACCCTGCCTAGAGCCTTGAACGCCCAATTACCGATCAACCATTGGAGCACGACCGACATCTCCAACCAGAAGTAGAGCACGCCCGCCATGATGAGGTAGCTAGGCATGCGACCCGCCGTAAAACTCGTGATGCTGTACCCCAGAGTACCGTCTCGGTCGGTAACGCTCTGCAGACCCTGGTCGATGTTGACAAAGATGGGGTTGTAGCAGTAGGCGGCGACGAAGAAGGCGGCCATGGCGGTTTCGGTGGCCAAGAACGCCAGTCGCGATTTCTGGTTGAACTTCTTGATGTACCCACTGGCGACGAGGTCGGCTGCAATGGCTCCCACCGTAAACGGGATGTTCTGATTGTACGTGTAACCTTGGAAGATGAGCAGCAGTGCGTAGAGCACAAATCGTCGCGAGGCCTTGAGGTACATGACGATGGGCAGCATCATGAGCACCGAGAGCATGCCCCACAGCTGGGGTACGATGGACCAGAGCATCGACGTGTTGAGCAGCTGCTGCAGGTAGTCTCGGTTCGTCGCCAGTCTAAGCAGACCAACGACAATGTCACCGACACTAGTCGAGATCGCCCAGTCGCTGGCGAACGGCGAGGGATTATCATAGTTGACGTTGCACCATAGTGGGTAACCGAGGTTGCCGCTCTGCAGCCAACCTTCCGCAATGACCGTCTGGTCAAACGCATGAGCGCCACACTCGACCTTCTGAATCACCAACCAAACACCTCCTACGATCAACAGTCGCAGACTGCGCCTGATCATGGCTTCGGGGACGACGCTCCAAATGATCGGTCGGCCGAGCGCCTTGTTCCTAAAGTAACTCGTCGCGTTCAACCTGCCCGAGAGCATGTAGAAGAGCACCAGTCCAATCGGGCTCCTGAGGATGCCGACGGGTGTACCGTTCTGAATCGTCCCCGGGTGGGTCGCAACAAAGGTGTTGTCGATGAAATGACCATTGAACACAAGGATCATGGCGATCCCACGGAGACCGTCGGCGTAGTCGAGGTAGCCGTTGGCCGCCGTCTTGGCAGGTTGATCCGCACGGGGCTTCTTTTCGGAGGAAACGACACCGGAACCGATCGCTCCAGCAGAGTCCTTGGCTGCTTTGAACTCCATGGACTTCTGGTCGGGCATGTTGACGGCTGTGCGGTCGTACAGGTCGGGCGTCTGGGTGCCGGGTGTATAGGGAAGCTCGCCATAGGGCGTGAGTGTGCTCGAGCCTGCATGGACACCACCAGAAGAAGATTGAACATGTCAGTACAGAACTTTACACGGATGAGCGAGAATGAGGGTGGACAACTTACGACTCTGGAAACTGTGGTGCGAGTTGTAGGGCATCGAATGGCCGATAGGTCGGATCTCGTCGTCGTTTTCGCTCGAGGAGCGCGGTCGCTCGCTCGAGCTGTCGCTGCGACGCTTAGGCTGCGTCTTGACGGGCGACGACATGATTTGGCTGAAGCAGCGCCGTCGGGCTTCACGATCTTTCTGAGCCCCGTCAATGAGAGGTGTGCGCTTGTCGCGATTCGAATGAGCGTAGCAGAGGGGAAGAGACAGTGAAAGGAATGCGCTGGGGAGCAGTGGCGTGCGCTCCGTTGTGAACAAAGTGTGTGGGAGACGGGACGACGGAACGATGAAGAGAAGTGACCGATGATGGGGAGGGGCGCAATTTGGCCAACTCTTTCGACAGCTTGGCCGCCGCTGCTGCTAAAAGCGTATATGGGACAGGCGGGTGCTGATCGCTGCAGAACAAAGCTCGCTGCACTCTCAGATGACAGGACACAGACCGAGCACAAATTTTTTGGCGAGGCGAGGCAAAGAGCAGGGGGGGAGCGGCGATCTGCGCAAAGAGCGATGAACAACCCTGCATGCGAGCCAGGGCCAACAAAGGTTTCGAGAGCCGCACAAGGGGTCGAAAACTAGAAGGAAGCGGTGTGAGGCGCAAACAGATGAAGGCGGCTGACTGGCTGCTAGAGTGGGGTGGAGGCGTTGAGGGTCTTCATCGACGACGGATATCCGACATTCGAGCGCACGGCTGACAGGCCCGTGATTGTGAAGCGAGTTTCGAGGGTTCAAGGGTGTGTGTGTGTGTGACCAAGAAACGATGCTCGCCCGCTTGTTGGCGAAAGAGGGCTTGGAGGCAGAGCGAGCGAGCGAGCCTCGATGGCTTTGCGATCTTGCGGCGAAAATTCCATTCCAGCCCCCCAAGGCCAGCCCGCGGTGATCCGGGACATTTTCAGGAATTCATGGACGAAGGAAAATGTTTTGCGTCAGCTTTGGCGAGCTATTGTGCCTGAACGAAAACAGTTGACCGTCAAGCAAACCAAAACCTTGTCTCGACGGCTTCGAATCCGGCAGGCTTGCATGCCAGACGATCCTCAGGAGCATACAAATTCGGTCAACTTGCTTTCAAACAAAGAGCACGCTGAGTCGTCCATCGACCGTCGGTTGAGTTTTTCAGAGAGAAACCGACAAACGAATCGCAGGATTGATTTGCGAGACATTGCCTGCTCGGCAGAGGTACAGTCTCTCGGCAGCGTTATTCCACGACGACTCAGGAAGTTGTCTCAGGACAGAAGCCTCGCACTGTGATAGAGCGTTATCTAGCCACTCGTATCAGTGTCATGAAGAGGCATGCTAGAAGAGGAAATGTGGGCACGGGCCAGACACAGCGGTATCGGGCTATGTATTACGCTCGCCGGAGGACCCTGCCGCAAGCTGTCACACGAGCGAGGGAAAACGAAGAATTCCATTTCATCCAGCGTCAGCTCAGTCTAGCGTCGAGGGACAAGCCCAAATTCAAGGCCATTTTTTTCGCTTTTTTCTTTTCAGACGAGCGCGTGGCTTTTTCGAGTCTCGCTAAGTTAGCCTGCAGCGGTTCTTAGTGTGGATGCAGCATTGTGAGCATCGAGTGACAGCGTAAAAGCGCGGGGTAGGGGTCTTGCATCCTACGACCTTTGCTGCTCACCTACTTGAACCGAGACACCAGCTATCTCTCCGGGCGCTACTCAATCTCACACGGTCGGATGATGGTTCTCTATCACGCGGCTTGGTGGGAAACGAAGCGTCGAGAAAGAAGAGGCTTGACAGTCTGTCGCACCGGGAAACGGGTTGTCTTGGGTTACGATTTGTTTGCTTCGCACGATGACCTCATGGTCGGAGCCTGATTTACCGTCTTGCTCGCTTGTTGCAAGGGCAATCACAATCGACACCTTGCAGATCGAGGCAGGCGACCAAGAAAATAAAAATTCTTGACAAGAAAATAATCGGGACACGAAAACGAATCGGCGGCCTGGGCTTGGGCGTTTGGGTTTTGATTTGTTAGTTGCATCGGAAAACAGGGTTCTTCTAGCGTGGGCGTTGTGGTAAGGAGAATCGAACAAGCAAATGCGTTCGACGCCCCTTGGAGTTTGCCCATCCGCTCGTTCGGTGCCATGCTTTTCCTAGGACCGTTTCTGCTTCGACGGAGCGCGGGTGCCGTTTGTATGGTCGGTGCCTCATTCCGCGGCTCGACTGGTCACCACTGCGCTCGCTGATAGCGGTTGCTCTAGACGAGATTGCGATTCGAGGGTGCCCATCTGTGCAAACAAAAAGCGCATCTCGTCTGGATCAGAGCGAAAAAATTTCAATCGCCTGCATAGCAATTGAAACTCAACTCTTTCATCCCTCGCATCTCGCCTGACCGTCTCCAGGAGATCATGATCGACAGATTTGCCGCCTTGTTCAGCCTGAGAGGCTTTGGAAAACTCTTGTCGGTCAAGCATCTGCCGTGCCTGAACCAGTCTCGAATCGGCGGCGGCTCCCACCACGGCCAACACTGGGACGGCCACCTCGCATTTCACGCTCGCTGCCGTGGTCCAAGCGAAGATCGACAGTCAGCCGTGCCGGGATCGATCGACTGCGCAGCCTCGCAACGGTGTTCACACGACCTGTCTGTCTTGAAATGACTGATTCAGACGACCTCGTCCGGGCGCTTCCACGCAACTTGGTGGGCTCGAGCCCAAATTGAGCTTCGACCCACCTGGACCACGCTGCCAAGGCTTGTGCGCCACGAAGCAACAGAAAGCCACCTCCCAACCTCCCGAATCTTCCGAAGCGTGTCAGCTATCGCTAGTGACTCAGGCTCGATGGCCGCTAATCGCCTTTGCACCTTTCGCGTAGAGTGCGGCTGCCGGCTCAAATTTTCCGTTGGATTGTCACAATAAAAAAAACGGGGGTGCAGACGATCGGCTAAGGGCTAAGCGAGCCAGACAGCTGATCCGCGCCCTCCGATTTTCGGGCAAAATCGAGGGATCAGCGTCGGAAATGCGCGGTTGGGCAAAAACGTCACTTTGCACTGAGCTGACACGCGTCGATTTAAGGGAAAATCGCATGAAACAGGCGCGGATCGGTGCGGCTGTCGTACAGCGCAGCGCGCGCTCTCCAGGGTGAACGGTGAGCTAGCCCAATCGACGACCACCGTCATCGTCCCAAATGCCAGACGACGTCTCGAAGCCCCGTCACGTTGTCCCGCAAATGATCAAAGCTCGAGCTAAGGTGGGGCATGCAAAAGCGTCACCGCCGGAAGCCCTGCGTCGCGCCGCAAACAGGTCAAATGCCACACACTCAGACATTCAAACAAGCCACAAGCAAAGACTGGCTAAACAATGGCGACTGCCATGCCAAACTAGGGTCTATGCGGAGAGAGAGGGGGGTTTCCAGGGTATCGATGGGCCCAAGCGAGACAATCCTATTCAGATCGTATCGTTGCTGAGCGGTAAAGAGCGAGTGAGGTCACAGAGGAGCGACTGGGCGATATCGCCGAAAATCGAGCGACCAAGCGAGCGAGCGCTAAATTTATTTTCTTAATCGACGCACAAATGGACATGCGGGCACTTCTTCCAGCCCTCCGTCTTCATCGACCGGTGGGGGTGAAGCCAACGGCGATTTGGGTGGACTTCCGTCCGTTTTTTTCTCGACCCTCGTGAGCGGATAGTGTGAGCATCGCCTGTGCAAGCCTCGTTCGAGCTGGTGGACGACGGTGGGCCCTTGACTGCAGGGTTCGACCGTCGGTGTTCCTGTCATTGGACTGCCGTTGCTACAACTTTTTTTCAAGCCTGAGATTGAGCGTACGCACCTATCGGTCCCCTGGTCGCTGTGAGGGAGGCTCCAACTTGATCCTGAAGGACGGTCTTTTCATCTCTCCCATCATCTCGACTTGCTCGCTCTCTTCAAGCATACCGCTTCATCTCAAGACCACCCCTTCATCTCTGAGCACTCCGACCCCATCAAGCACCACACCCTTGTCGCTCCAACACCTTCTCCCGACCTTCTCACTCACAAGCAGGCACCAACCATGTCCAAGCCGATCCCGCCGACCTGGCGTCGGGGCGCTTCCTCGTCGCCCTCGCTCACGCCCACCGAGTTCCCCAACGGCGTCGAGACGCCTCATTCCGAAGACGACATGGCCTATCTTCGATCCATGTCGTACGTGCACACCTCTGGCCGCTTTTCCTCGTACAGCACTGTTGCGGGTCACGATTCTCCGCGAGGCGGCTCCAACTCGCCTCACGGTACACTCGTCAACCCCTCCGCGGCACCCACCGACTATGCGTCGAGCGACAACGAGAGCCACCATCCCAAGACCAAGCTCGATTCGCTCGCCAAGCGCAGTCCGCTGAAACAGAGCTCCTCCTGGGAGGCGCAGGAGCTCGGTTCCCGACCCGTCGAGGTCGACCCTGCCGCGATGCAAAAGATGAAGTACGGTCGATTGCGATACCTCGACGGACTTCGAATGATCGCTGCTCTGCTGGTGCTCACTTCGACCGTCATCGGCAACACATCGCCGCAATGGGCGGTGGGATCGAGCATCCTCTACCCGTTCAACTCGAAATTTGGTATCACGCTCTTCCTCGCTCTGCAGGGACGAGCGTTGACGTTGCCCTGGTTGATCTCCCGCGCCGACTGTCTGGCCAACTTCAAGGAGGCCGCTGCCAAAGCCAAGGCTGCCAAGCTCGCCAAGGCTACACCGCCGGTCAAGACGTTGGATGAAAAAGTCGCCCCTCCCGTCGCACCCGTCGCGCCAGTCATGGCAGACCGCAATCGACCCGATTTCAAGCTCTACGGTATGGCCATGATCTCCCGTCCTTTCCGCTTTTTGCTGCCCATCCTCTTCGTCACGGGTGTTCAGTACGGCATCTGCCGCGCAACCGGGCTCTACCCAGACAATGTGAATTTCGAAACCCTCATCGGAACCCGACCGGGATGGTGCTACGCCAGCGGCGCGCAGTGGATCGTCACCGCCACCAACCTCTTCACGTCAGAAGACCGCCCGACGGAATTGCTCCAGGAGGCAGGTCCGATTTTCGCTCTGCCGTGGTTCTTCCAGAACAGCTACTATCTCTACGGCGTCACGATGATCGTGGGCATTCTGCAGCGGGATACGCGGGTGGCGTTTTTGGGCGTTATGGCGCTGTTGAACTGGACGACGTTGAGCTATCTTGCTCCGGCGATGCTCGGTCTCATGGTTGCGGAACTTGACGTTTCCGGTCAATTTGCTCGGGTTCGTCGTTCTCCAATCGCCAAGTGGGGATTGCAGATTCTCTGCACGGTGCTGTTCCTGGTCTTCCTGCTGGTGCCGCAGGTGCGCAACCCGGTCAACTCAGGGCTCGCCCACCTCCAGGTGCTCAGGCCAACCAACCGCGACGGCGCCAACATCTACGACGTCATCCGGTTCACCGACGTCCTTTGCTCCACACTGCTGCTGGTGCTGCTCGAGCTTAGCCCGATGGCGCAGCGCGTGCTGTCCGTGGCACCGTTGAGCATGATGGGTCGTCAACTGGCTGCAGCGTTGGTGGCGATCCATGCCATGGTGCTGTGGAGCATCATGCCCAAGGTGTTCCCCATGACCGCTGCTTCTTCGGTCACGAGTGGGGCTGCCACCAACCTCGCGGGGATTTGGGCGCTGACCTTGATCATCTCCCTCGCCCTCAGCACCGTGTTCAGGGTCGTAGTCGAGATCCCATCCGAGTTGCTCGGCAGAGCAACCCTCATCTTCTTCTACGGCCAGGAGGAGATTCAGCAACTCACCATGAGCGAGAAACATGTAGAGAAGGCGAGACGCAGTGGATACTTGATGCCCCTCCCCAGTCTTGGCAACCCCATGGCCAAGTTGGGGCTGAACAAGGTTCCCTGGTAGGCTTCAACGGACATTTGATGAAATGGACACTTTTGCGACCCTTTCAAAAACGATGCGTGAGATGAGAAGAAGCGGTCTCGTGTGAGCCCTTGTGAAGGAGACGCATTGATGCGTTTCAGACGTGTGTGGTTCTGTGAGGATGCGAGGTGTTTGTGGGTGCGAGAGGTGCGTGTGGGGGTCATGCGCGTGCAAGCGTGCTGTCTGTGACGGTGCAGATATGAGCAAGATCGAGAATTAGTCGTTGACACTTCAGATATGGCATTGAGGAGCTGCGATCTCATCTCACAACCGCTTCTCAACCACGCAAGTACACACGGTAAGAGAGTGTCCATAAATAACGATTCCAACGAGCACAAAGGTGGAGCCAAACGAAGCATCAAGGTATCCTCCAAAACTCTACAGATAAGCCAACGCAGACAGCGCCGCGAGCGCGGTAACGGCCAAACCACCCATCGAGACCTTCTTGGTTCCGGCACTGGAGCTCGAGCCACTACCCCTGAGCGAGCTGGGCAGACTGCTCGGGGCAGCGCTCTTGCTCGTGGCAGTCGCCTGGCTGGCGACGCTCACGGCGCTGAGACTCGCCTGGGCGTTCTGCACCGTCGGGAACAGATCCTCCGCCAGGTTGTTCGGGAACGTGCTGTTGTTGGGATCCAAAATCCTGAAATCGCCTCCTACACCGTTGCTCAGGATGTCCGTCTTTCGGAGCGCATTGTACCAGGTAACACTCTCGAGGTTGGGCAACGAGCTCTTGACTTGGTCGGAAGTGAGGGTTTGCAACCAAGCGATGCGTTCCTGAATATCGGCGCCCTGAGCATGCGTTCCCGCTTCCGCGATGACGAAGGGTACGCTGGAAGACGAGTACTTGTCGTGGAACGGCTTGACCGTTTGGATGTAGTTGCTTGCCGTCGCTGCGTCCGTTGTGGGCGGGTAGTAGTCCACGCCGATCATCTGAACCGTGCTGTTAAAGTTGTCCGGCAGATACTTTTCGTACACCGTGAGATTGGCAGCGTTGGGACAGTACCACATTTTGACGGCGGGAGCGATGGATTGGCACGCCGCCGAGACTTGGGCCCACGCCGTCTTGAATGCAGAGACACCCATGTCGGTGCCAGGAGCGTACTCGCCCGTGGTGACGTAGTAGTTGACCTCGTGCGCGAAACGGAGGCGCACTTCGACGCCGGCGTCGGTGAAGCGCTTCATAACCCGGCAGACGGCCGTGGCTTGCGAGTTGTCGGTTCGGGTGTAGCCGCCCCACGATCCGACGGGCATGATCGACGCTTCCAGGATGGCACCGGATGCATAGATATCGGGGGCGTTGGCGAGGAGCTTCGAGCCATCGTAGGTGGTGCCGTAATTGGTCTGGTCGTAGAAGCCGTATGCGTAGGACTGACCGCGTCCTGCAAGGAGGCCGTTGATGCCAACCATGGTTTGAACGTTACCGCCGTCCGAGCCGACGTCCGGGATGAAGCCGATAGGCATGCCGTTGAGCGTGATCGGGTCCGAGACCGCGCGTGGGTGGAGCGACATGGCGAGATGAGGCATGGTGGGCGAGAGTTAGATGGAGCGAGGTTGTGAAAGTGGGAAGATATTATTCTTGAAGGTCCGGTCTGCTTGTCCGTGTGTGAAAGTCTCCGAGCAAGGTGAATTCGATATGATGGTTCGTCGAGAGCAGCGAGATGATTCGTACCGAGGATGGGGTTGGACCGGAGCGAAGGGGAGGGTCAAGGCGGATGGAGATAGGAAGGAAGGAAAGTCTAAGTCGATGGAGGAGCGGGGATGCGATTCCGGATGAATGAGAAGGAGCACGAGGAGGCAACAACAAAGCCAAAAAAGTACGGGGACGAGGCTAGAGGAAGGAGGATGCAAGGGGAGCAGGGTCAGGGTCAGGGTTCAGGCAAAGGAAGGGTTTGAGGAACGGACGATATGCGAGTCGATGCAGCGTGCAACAAGAATGCGCCCTTTGAAATTCACTTTTCTTTTTCTTTCCTCACGATCATGAGGGTCCCTGCTTGTGGGTCTGAGACAAGGCAGCCAGCCAAGCGAGACAGAGTGGACCCGCAAGCATGCTCCTTTTCACTTTGGCTCATCCTCATCCAACTCATCCCCCCCCTTCTTCACGATCTGAGCTTCTTCAGATGCTCAAGCTCAAGCCTTGACTTATTCCCGCCGATCCGTATTTCTGCCAAAAGTGGGCTTGCTTAACACCGTCTTGGCGGGGTCGTCTGTCGCGCTAAGGGCAAGCCATCGCGATCAGCAAGGGAAAGCTTGGCTTTTGAGCCAAATGCTCGGCTTGTCCCTACGGCAGAGATCGAACACAGCCATCTTCTCTTAAGGACGGCAGGCGAGGGTGAGGCAGCGGCAAGGGTCTCCTTACCCTCGATTGGCATTCTTTTTTTTTCAGCTGCGTCTGATTTGAGGGAAAAACTTGCGTGAGGTTAAGCGAGGTTGGAAAAGGAATGCGAAGAAAAGTTTTGGTCTGAAAGCGGTCAACCCGGCCCAAATGGGCCAGAGTCTGCTCTGCTTCTGCTCCGGGATTCCGTGTGGTCAGACAAACGGCCAATGTCTGCTCTGGGACGACCAGCAACGGGTGCCGGGATCTGGTCCTGGAGCGGCATGCTTAGAGCGCACACGACCTCCAAGAGTGTGTCTTGAGTGCTGATCAGGCACGGTCGCACCGTGATCGGCATCGAATGATTCTGCTTGCTGCGGTGTCAGACAGTCAGCCGGCAGCCTAATCTGGCATCCTCAGGAGTCTCGTGTGATCGACCTCGAGCATGTTGTGGCCTACCAAGGCTGTCTTGAAAAGAACAGAGGGCAAGCAAGAAGGGACGACTTTCAAAAAAGGCAGCCGCCGGTAGCTCTCTGGGCTTTTCGTTCTCAGATTGGGCTCAAGAGCTAGTCGAATGCAGACATCCTTCATCTCGATCCCGCTCTTGATAGTGACCACGAACCTCGAACGACGAGCTCTATTCAGAGTAGCTGCTCCATCGTGATGCCTTGCGTCGATCAGCGCATGAGAGCGAGTAGACCTAGCCAGGAGATTGCGAAGATGGTGGATTCGCGCCAAAAAAGGGGGTTCATCTTCTGATGGGCGGGGTTTGAATGTCTACATCTGCAGGCGGTCCATCGTGCATGGGCGCTCAACCACACGAGCCTTGCCCTGCAGCTGGGAGGGATTGCCGCGGGGAGACCGTCAGATGCTCGCCCCGCCGCTTCGCTGAAACCAACATCCCGATTCGCACTCATCGGGCCCCCCGTCTTGCCCTTTCGCTATCAACATGATTGGGACAGCTAATCATACGGACCTTGCACAAGACGCTTTCGACACCTCACGCGTGGAACGCTACTCTGTTTCAAGGTATATTGCAATGACAACAACGAATAAATAATCACCATCTGCGTGCCGATTCACACATCGAGCTCCATCGAGAAGCGTCTGCTGCCCAACGTCGCCGTGCTCTCCTCCATCCCGTGTCTCTCCCCGACCCACCTCGTCGCACCTACATCTCCCTTCCCGAAGAAGCGCTGCTCCACTGTATCTGCGCCCATAACTTCGCGCATAAACTCCTCCTCCGGCTCCTGAATCAGTGCGCCGCGAACGCGGATCACGGCGTGGCTCGAAAACGAACTCATCGAGGTCGAGATCGAGGTATGACCCGACATCGAGCTAGAAAGTCCGCTGATGCCCATCGTCGAGTCCGTCTCGGACAATTCCGCTGCACTGCTGCCAGCTTCCGAATCGCTGAGGCCCAGCGTACGGCTTGATAGCTCACTCGCAATCGAGTGTTGCGACGAGCTGTCCGCCAGCATCGCCAACGAGCCAGACACTGATGACGACTCTGTGAACTCGGGCAGCTGGTCCATCTCGGACGCTGACAGTCCTCGAGACATGATCGAGCGCACGCACGTTAGCGTCGGCAGCCCCACAATCTCGTCGATGGTAGCACGTTGCTCCGCATCAGAGCACAGCAGTCGCTCCAACACACGCAGCATTGGCCCGCTGATGGCGGTGAGGTCGACGTCGGACAAATCGTCCCGACGCAGCTTCTGCCACGGCTCGCCGTTGTCCGGAAGCTCGACGTTGCCCGCCGCCTCCAGCAGGATGAGGCCCAGGCTGAAGACATCCGCTGCTTTGCCGTACTGGCCGTGAAAGATGACTTCGGGTGCGAGGTAGACGCGGTCGCCCTCCCTCTCGAGTCCGCGCTGCGAAGGCCAGGGCTCGGCCATGTGCTCCAAAGTGTATCGGTGAGGCTCCTCGTCCAAGCCGGCGCCCTTCAGTGTCGTCTCAGCATCCACCAGCGGCCAGCGTGTCGCCATGCCAAAGTCGCCAATCTTGAGCGTGCCGTGCTCCGTGATCAGCACATTGGCCGGCTTGAGATCCAGATGGAGGATGTTGTGACCGTGGATATACGCAACACCACTCGACAGCTCCGCCAGGATCTTCCACAGACGCGGCTCGTCCAGCGCGCCCACTTGCTGACCGTACTCTTCGAGGAAGAATGCGAGCGAACCGAGCGGACACAGCTCGAGCTGCAGGAACAGATGTCCTTCCTCTTCCCAGGCGCCGAACAGCGAGACAATGTTGGGGTGAGGCTTGCCCGGTGTAGACAGGGCACGCAGGACGTCGACCTCTTCCAGCCTTCGCAGACGATCCCTGGGTCCGAGGTAGGCCCTCTTCATGCGCTTGACGGCGTACGCGTATCCAGTCGAGCGCGAGACAGCTTTGAGCACCTCGCTGAACTCACCTGCGCCGATGGTCTCCTCGACCGAGAAGGCCGTGTCCAGATGTCCGTGCTCGAGGCCTCTAGCGCGCACGTCCGACGTTGACTCGTAGAGGCCTAGAGAGGAAGCGCCAGCTGGTGCCTTTTGCGGCGTCTCCTGGCAGGTCGATGTCTCGGACAGGCGTGACTTGCGGCGTGACTGCATGAGCTCGAGGCGATGAGCGCGCAGCTTCTGAGCAGCCTGTCGTCGCGACGAGGGGGAGGGAGTCGTCAAGACCTGCGCTGCCTCGAACCACTTCAGGCTGCGTGTCGGCGTCATTGGCTCCATCTGGTCATCGCCGGGCAGCAGCATCGTCGAGGTGACAGGCGTTGCAGGCGGCAGCGCATCGTTGCTGCCGTCGCCACTCGACTCGGTGCCGCTTCTTGCATCCCGGGCGAAGCTGGCGTTGCGGCTCATGGTGCGTTTGCCCAGACCTGCCGATCGCACACGCAGCGCTTTGGGTGCACCGGCAGCCTTACCAATGTCGACCGAGAGCATCTTTCGAGCCGGAGCGGGCGCGGCGCTGGAACCAGGTGTGTGGATGGCTCGTTTGCCTTTCTGAAGTCTCTGCACATCCCTGATGCGGCCCGAATGGACACTGGGGCTGTGTGTCACGTCAGAAAGACTGCCTTCGTCCTCTGTGACATCGTCGACACTGGTGCCGAAGACCGAAGCTTGGCTGGCCTCGTTCATGGCGGAGCGACGGCTGCGAGGGAGATTGCCGAAGGCGGAGCCGTGTCGGCCAGAGATCGAGACGGGCGTGCTGGCGTTGGGAAGGCTGAGATTGTTGAAAGCGGGCGTGGGACTGTCGCCTCCGTCTGGCAGGATGGGCGAGCCTGAGCTGATGATGCTTACGTGTGGATCGTGAGCAGGCGATTGGGCACCCAGCGGAGACGGACCAACACCAGACGTGTTGGCTTCGGCTTGACCCCGAAGCGCGGGAGCAAACTTGGGGAACGGCACTAAAGGGGTGGAGGTGGCTTTCTTGACAGGCGTGTCGGGCATGGTGCTGCTTGTGCTGCGATCTGCGGCCGCAGATGCGTGGGCGGTTGCTGCTTCCACCACCTGGCGCAGACCAAGCGCCTGCCCGAAGTTGGGAGCTTTGAGCGGCATAACAAAGGCGTCGCTAGCCCCATCAGCACCCTCCGAATTCTCGCGAGCTCGATTGCGTTTCGAGACGAGTCCAGTCGACATGAAGGCAGCCTGCAGCGGCTTGACGCTCTTGAAGTTCTGCGGCGTGAAGTAATGGCCAGTGGCGTCCATGGATCCGGAGGTGGGTCCTCTGCGATCGTGTGCTCGTCTGGCAGGGCTGGCGGCGCTCGTGCTGGTCCTTGATCGCACGCGAGGGATCGGATCCGGTGACGAGTTGGCGGAGTTGGTCTCGCTCGAGAAGCGTGTCTCGTGCATTAGCGACGATCGCTCCTTGGGGCCGAAGGCATGTGCCACGATTCGATTGGAAGGACGTGGAGCGGGCGAGTCGCGATGGAAGCTGGTCTCGTGTCGTCGGGCCGCATCCTGGGAGGGCGACTCTTCGAGCACATCCGCGGTGATGGGCGGCGCGGGCATGGGCGAGTCCTTGCTTGCTGTCGAGGCCAGAAGCGAGCCATTCCTCTTTCTGCTGCTCTTGACGCTGCTGTCGCCGTCAGCGAACGCAACTCCACTATCATCAGCTGGAGTGTTGGCCTGGAAGGAGCCGAAGAGTCGGTGTGGCGTGGCAAACTGCGGCGTCTCGAGATAAGTCGGCAGAGCGCTGGTTGATCCGCGAGCAGATGCACTCTTTCGTCGAGCGGGAGTCGAGACAAGGTTGAGAGGCGCAGCTGCTTCGACCCCGCCCGAAGATTTGGCGGCGGCTTCGATCTCGTCTTCGAATAGCTTGGCGGTGGGGAAGGAGCTCATGGACAGGTTGGCTGGCCTTCTCCTGGTGTCACGCAGAGGTGTTGTCTCGGTATCTCTGTCGGATCGAATGATGGGACGAGGCTGAGTAGCAAATTCGAAGAGATTGGCAACACCAGGCAGCTTGTCACTGAGGCCGGCCGAAGCACTGGCACTGCGAGGAGTGAGGAATTCAGTAAGAGGTCGATGCAGCGCGGCAGAAGAGGAGGCTCGAGCGCGATACGGCATGCGTGGTTGAGTGGAAGGTAGCTCGTGCAAGTCGTCTGTCTTGGAAGTGGTGTGTACAGCCTCGTCGACATCCATGCCTCCGCTCGTGGTGGACCGTTGTCGAGCGGGAGTGATGAGTTGCTGCGAAGGGTGTGCGGACAAAAGCGGGCTGTTTGAGGATGGCAGTCGTGAGCGTGCTGGACGAGAGCGATGAGATGCACTTGCAGTGATCTGAGCCGACAAGCTGGCGAGGGTGTGAGTGCTGGCAGAAGAGGAGGGTTTACGACTGAGTCGGTGTGTTGGTCGCGTGCCTGGCTGCAGCATGGGCTCGTTGAGATCCAGATTGAAAGCTGAGCTGGGCTCCAAGAGATCCTGCTGATCGCAGAGGGGCGAAGGCGAAGCAGGCGGTTGAGCGTAGGCGCCCTCCTCGTCGGAATCGACGTCCATCTCGGTATCATCGAGTCGGCGGTGTGAGTCGGACGAGCCAAATAGGGTGCGAGGACGCGGCCACACGTTCGCACTGTCGGCGTCTTCGCGTGAGCCCGCACGCAGCATAGGTTGAGACGAAGGACCGGCGACAGCGTTGAGCTCGAAACCAGCGTTGGCGGAGGCAGAGCTTGCGTCAGAACCCGAGCCATTGCTGATGCCGCGGTGGTGCCAAAGGGCACCTGCATTGACTGCTGTCTCCTGCGACTGTCCAAATGAAGGCAGATGCTGCAGAGGGACGGTCCTCTTGATGTTGTTGTAGATGATGTGTTGGTCGGCCTCCTCCTCGGCTTCCATGTCCATGTTCGAGCATTCCTGGTTAGGCGAGAGCTTGGAAAGTGGTGCCAGAGAGGAGAAGGCGTGAGAGCGCGGTATAGATAGCGTCTGGGGTCGATGTTGTGTTGCAGGTGCGGCTGGGAACTGATAGGACGCGAAAGGCGATTTATTGTGGTAGGCGTGCGAGCCAAAGTTGGAAGGAGGGGTCATTGCCGCTTGAGATTGCAGGTTCATGTCGAGGGTACGAAGCGGAAGGGTGCCCTTCTTGGGCGAGATGAACGCGTCGTCGTTGCGATCCATCGTGCCCGTTACCTCGTACAGGGGAAGATGTCGATGTGAGCGCTAGGGTAGCGTTGAGGCGCGTATGATTGTCGAATCTGATGTAAGGCCAGTCGGGAGGATGTGGACGATGGGACGTATGCTGTGCAGCAAAGGAAGGCGAGCTAGAAAGATTGCATAGGGCGAGCCGACGGTGTCGTCCGTTTGCGGAATGAATGAATGGATTCTCCAGGCTGTGACGATGGGAGTGCGGATGCTCCTGATGCGGAAGTGCAGGTGACGCGAAAGGAACGCGAAGGTGTTAAGCGGATGCTGCGTCCGATGATGATGTAATGGATCGCGTGTATGCTTTGCTACTGCGAGTATGAGCTGTCGACTGGTCGTCAATAGGGAGATCGCTCGTGATCAAGACGGCTCTGTACGGCCAATGCAGCCGGATGCGTTGATTCAAAGATGGATGCAGGTGGAGTCCGAGGCTGGTAGAGTGGACGAAAGACGGGCGAGCGGTAGACGATAAGGACAGAAGTGGTGAATGCGAGTATGCTGTATAGGCGACGAGAGATGATGATGGAGATGAGAGATGACAAGGACGGATCGAGAGAGAGAAGACAAGAGGAGAGAGGATAGAGATGGAGGCTCAGTCGATTGAATCTGCACGAGGAGGCGTGGACAGGCACAGGCGAATGTCGCGACGAGCAGCAGCCGCAGCGGAATTTGGCCTCGGCGAGCCAACACCAACAGTCACCAGTCCCTCTCCGCCCTGCAACGGCACTTCTCTGCTGAGTGGAGTTGTCAGAAAATGAAAAATTCAGAAAGAAAACGCGCCTTTTTTGGTGAAAAGGGGGAAGGAAATCCAAAACTGAGCCAAATTGCAATTGACTGGCAGGCAAGCAGAGCGAGCGAGCGAGCCAAAAAGGAAAAAGAGAAACAACTCAAACGCGAGCAACGTGGCAGGCAGGCACGACGCGACTCACCACGAATGCACAAAATCGGTTTTCTTTTTTGCCTTTTTCAGTGAGCTCGGTGGGGACAACGGACAGCGGCGACAGCTCTCAAACATGATAGCGAACGTGTTCAATGACTTTTGTTGTTGCCCTCGCCGTTACCACGGAGATAGCACGGTGGCGACCGCCCAGTATTGATAGCTTTGGACCCTTTTTCACATCACAACAGGCAGCGATCTCGTGGCCGTCGACATGGCTCGCCGAGCAAGCTCCTGACGCCTCGTCGAGAGGGTGTGTCTGTCTCTTGCTTCGTCTAGGCCAGCGACTTGGCCTACCGACGGAAGGCAGTAGTCCTGAACGCTGCTCTTCTCCATCCTTTGAAATCTCTCGCCACCTAAGTGCAGCGATGTTTGCATTACTTCGCTGGAAGGAGTGAAGGCTTAACTCGGAAGGAGGCGGCGATATGTCAAGGTTGCTTTGACAGCGGCTCCGGCCCTGCTCAACAATAGACCCTTGAACCCTGTTTCACATGGCCGTCGTACGTGTCGGCCCTCTTCGACACTGTGCCGCATCGACTGCCGGTGTAGAAGATAGCGTTGCCCTTCCGATCCGGTCAGGCCCGTTCTACGCCTGCCTAATGTCAACTTCACCGGTACCCGCTTGGTCACGGTATGGCGACCTGCGTCATTGCGTGAACTGATGCTTGCCTCCCCACCAAGGATTCGTCGAGAACGCACCCAGCCCTTTGTGAGGGCGTCCCTTCGCCTGCCATCTGCTACAGCGAGCCGCACGAGCAGCTCAAAGAGGCATGCGCCAGCCTCCAAGGCAAGGCACATCAAGCCCAAGCAAGCATGCACACCAAAGCGCCAAAAATCATATGTCAAAAATCCTCTTTTATTTTTTGCCTTTTCTCTCACGCGCGCGACCCTCGAAGCTGAGGACACGAAATTGGGTTCGCGTTTCACCGCGTCGAGTCACGTGCCTGCTCGACCTCACACTCTGACCCGCTGTTTCTCAAGCCTGGCCTCAGATTCTCCCTTCAGCTATTGCTTGATGACTACTGGCTCCGCTGACTGATCTTGGCGTGCCGTGTGCTTGACTTTCATCTCAACAGAGCGAGCTCGTTCCGAGTCATTGAGAGTGAGCGTAACAGTCTCGGTCGTTCTACCAGGCGGGATGCTGAGATCCAATTGTCAACGGAAAAGCGGCGTTGGAAAAGGAGCGTCGAAATCAAGGCGCAATAAATCAGGGATGGTCTTGTCAACACCATCGAGCCCTACCTTCTCAGCCTCGACCACACTGATCAAACGAGCCGGCCGCCCTGTGGATCTTTGTGACAGTCCTGGATGTCTAATGACCGATTGCAGCGGACAGATGATAGAAAAAGCATCTCTAGAAGATCTCAGCAGCGTACGGACAGTCTTCAAAGCGGTGTCCCACCTCGCCGCAGTCATCGCAAGGCTCCTGCTCTCCCTGCGCTACCGGTGCACTGCCAGCGCTCGCCTTGGACGATGCGATCGAGCTCGTACGTTCCATCAGCTTTTCGCACTTGTCTAGCGTGTGGCCGCGCTGCGAACACAGTCCGCAGAAATCCAGCTCCTCGTCCTCCTCTTCCGCGGTCTGCCTCGCCAACAATCCGCTCGTGGCAGCGCTGACAATACCTTTGCTCGGCCCCGTCACCGCACTCAGCGCCGCCGACGACTTGCTCTCCGTCCCAAGCGTCGCCTCAGGCCTGGCCTTGTTGCTACTGCGAATCGGACTGCGCTCGTCCAGCTTCTTCGAGAGGCGTTCCACCTGAGCCACTAGCCCCTCCTCTCGGAAGACACGCGCTTCCACCAGCGCTTCCAGCTGCGAGACCTCCTTCTGCAACGAGTCGGCCGTATCGCGTCTCTCCATCTTGGTCGCCTCGAGCGTCGACTTGAGATGCGCCAGCGTACTCTCGCTGCTCTGCAGACGTGCCTCACTGTCAGCGAGCTTCTCGGCCAGATCCGAAGTGTCGGCAGCACCCTCGACACCTTCGTGTGCCTCGAGCCGGCTTCGAAGCGATTCGACGGTCAGCTCTAGGGCGCGACACTTGGTCTCGGCTTCTTGTGCGCGAGCTTTGAGTTGAGACTCGAGCAGCTTGTGCTTGGTCTTCATCTCGTTGTTCTCTTCGCCCAGCTGACGCACCAGATAGCTGAGCCCAGACATCTGGTTGGCCGAGGAGACGTTCGAGACGTCGCTGGCAGCATAGGTGCCGTTTGACGAGATGCGTTGCGAGGACTTGAGGTTGCTGCCCGTACTGGCGTTCGAGGCAATGGACAGGCGGTGCCCGTCCGTCTGCCCAGGTGAGTTGTCCATGGGCGAGCGAAGAGAGGCTTCCAAGGCGGACAGCTCCTTGCTCGAATCGACACGAAGCCGCAGCGAGCGGAGCTCGACATCCTTGGCTTCGAGCCTGGCTTCCAGCTCCTGCTTCTCGCTGCGCCACTGTGCTTGAGCCGCCGTGGCGGAGCTGCCCTCGTGGCCACTCTTGAGCGCGTTGAAGTTCTCGGCGTCGGCACGCAGACCCTCGAGCTCGGCTCGTTCGCGTTCCAACGCCTGCTGGCTCTCTTGCAGAGCATGTCGAGTCTCCTGGAGAAGCACGAGCTGCTCCTTGCCGGCCCTTGTTGCGCGATCCAGCTCGGTCTTCATGCGCTTGAGCTCGTTCTTCAAGCTGGTTTCGACCTCGTGCGACTTGTCGCGCCTCTTCTGGGCATACTCCTTCTCCTTCTCGAGCGCCAACACGCCTTCTGCGATTTGGTCCTCGTATTTGCCGAGCTTGTCCTGCAGATGAGCGACCTGCTCGCGCAGAGCCTCGTTGTCGATTGCTGCAGCGGAGCCGGCCTCGGGGCCGCTGCCATTCTGCGATGAAGCACGCGCGGCCTGCAACTCCTCGACACGAGCTTCCGCCGCTCGGATGGCTTCTTGCGCCTTGTCTTGGAGCAACTGCATGTTGTCCAACACCTGGATCCTCTCGCCGTCAATCTCCTCGATCCTCTGTTCATAAAGACTGATGGTCTCGCGGCCTGCATCTTTGAGCTCGTCGATTTGACGAACCAGGCCATCTCGAGCTGTTTGTGCCTCGTCCTCGATGCGCTTGACGGACGCCTTGAGGCTGTCGATCTCGGCGTCTTTGAGCTTGAGCTGCGTTTCGAGCGCCTCTTTTGTCTCGCCTTGCTGCTCCAATGCTGACTGCTGTTCGATGCGACTCTTCATCTCGGCGACGAGCTGCTCGCTGGCTTCGAGCTTTAGCTGAAGCCCCTTCTGACGGCTCTCTGCCTCCTTTTGCTGTCGTTCGTAGTCGTCGCTGCTCTTGCTGAGCTGGAGCTTGAGATCCTTCTCGCGCTCTTCAATCTCTTTGCGTCGTCGGACCTCGTCGTCGCGCTCGACACGACGCTCCTCCTCCATCTCGGCTTGCCTGTCGCGTGCTTCGGCTCGCATCTTAGCCCGTTCGGCCTCGAGGACAGCTTCGTTGGAGCGCGCCTCTGACATGCGAGCCTTCCGTGCTTCTTGGGCACGACGTAGCTCTGCGTTCTGCTTCTCTAGCTCTTGCAGCTGCACTCGGAGCTGTTCGAACTCGGCCACCTGCTCTTCGTAGAGCGACAGAGGCACCACAGCCTCGGCGACAGAGTCTTGTGTCAGATCGCCCAGGCCGGCAGCACCATCGTAGGTACCTGCGCGACTCTCTGCTCGAGACTGCGAGCGAGAAGCCAGCTGAGCTGATTTGCGCGGCGTGAGGTCCATGAGATCGAAGAGCATGCGATTCTTCTCGAGATTGGAGTCAGTGGTGGAGGTGGCCTCTTGCTTGGCAACAGGCGAGCTTTCAATGTCGGAAGGATCGCGACCAAGTCGGCTGTTGGAGCGGAAGGAAAGCACACTGGATGCTCGCTCTGGGCGTGGCTCTTTGCTCGGGCTGGGAGGCGGTGGCATGCTCGCGTCCGATGTGGTTGGAAGTCCGCCTGGACGAGCAAACATGGATGTCCGACCCTTTGTTGCTCGAGGAGTAGGGATGCCGCCGAGACTCTGACGCTTCTTTGCGAGACCGGGTGTGCTCGGGAGCACGCTCGAGGCTGCACGTACACCAGCGAGCGAGGACCGAGGAGTCCGAGCTGCCAAGGAGGGCGTGGTAGGTGGCGCGGCACTGCGGATGGGACTGGTCTGCGCGGTCTTTTCCGAATCATCGCGAGCGGAGGGAGTAGGCGCCAAACTCTTGCGGGCGGTGAGACGGCTGGCTGGGCGCGAGGTGGAAAGCGAGGAAGCGGGTCTGCTGCCTGGAGTGACAGAAGGAGGACGTACACCGAGGCGAGAGGAAGCGCGTGACGGTGTCGCAGAGGGTGGACGCGCAATGGCGCTGACTCTTCTTCTTGACGGTGTCACTGCCCCTGAACGGTCTGGTAGATCCGAGGCACGAGAGGAGGGTCGATTGGACATGGACGAGGCGGGACGAGCGACAGCATCGGTGGGAGGTGCATCGTTGATGGCAATGACCTTGCTAGCCGGACAGAAGACGCCGTTGCCTGGCGCACAAGCAAAGTACTGCGTCCCTTGAACACTACCGTCGTTCTTTCCTTTGCCAACACTGTCACCGGTGAGCTCGAGACCGGCGTAGAAGCCAGGCTTGAAGTCCACGGTACCGAGATGACGAAGGACACCGACGAGCTCGGATCCTTCCATGTAGACCAGGTCGCCGATCTCGAGCTCTCTTCCGCGTCTGATGTGTTCCCTTGCGCGAGAAGCCGCGGTGGATGAGGAGTGAGACGGCGTCCTGCTCATAGCTGACGGAGTGGCGGTGCTGCGTGCATGGACGTCTGAGTATCTCTTTGGAGTGGCTGCTGTGCGAGATGTGCTGGCGACGGGTGCTTTGACTGGGCTCGCGGAGACAGGGGATGCGTTGGCAAGAGGTGTCGCTCTGGTCGGAGGCGTCTCGGATCGGAGGGACGAGTGTGACTTGCGTGATAATAGCGAGGTGCGGGGTAGCCGACCTGCTGTGAGCAGAGGTGACTGATCGTCGGCATCGCTGGGCTCGTTGCGAGCTGCAGGAGAAGCAGCTGACGCTGGCGAAGCAGTCGAGAGACGATACTTTGCTGGATCGTTCTTTGAGATGGCTTCGGCCAGCGTCTGCTTCTTGAAGCGTGTGTCGGGACTGTCCGCCTGTGGGCTGATGCGTGATGCTGTTGCGAGCGAAGTGCGTCGGGCAACGCCGCTGGAGGAGGGTGTCGGCAGTCCCGATCGCAGGTGCGAGCTGTTGGGCGTAGTCGGAATGCCCGACGACATGATTCACGAGGTTCAAGTCGAGAGCCGACGAGATAGCTCCAGTCTGAGAGGGTGTGATGATAACCTGCTGTGCCGAGAAGTGAGGGAGATGAAGAGACAATTGAGAGATGGTCAATTGCGCATCCTCCTGCTCCTCCTGCAGCTCAAAGTGTCACTTTTTCAAGAAGCTCGAGCATTTTTGGTGTTGATTCCCATCGTGTGGACGCGCGCGCTCTTTCTCAGCCTCCGACTGTTTTTTGGCCGCATGTTTGATGTCAGATTTCGAAATAGAGCTTGTTCCCTAGGTCAGCCACAAAGCAAAACGTGGCTCTCCGCCGGGACCAACAGCGTGCAGAGCTCCCTCAGCATATCCAGGCCTTGTCGCAATCGTCAGCCGTCAGAATGACTGTGCGTTGACTTCAAGCTTCGACTTGTGGATCTCGAAGCTGAACTCGCTAAGTTGCTTGTGCGCAGATACTCGCCCCTGTTGCTAGTGGGTCTTACCCTCAGCACACTGCAGCGCGAGAGGGTCTCACCGGCTCGCTTGCATGTGGAGAGAAGGCGCAGCAAAAAAGTGGGATCCGAGCGTCATCGATTTTTGTGGGCGTGCATTCACTCCCAGACCGAGCCTCGACTTTGGCGAAGCGAGAACCCTTTGATGACTTGGCTGATGATGGCTGAGTAGACTGCGGTCCAGTCCTCCTCCCTTGTATCTTCCGCTCCACCATCGCTACCCTTCGACGTCCAGCTATCAGCATGTCGAGTCAATACGTTCGCCCCCAACACGATCTTTGAAGGTCATCTCTTGCCCTCCTCGAGAGGTCGCGCAATAGACCGCCATGGTCACTTCCGACCACGACGAGAGAGCGCCTCTGCTGTCACAGCATGCCGAGCCCAGCAATGGTGGGGCCAACCGACGATCTGCATCGCGAGATGATGACGACGATCTCGACTTTGACGCAAGGTTCCGCAAATGGAAGGCTGCCGTCGCTCGCAAGTTCAGAGGCAAATCGCTGCGCGACACCAAGCCAGCTCTGCTTATCACTCAATTCGATGGGCTAGGCCGGGCTCGATCCATCCTTGACGCCAAGCGTACAGGATCTCAAAGCAGTACGCTTAAGGAAGCCACGACGATGACATCGCAGGAATTCCAGGATCAAGTAGAGCAGGTCAAGCGTGCTATCGAGCAAGGCATATATCCAAAGATGATCACCACCGGATCTAGCGGCTCCTATTTCGCCCGTGTCATCAAGGCGGAGACAGAATCAGAAGGCACTGCCAGCTCATCTGCTCCGTCAAAGCAGCCCTCTCTCGCCACAGTGGCTGTATTCAAGCCCAAAGACGAGGAGCCGTATGGCAACCTCAACCCCAAGCGACAGTTCTTGCGCAAGTACCTGTGGTGGGCTATGGGCAGACCCTGTCTCATTCCCAACTTTTCGTATCTCTCTGAAGTCGGCGCATCTTACCTCGACGCTCGGTTGGCATTACGGATGGTCCCTCGAACCGAGCTTGTAGAGCTGTCGTCTCCTACCTTCCACTACGCCTACCACGATCGCACCGCTTTCGACAAGGATGGCGTCCCACTTCCCAACAAGATCGGTAGCTACCAGACGTTCCTGAAGGGCTTTGTCAACGCCTCAGATTTTCTCAGAAGACATCCTTGGCCATCGCATACCCGCAGCAAAGCAATGCTCATGCGCGACATGGATGATGAAAGCCAGGCGCACAAGGTCAGTCGGAAGAAGGAGCGGGCTCGCCTGCGCAATTGCGGAGTGGCTGTCAAGCGTCTTTTACTCTGCCGGCCTTCTTGGGACGACCTGTACGCCGATGACGAGCCGGACCTGTGTCATCCTTCTCCTTCCGCCAATTCACCGGTACTCGGCCAAGCCTCCCCGACGGATCAGCCCGATGCCTTCTACTGGACACCCAAACGCATGGAGCAGTTCCGACTTCAGCTCGAGAAACTCGTCGTCCTCGACTTTCTCATGCGCAACACCGACCGCGGTCTCGACAACTTCATGATCAAGCACGACGTAGAGAACGACGAGATCAAGGTCGGCGCCATCGACAATTCGCTCTCCTTCCCCATCAAGCATCCGAACGAGATCCGACAGTACCCGTTCGGCTGGCTCTTCCTTCCCAGTGATCTCATCGGTCTTCCCTTCTCCGACGAGACGCGCAACCATCTCCTGCCGATTCTCAACGATCCTGTCTGGTGGCAGCACACCGTTCAGGGGTTGCGAGAGATCTTCGCACAAGACCCCTACTTTGACGAGTCAAAGTTCGAGCGGCAAATGAGCGTTATGCGTGGTCAAGGCTGGAATCTGGTGCAGTGCTTGCAGGACCCGGACGAGGGGCCGCTCGACTTGTGCGCCCGGGAAAAGAAGCTCATCCGCCAAGAAGTGCAGGAGTTGGCGGTGGACAAGCTGGACAAACTAGACGGTCTCAAGGTGGCCCTTGATGCGGAAGGCAATGTGCTGCCGGTGTCGAATGCGTCTCGAGCGTCGGCTGCTGAGACGCTCGCGGTACCGAAACCGCCCATCTCCCGCGCCATATCCTCTGGGCTGATCGTGACGGATAGGAGGCCGATTGGGACACGAGCTTCCGAGTCGTACAGGAGGGCGCTGCTGCAAGCGGCTGGAGCAGGTGGCGAAGTTGACGTGGACGAGGAGTTTGAGAACGAGCTGTCCGCTGACAGTCTACCGGCGGCAGCAGCTCCTGTCTCTTCTTCGCTCCCGCATACCTCGACACTGGAGGGCCGTATGCAAGCGGAAAGCGCGACGCAAGACGCACAACAGCCGCAGTCGAGTACCACCAAATCCGCCAGACCCTCCCGACATCAGCGCTTCCTGTCGGCTCAGGACGCCGGCACCTTCCCTCGTCGGCAACGCGACCTGTCTGCCAGCACTTCCACCCGCGGCAACCGGGATAGCATCATCGGTCGGACCGGCATTGAGGTGCTCGAGGGCCTCGATCGCGAGCGCAAGCAACAAAACAAGCTCCACTTCTTCCGTCGCAAGCGCTCGAGTACCATCTCTAACGGCAATATACCCAACCACGCTGCCGTCGTTCCAAGCATCGGGGGAGGGCAACCAGGCTCCAAGGACGCCGTGACGGACAACGACAGGTCGTACGACCTGTCCAGCTCGATTGTGTCGGATCCGGGGGCGAGAGTGGACGGTGGACGCTGGCAGCGATCCAAATCGACTTCAAGACCGGCTCCAGAGGGGATGTACGGCTCGCTGTACGACTTGTCAAGTCAGGAAGTGCTCTCAGAAGAAGAGGAGGAGGAAGACCAGCCGCGGCAGAGCAGAGATGCGACCCCTTCCCTCACTCGAGCCTCCCGCCAGCCAGTGCCGAACATTCAAACCGTCCTCCAGGCGCACGACGCCAAGACGGCGCCAGACAACGAAGAAGAATCCAGCCCCAACGCTTTCACCCCTCACATCCCGCATTCGAACGCAATCGGTCCCTCCGTAGACGAGAACAACACCGGCCATCGCGATCCCTCCAATCGAACCGTCAAGGTCATCATCGAAAAAATCTCGTCCGATACCAAACAGGCGTGGCTCAAATGGATCTGACCTTCCTCTCCTCACCACTCACACAGCAGTCACGCAATAGCAACAATTCATGGGGTCCACCGTTTCGCGAGATTGCATGAGGCTGTTCCTGAGATTGCCTGATGGGGGGGTATATGCGCCTAAATCTGGGTCGCATGTGCGCGTAGTCGCTCTCGCACCTGGACGGCGGTGGGTCTGGCCGCTGGGTCCGCCTGAAGCATGAGGCGGAGCAGCTCACGCGTCCAGTCGGGCAACCGGCCGCCACCGGGGAGAACGATGGCGGGATGGCCGTCATCGTATGCCCGTGCGTCGTCCACCTCGTGGAACTGCGCCTCGTACGGGTGTGAGGGTTGCGGCGAGGTGGGCGACGGAGTGGCTGGCGAGACGGGCGCAAACATGGAGCGCAGTCGGCTGGGGTTGGACGCCGTGCTGTGCTCGACGATGGGCGCTGCGGGGGCGAGGAGCGTCGCTGTGGATGTGGGGGCGGATTTGAGCTCGTCCCCGTACGACGAGCGGCGACGCAGCCAGTCCGGACGAGAGGTGGATTCGAGCGCAGCAAACCTGGTGATCGCCGACGGGGGCGTGGGGACGGCGGTGGATGGACTGCTGGTTTCGCCCGCAGCTTGCGACCGCTGCATCCCCACCATGCCCGCTGCCATCGCTTTCTTCCCTCCAGTAGAAGCACACCTTCGCACATCCGACCCGCCCGCATCCCGCAACAGCGACGACCGCCGCGGCAGATTCGGGTCCTCCAACAACCCCCGCGGCTCATCGCTCGGCTCCAACAGTCGTGCTACCGCTAGACTCGTCGCGTTCCGCCCGGAGATGGTGGTGATGCTCGTGATGCTCGAGGCGACGCTGTCGATGCTGTCGCTGCTCGTTTGACGGCGCATGTGCGTTGGCGATGTGGGTTGATGCAGCAACCGATTGAGCGACGAGACGAGCTGCGCCGATGACGCTGCTTCGTTCGAAGTCGAGTGTCGACCGCGCAGACTGCTCCTCCGACTCGCAGGGGCACTGTTGGGATTGCTCCCCGCTTCCACCGCCAGTCGGGACGCTCGGTCGTTCTCCTCGCTCTCGAAGAAGAGCCGTTTGCGGTGGAGCATCTCAACAACGCTGCGCGCCTTGCTGAACGGCTCGTAGCCCGTAGCGAGCGAGTAGAGCACCGCACCGAGGGAGAAGATGTCGATGGGGTAGGAAAATGTCGTCGCAGTCGGGCCGCCAGTGGCACGGCTTAGCTCGGGCGCGCAGTACGCCGGTGTGCCCAGACCAAGGCCGTCGCGCGGAGGATCGCTGGGGTTGGGGAAGACGGCCGAGTTGAAATCGCACAGCTTGATGTTGAGGTCCTCGGTGAGGAGCATGTTCTCCTTCTTGATGTCGGCGTGTACGCAACCCTTTTCGTGGAGGAAGACGAGCGCGTCAGCCATCTGCAGAGCCCAGTCGAACCATTGGTGCAGGTCGATGTGTTCGCGGTGCTTTCGCGCGAACAAAGCGAGGTTGTTTGGCAGCAGCTCGAGGAGGATGAGGAGCCGAGGCGGGTCCATTGTGCTAGTCGAGGGCTTTCGACCAGGAGCCGCGATTGCAGTATCGTCGCTTGACCGCACGGTCGTGAGTGCGTCGCCATCTGGGCCTTGCACCAGGAAAGTCGGAGTCGGCAGTTTGGTCGAGCGTGGTATTTCCACCGTGCTGACTCTGGTGCGTGGTGCTTGACCGGACGATGCGATATGATCTACTTCATTGAGAAGGCCGCGGGCGAGCGCGGCTTCATTGCGCTTGTCTTCGGCAAGAGCTAGCTTCCGAGTTCGCGCTTCGTGCATCAGTTCGTCCCTGCCTGTCATGTGGCTGGTCGATCTCAAATGACTTGCAAAGCCATTTGGACTGGATGCACCCGAAGCGATCCTTGGCAAACCGAGACCAAGTACCGGTCCCGTAGACCCTGCCTCTATGGTTGCCTGTTGTAGATCCGGCAGGGTTTGAGACGTTGGCTGTGGGGACGGCAAGAGATCGACTTCGTCGCGGATGTCGACGAGCTGAATGATGTTGGGATGCTTGCCGAGACGACGCAGCGCAAAGGCTTCCTCGAGACCGAGCAGCTGGCTCTGACGGTCAGCATGCAGCCGCTTGATGGCGCAAAGCTGCCACTCTGCCGATGACGCTGAGTCCGCGGAGACATCCTTGCGGGAACGATAGCTGCCCAGATAGACGGAGCAGTGCCGCCCTTCGCCGAGGAGGAATTCGTTGGTGGGGCAAAGACGGAAGTCGACGTGCTTCGTTGCACGTATCCTTGCTTCCTCCTGCAAACACTCCTCTGAGCTGGCTCGACCGAGTGACGAATTGCGCGTGTGACCCTTCTTACGACCTGCGGTCTGTTGTGTCTGCTGCAATGCTGATGTCGACGCGAGTATCGGTGCAGTACTGGCTGAAGGGTCGGCGACAGTCGTGGTTGGTGGTCTGTCAACCTTTGAGCGAGTCGACGAGAAGCGAGGCGGCGGAGGCGATGGCGGAACGGGCGAGGCGGTACCCGAAGACGAGAAGAAGAGCGAGTTGCGGGATGGCGGTGGAGGCGAGATGGGTGTGGTCTCTGGCGGTGGCTGATTGAAACGAGAAGGAGGTGTCACCCAGGTGATGGGTGAGTTGAAGATGTCATTCTTGCTGCTTCTTCTCGGAGACGTCTTGATCTGGTCTTCGGTCAACAGAACAGGAGGAAGTGTTGCATTCGCGACCAAAATTGCTGCACGTTGGCTGCTGCATGTTGGCTGCGGATTGGTAGTCGTCGCGCCAAGCTGGAAACCAGAAGCGCCCGAGTCAGGAGGAGTCAAGGGGAGGTCTTGAAAGTCGAAAGCGTGATCCTCTGAGTCGACACCATTGGAGCTATCGTAGGAGCTACCGAGCACGGAAGGAAGAGGCGCATGAGGTTTGATTGGCGAGCCCTTCTTGTTGGAGCTGGACCAGAAGGTGTCGAGTGGCCACGGACCTTTGGTCTTTGTGGACGGTGACTTTGCGCGCTTGATTGCCACCATGGGTGAGGTGCTCGGGCCCGCTTCGTTGGACGAAGCCTGTGAGCTGCGAAATGGGCTCGACACCATGGCGTTGAAGTGAGCCTAGAGAGCGCCTACTGGGCGAGTGATTTGGGTGATGTCAGTGCGGACTGCATGCATGAGGATGTGCTGTTGGTGCGGATCGAGATTGAGGCAGAGGATGAAGAGCGAATGGCTGTACCGCCGACAAAGGCAGCAAGCAGCAACACGACTGCGGATGGCACAATGATGTGGATGGTCGAGGGAGACAGTGATGGACAGAGATAAAGAGAGAGGGGAGGACACTTTTGAGCAAAGGCTGACGAGGACGACAGACTGAGACATTGGCCAATCTTGTTTGGGTGTCAGAGTGAGGTAGCTCCGACGTCGGCTGACAATACCGTCGCCGTGGGACAAGCTGACACACTCCCGATTCGGCATGAATCCGTCTTGTTTCTCTGGCATGTCACACGATGCCATTACAGTACGACATCCTCCTCTATCTTCACATCTTCACATTCGCTGTCGTCGTTCAATTCACAAAGACGATTGATAGACTGCAATATGACGATACCAAACTGCTGGATGGATTTGTGATATCAGACGGGTCATCTGAGATGCGAGCCAAATTTGTTTCAGCCCAAATCCTACTTAAGCTCAAGCGGGCTCATCCCGCTCATTGCGGGGGCTTGCAGCCTGCACAGAACGTGCGTGCATTTCGGGTAAAGAAAGCGGCGGACGGGCGAGCGAGCGGGCGAGCGGTCTTGTTTGCGAGGATGACTGCAGAGAAATTGAGTGAAAAAGCAAGGTTCTGCCGGCTGCTTCTTTCCCTTTTGAACCTCTCGTCTGGCTGAGTTGAGTGAGGCGACACAGATTCTGGAATGCATGCTGCTGCTCATCACTGCCGGACTTACTCTCACTGTCAGCATCGCAGTCGATCATACACGACCGACCGCTCAGAGGGTCGCTTTGCGAGGGTCAGCAAGGTCAGCTATGATCATGGCTGAGTTCCTGCATCAATTCCTGCATGATCAAAGCCCGAGCCCGGGCCGAGGCCAGCTCATCACCCGATTCTCTTACCCCGATTGTGCTCCTTTGCGCCTGCGCTTTCAACCCTTTCCCCCTTGAGCTTCAAGCCATGCGCGCACGACGATGTTCTCGACCGGCAACGAAGCTCGCGCCTTGAACCGGACCCTCTTTTGCGCAGCTTGCTTGCACCACACAGACCCTCTTCCATCTGCCACGCACCTCCATTCCATCTGTCTCTCATCACTGGCGGCACTCGATCAAAGGGAGCAGCCTCGGTCATCATGGCGCTCTTCAAACAGTACGACGACTTCCTCCTCAACAACGCCTCGCAAATCACCGCCGTTGAGAGCTCGCTTCGATCCATCACTTACTTTCTACCAGGTCGATTCAAGGATGCCGAACTTGCAGGTGAAGCCATTTATGCATCGCTCAACCTGCTCGGTCTCTACCACGACTCGATCCTAGCTCGAGCGCTCGAGAAGCAGAATCCGCTCGCCATTACCAGCAGCAACGCTTCGGAAAAGCAGGGCTTTCAATCCAGCCTCGCGCCGCTGGAACCATCACAGCGCGGAAGCGCCCTCACCGGCCTCACGCCTTCCGAACATGCCAGATATACTCAGCACTTTTCGCGCAACTCCAAGAGCTACAACCGTGTAGCCAGGACGCTGGTCGTGGTGGGATACTTGGAGCTGGTTGCAGAGATGGTGGCCAGGAGGAAGCTCGGACGGAGGAAGGCGTGGGATGTCGTGGCTGCTATCGAAGGCTTGAAGGTGGTACTGCGTCTCAGTCTGGTACAGATAACAGGGTCGAGGATGGCGATCAACCCTCCCATTCCGGAACGCGAAGTCGACCCAGCCGCATTGGAGCAGGAACGAGTCAAGACCATGGGCAAGCTCGCCGATCGCCTCGACACCGCCGCAGCATCCTCGAGCTCAAGCCTCTCGCTATCGAGCGCAGAACAACCACCCAAGGGCTACTGGAAGGGATCGCGCACTGGGCTATTGCGGCCGACACTCGCTTCCCTTCGACCGGGATACGACCAACTCGAAGATGAGCCGCTGCCATCCACCGCAGAACTCGATCGTCGACCACCTCACTTGCGCGCTTTGCGCATCAACGCAGCTCAATCCGGTTCCGACACCGATGACACGCTCGTCGACTCGACCCGACTCAACGCATCCAGTACGCTCACACGGACACCCAATGGACAAGATGCCGTGTCCCCAGTCGCACGCAAGGATCCACCCTCGCCGCCAATTCACATGAAGCCGTGGTCGGAATCGCAGATCAACGACTACCTCCTCTCGCGCGTCCTCACGGTGAACGACGTGCGTAAGCCTGAAGACCTCGTGCGCCCACTCCGCAATCGCACCGGTCACCTCGCCGAAGTGCTCTGGATCCTGCGTCCCTTCCTCTACGTCCTCGCCCTGCGCCGATATGGTCGACGCGCCACACTTCCCTTCGCACTCTCGTTCGCCCTCGAGTACCTTGCCAAGGAGCTCCGCGGGCGCTCCTTCGCGCCCGCCACTCCTGGCCCCAAAAACCTGTTCGCCACCAACCCCCTAATGGCGGCTCTGATGGGTCAGAACCCGCTCACCTCGATCCTCGCCTCGGTCTTCATGGGCGCCAACCCAGCCGACAAGGCCAAACGCCCCATCTCGTCCGTCGAAGACTCGGAATGGGCCAAACGAGGCAACGCCTTCTGGTGGTATCTGCTTCGAGGTCCGCTCTGGTACTCCTTCACCCGTCCTAGACTCACAAATCTGGTCAACAGAACCCAGGGCAAGTTCTTGATCGGTATGGTCGGCGGCGTACTCAGCGACTACCTCCCCCTCATCGACGAGTACTACTACTACTCGGCAACCTAGTCGGAATGGAGAGATGGGATGCTACGATTGATCGTGTATGCGTAGAATGCTGAATGGATGTATAACAAAATGCATATGATAAAAATGAGTGAATTCCGGCGCTTCCTTGTGTGAGTTCCGTCTAAAAAGCGATTCCATTTCATGCGACGGTGGACGATGATCCGGGTGCAACGGGTGCGTTGGCCGCCTCTTTCCTTTTGGTCCTTGCATCGATCGCCCTTGCGACCCAACCGACCATGTCCACCCCTTCCTCGCCCTTGGCCTCGTCCTGCGCCAAAAAGTCGTGCTTGAGCAGCTGCGCATACGTCGGTCGACGCGAAGGGATCTTCTCCAAACACTTGTCGACAAAGTCCCTCGCCGTCTCGCTGTACAGCTCCGGGGGCAGCTCGGGAGGGTCCCCATGCACGATCGCCTGCAACTGCGCAAACACGTTCGAGTACGTCTCGGGTGGGTAAGGGTACGTGCCCAGCGTCGTCTCGACCATCGACAAGCCCAGGGACCATACATCCGACGCCACCGTGTACGTGCCCAGCATGTTCTGCGACTCACCCTTGATGCGTTCCGGCGCCATGTACGATTGACACCCGATGTTGGTCTTGGCGAGCGACTTTTCCAGTTGGCCGGAGACGCCAAAATCGCACAGCTTGACTTGACCCTTGCGGTTGATCAGCACGTTGGTCGGCTTAACGTCGCGATGCATGATCTGAAGTTGATCTTTGAGGAAGCTGAGCCCTCGAACCATGCTCCCCGTGATCCGTGCCAGCACATCCTCGGGTACACTCCCCCGCTCGCCATACAGCTTGTCCAAACTCCCCGCATTCATATACTCCATGCAGTAGTACACGCACGACTCGATGAAGAACGCTCCGTAGAACTCGACGATCTGCGGCGCAGTAGCCCGATGCAAGATGTCGAGCTCCATGATGATCGCATTGAGTTTCGATTCGTCGAGCTCGAGCCGGATCTCCTTCATGGCCATCTCGACGTGCGTTTGCGTGTGTCGGACTTTGCGGACGGTGCCGTAGTTGCCCTTGCCCAGCTCGTCCTCGAGCTCGAGCTCGGCCATGTTGATCTTGAAGGAGGTGCCGTTGCCAAATTCGACGCCCGAGGCGTGGAGGACGGCTTTGCCGCTGAAGTTGAGGCGACCGGAGGGATCAACGATCTTGGAAAAGTTGCTGAAGGGGGTCGACATGGCATCGCCGTTTTCCTGTGCGCCATCGGCAGTTTTGGCAGAGGAGGCACCGTCGGGAAGACGACCTGGGGGAGGAGCACGGCGTCCGGTGCCAGCACCCATGCCGCTTGGTGGAGCACCCGCTGCCGAGCCATCTGCTCCGAGACCCATATCGCTCAGCTTGAGACCTGGTCGATTGCGTCTCGCCCCGGGCCCTGCACCTGCGGCTGGAGATGCTGACGGTGGCCCTCCTCCCCCGATGGCGCCTGGCACACCTCTGCGAGCTGCGAGACCGCCCATGCCCGGCGTTCCCGCTAATGAGCCGGGTCGATTGCTCGCCGAGACAAAGAGAGAGGCACTGGCACTGCTGTCGATGCGCTGATCGTGGCCCATGACAGTTTGACCAGGTCCTCGGTTGGCGTTGGCAGCGAGCTTGGCTTGCAAGCTAGGCGGGAGACGAGCGCCTGCCATCTGACGAGCGCGTTCGGCCGCACCGACGGCTGTGTTGGCCGGCCTCGCTGCCGAGGGTCCGCCCGTCCCTGGAGAAGGACGGAGCGATGGCGAGGGACCGGACGACGGTGAAGCTCTTGAAGGAGGACCACCGGTAGCGCTCTGGCCTGATGGTTGATTTGGCGCATCCTTGAGGCTCATCTGAGCCGTAAGACGCTCCATCTCTCCTGACGAGATCGAGTCGGTCATGCTGTTTGCGGGCGGGGTCGTCTGTCGGAGTCTGAGAGGCAATGCTTTGCAAGGACGGAGACAAGAAGATGCTGAAGCTATTCCTAGACGGCGCGGCAGAGACTGTCGACGGTTGATGTATCCTTAGGAGCGATTCCGATGCAGATTAAGTCAAGTGAAGAATGTCGTCGGGCTGCTGATGATATCAATTGTGTTCCGAGAGGAGTGTGCGAGCTTTGGATCAGTCAGCTTGTCGAATGCTTTGGACGTCGGTGCTGCCGAGTGTCGATAGGACGCGATGCGATGGCTGCGTATAGAGCTTCGGCTGTGTCCGATGAACCAAGCGAGGTTGAGTCCACGCAGTCTCGACTGAGAGCGAGTCGGAGGATCCGGAGCAAAAGAGAGTGAGTAAAGTAGTAGGATCGGACAGAGCCGCACTGCGTGTCTCCGCCGTGTTCCTCTGCTGTTGTTAGTGGTGATGGCAAGGACAGTAGGAGCCAGATGCAATGTGTGATGGGGGACGAGCAATCGATGCAGTCGACATCGGAAATTGGGCGAGTCCAGTCCAGCCAGAAGTGACAGGCTCAGCCAGGCAGCCCAAAGCCCGGCAAATTGCCAGACTCCAAAAGTGCTTGCAAAAACGGTGTCGATTCGGTCAACCTGGCATTTCACTTCGGCTGCTGCTGCCGCCTTTTTCGATTCTCGCGTCACACACGCCGACCGCACACACACACACACACACACACACACACACACACA